TGGCGGTTTGTGTGGAAGCCATCACATCTGTGACTGGCCGTTTGATTAATGAGCCTCTCAGCTTGTCTGTGCAGTTTGAGGAGGGGCCACGGCCTTATCCCAGGCATCACTGATTTATTCGCCTTTGGAGCAAACCTCCAAATATCACACACACACCAAAATATATGAGCGAACATTCACCCACATGCAGGCAGATACAGGTGCACCCTCCATGATATGCATACAGCACACAAGTTGGTGCAGTGCGGATACGTACGCACACGGGCAGGCTCGGAAAGAGGCTTGTGCCACCTGCTTACGCCTAATGAAAATCTCAATGTGTCAGGGCTGTCCAGTGGTAGGGAAGACAAAAGACACCGTGTACAACCAAGCAGACAAAAGATGTATTCTGTCTCCACCAACACAAACTCCCACCCCTAGCTGTCAGTCAGTAGAGGGGACACACACAAGGGGATCGACGAGAGAAGAAAGAAGCCCTTCCTCAATGACACATCACACTCTCCTGATTTTCAAAAGTGACAAGTCTTTTGAATTTCTGGCCACGCAAGACAGAGAGCCTGATGATGGCCCGAGACCGCTTCCTCTTGTCTCTTTGGCAGCGGCAGCCATGAAATGTCACTCTGGCTAACCTTGAAGCTCTTTTTCTCCTGTGTTGTTCAATGCTTCCAAGACTAAGGCCGCCAACTGCTCGAAATGGTACGGTAACGTCGCATTTTAAGTCAGATAAATGAGTCCAGAAATACTTCCGGTACATGAATGTGCATTACCATGTGCATACACTCTAACAGACAAGTTCATGTACTGAAGCGCACGCACGCACACACGCACACACAAAACCCCACCAACCACGAGCCCCCGCCCGCTCATTCCCTGAAGCGTAAAGTAAGACCATTAATCCAGACACACTGAGATCCAGCTTCTCCCCAGGTTGATCAGCGTCCGTGGAGGAAGACGAACATTCTGACATATTTGTTTTTATTTTATTCCCTGAGAAAAAGGCCCGCCATATGGCTGAGCCCAGGAACAGATGGCTATTGCCCACTTCCTGAAAGCACAAGCGTCTATCGCTGCAATTTAAGGAGCCGCTCAAGCAAGAGAATGCCACAGACTGGCATTTTTCCACAAACTGCTATTGTTATGGGCCTGAGGGGCACCAGGAACAATGAGACAATACAGAGTAAATGCTTTAGTGTTCAGTAGTTACAGTGTAGCTTACCATATAGAGCTGCTACAGCCAAGGGTTAATGCATTCTCTTACTAAATGTGTGGTATAAAATCAGGAGAACGATTCGATTTGTCTGATCATTTGCAGTAAAAATAGCACAAAACATTGTATCTAACTTTCCTTTTTACAGTTGGCCAGTAATTTACGGTTTCCTGGTCCATGTATGTATTTTGTTGTCCCGTGCTGGTACTAGGAAACAGTACCTGGAGCAGTGGACCAGTATTGTACATGGTAGCACAAATGTCCTTGGATCATATTAGGTTCTTATGATGGAGTGGAGGAGCTGCCCTGTGACACATCAAGCTTCATCTCTCATACTTGGATACCTGTTATCAAGCAGGTCAAGGGACCTCCTCCAACATACACACAAGGAAAGTGTTTCAAAAAGTCACCTTGGCAGATGGCAGTGAAAATGTGACTTTCCTCAGTGGCAATGCTTTATACTTCTTTTTTTTTAAGATGGCAAAGAAAAATGATACAAAAGACAGGTTTATGAAGGCTTTGTATCACATAAAAAGAAAGATAAGGGCCACCATTGCTGCCATTGATTCCAACATGCCGTACATACATACAGGTGTTCTCTTGCTTTTGTGAAGGAGAATATCAACGGGTAGCCAAGGACAGACACGAGTTATCCATAGATCGCTAGTTAAAGAGAAACTACTCTGTATCAGCACTTTGACGCCAGGATTCTACAGCACAACGGCTCATAATTTGTAACCAAAAGGGTGAGGGAATGTTAATACATTTCCATCCATAGAGCACCACAATTAACACAAAAACCTTAGGCAAGTAATTTGTCGAAGGTGAAATGTCAAGCGCATATTTGACCTGCGTATGTTGTGTGATTGATTCAAGCTTTTCAGAAAAAAACAGCTCTATAGCTGCTAAACACTCATGACAAAGGAACTGAGTGAATATGAATGTGGATGATTGATCCTATTGAGGTCTGCCATTGACCTTGATTACTGTAAGATGTGGTATTTCTGCAGTATTTCTCTCGTTTTACTGTAAAAAGCCGTCATAGTCTATAGGTCCATAACCTGTTTCCCAAAGGTCCCCTTTAATATGCTGTTGAGTAAATGTACCACTTCTGATTATGTGACATATTTCATGAATATTTCATGCTTTAAAAGTACAAAATAACTGATAAATAATAAACTGAAAAGATTGGGAACCAACAGACTAAGTGTCATGAATTGAGTTCAAAATTAGGTTATGAAAACAAATGCAGCAGATGCAATAAAACAGATAACCTCAAGCAGCAATGATTATTGAGAAGTCTTCATATGGAAATTAAAAAAAAAAGATTCTGCACAGGGCCTGCAAATGTAGGTGCAACTAGGCCAGAGCTTGCGATTTCCAGTCAACTGGTTATCAGTCAGTCAGCCCATGATCCACAAGACCAGACCAAAGACCAAAAGGCTGGTAAGCAGCCTAGCCAGTGAGTCAAAATACCTTTCAGACTGACATGATTCATTTAAGCTATTTCCCTAATGGCTGCTCCTTATAGTGCACCCATTGTACCAAACAGTAAGTACCTAACCGAGCTAGTCCACCAGTTTAGCTGACAAATAAGCAGGCTGAAAAAGATCGTCCACCTATCCATTCCAACTTTCAGCCTGCCGGGGAGTCAGGTCAGCCAGCCAGCCAGTCAACCCTGGGGTTCCTTCGATGGTATTAATCAGTCTGGTTTCTGCTGAAAAGCTCAATCTGCAGATGATGGATGATCCGTCGTACTGAGGGAACCAAAGTGACAGGTGACAAAGAAGGACACACACACACACACACACACACCTGTATAAATCCACTCCCCTTCCTGTCTGGCTACACCGTCGAGGTAGCAGCGTGAAAGTGAATGTATGTGTGTGCATGTTTATATGTGCGTGCAGGCGCAAGTGTCCTGCTCTGCTAATGAAGTCATCTGAGCAGTGATTTAACAGCCGTGGCGTAAAAGCCTAGCGCCCTTAACTCATAGCCTTGCTCCATTAGAATGTGATATAAACCCTGGGCACAATAACTGTCCTGCCACTGTAACGATATATATCGGGGGCCAACGGGCCACACTGCTAACTCACAGTCAAGGGAGCGAAAAATATATTGGATGTGTACAGAGGAGGGAAGTCATTCAAGGAGAATAAAACTCATAAGACAGAAAATATAGAACATCAAGGTCACATTGATGGTTGTTTTTATACAGTATGGGACAACGTCATTACTATTAACATTGTCAAGGGTGTGAGATTATATCTTCTGGTTTGTCCAGCAACTGGAGGGAGCGAAAGAGTAATTGTTGCGAAGCCTCTGTAAAAACAGCCAAGGGCACTCCAGTCTGCGCTTACGCAGAAAGCCTTATCCTTATCTGCACCAACAACATCAGTGTGCTTATCCCGTGAACGGTCTTGACGCACAGTTTTGAGTCAAAGATGGAACTGAGGAAAACTTTGACAGCTTACATGTCGCCAGCCGTGAAACTAACTTCCTGGTGTGTGCGACCGTCTCAGGCAGAACCAAAGCCTTTCTCCAAATCCTCCATGAAATATGCTCCTCTTACCCAACAAAGAGAGGCTAATGAGGCAAATGGCAGAATCCCAGACACTTTAATACTGTCAGATTAGGGTGAATTATATAACCTTTATAACCTTCCTGATACTTTTTGGTGCCTTTTTGAATTATCTCTCTGCATGTCACTCACAATCTCAGACTGAACCCAATCTCCTTTTTTTCGCCTCACTCTTCCCATCTGACTTCAGTTTCTATCCATGTATGCCCCAAGACATATTTAGCTCAGTCAAGCAATGACAGTATTTGTTTTAACATGCAAACAAAGCAGCATATGAGGGGAGGAAGAATCGAGCGTGGGTGTTTGTGGGGAGATGAGGTACAGGCTTGAAGGCGACAAAGCTCGTCACAGCAGAGCACAGAGCCGCGTACTTCACCCTTATTAGACCTGTGTCCTTGGCAGATGCAGAGCCTGCCCTTTGTTAGAAAGGTGTGTGTGTGTGTGTTACACCGGTGGTGATTTAGAATGGATTGGGCGTATAGGCGTTGAGACAAGGCGCAGTAGCCCCATGGCTCCCTGATAGCTGGCAGCGTGACAGCTGTGAATGGAGAACAGGGAACAGCCTGAAGTATTGCCATCTAATATGTGTCACATACCTGCATAAATATTTATGCCCATTGCAGAGCAGAACAGGAGAGCAGGGGAGAAGGGGGGAGATGGGACGGGATTGGTGGACTTGGATTGAAAATCTTTTCCATCAGATGACACTAAGCTAATCCCTTTGACTAGTTTTTTTTTGGGGGGGTTGGTTGTTTTTTGGTCTTCCCAAAGCTTGAAAAGTACACGGAACAGGAGACATGCCTCAATTAGCGAAATCTTAAATACATTTTGTCCTTACGGAATGTCCTTTCTCCGAAGACTTCTTTCCACAGCTCAGCCTCCATTGTTGAAGCCGGAGCAGCCGTTGGCCTTTGAGCAAAGTGGAAGTTTGAACCTCTGATGAAGAGCAGCCGGGCTACATGATCCCCAATGACTGGAGTTGTTATATGATCTCCAATGACTGGAGTCGGTGGAAGCAAACTTCCGCCTCCCAAGTGAACGGCTCATTTGCACAGGAATACACACGATTATGAACACGGTTGCATAAAAAGACTGCTCAAAAACTAAAACAAGGATCATATTAAAAACATACAATAGCGTTTGCTCGTGTAAACAACTCACAGTTGTCATTGAATGCACGTACGGTAAATGTAAGTGAAATTAGCAGTTTACCTGTTGGCCAGCAGAGTTTTGAAGGTCACCTGACACATGCTCTGATATGCTGGCAGCAGCCTTGGCCAGTCCCAAGCCCAATCCACTGCTGCACTCTGTTGATGTATGAGGATGGGGTATTGTTAGTTATTAATCAGGGTTAATACCATCAGTGCATTACCGCTCCAGCTGGGACCCACTAACAAAGGAGGAAGGGGGTCCCTAGCACAGGCTACCGACACCAGGCGATCAATCATGTCCGCACAAGAAGGTTTTTATTCCAATAAGACAGCAATTAATTTATAAATCCATTTGGGGGGATGTAGCCATCATTTATAGAAAGATAAATCAATTTTGGGAAGGAGTCGTTACTCTTGTGACCGCTTGGCTTTTTTTCTTACCGTCTTCGATGGCACCCTGCCAGAACCGCCCCCACCCCCAACAACCCCAACCCCCCCACCACACCCGTCCTGCTCCCTCTCTCTCTTTTTTGGAAACGCATACACATGTACACACAAACACAATAACACTTGGCACTCTCCCCATATTAGGGAAGCAAATAAAAATCAGATTGCTTTGATTGCCAAAATGTCACTCTTAACTCCAGGCTGAGTTTTATTGACAAAAGGAAGAGAACTCCACTTGTTACCTCCACACCCCCGCCCCCCCCTCCTCTGCTCCTTCCTCCCGTGTGATTGATGGATGTAACGTTTTTTTTCCTCTCCACCTGCCATTTTATTTGACAAACAACACAGACACCTGAAGCGGAGAAGGCATTTTAATCATTCTCTTAATAGGGTGTTTCTATGCAAAGCTATGCAGCCTCCTGTGATAAGCCAAAAACCGGCCGAGTCTCCGGATTAAAACGTGTCTGCTCTTGGAAACAACAGCGGAATCACAGCTACATTACCAGAGTTGCAATGGGTGTATAAATTAATCTAATATGTTTTAAAAAGTAACAACACAAACACACTTGTCTTGAGAAAGCACACGCTTCTCCTGTTTGTTTTGTGTGATATCAGCAGTATTTCCCATGAAAGGAGAGAAATAAAGTGGGGAAGCTGACAACTCGCACATTGAGCTAAAACTATACCTGTAGCTAGACTCGTCCTTTTTTATCAAGAAAAAAAAAATCTAGCTATTAACTGAAAACTCACGGCGGCACTCGTGGGGGTACATTTGGGGTAAGAAGGTATACGGTTCAAAGACCCAAAGAAGTGCACTTTAAATCTGCACTCTGAAAGAGAAATCTCTCGTGTTTTCACCTTTTCTGTGAGCTTTTTTTCTGTCAGCCCAACTCCTGCCTGAAAAAGCAGCGACCTATGGAGAATAGGAAAGCCGAGCCCCAGAAAGACCTGACAGCTTCAGAGATGCCAGAGTATCCAGTTCGCTAGAGACTCATACAGCTCCTAACCTTCAAAATTACGCTTCTGAACTAGTGAGGAAGTTAAAACAACACCGCCCGGCACATTATAAGCACACCCGCACAGTACAAAGTGTAGATAGAGGAAGAAGCTCCAATAATCAACACATTATCAAAGACATTTTATATTGGTTCCAAAATAAAAGTCGGACAATAAACTCGACATTAGTGACAAACCTGATCCAGCTTCTTCTTGCCAATGTGGTCAAATTGGTAGAGAGGATTGAAACCTCCGGTGTCAGCGTGACCCTCACTGGCGGGGTCAAAGTTCATCGAGTGAGGGGGATTATTGGGAGACGTAGGTCTTCCACTCAGTTTAAACATCAGTAGTTCCTGGGTCCAAGAATGCCGTGGAAAGAAAGGGCAAAAAAAAGAGAGAAGAAGGAAGGTTGAAAAAGACATCTTATGACATATGGAATAACAATGTAATAAAGGTTGACAAGCTAAGACCAACAGTGAGGCCAAAAAGTTCATCTCAAAAGAAAAAGCTTGCAACAGAGGATACTTAAGGCCTTTCATCATACTGACATCATTGCAATATGTGTCTTTTGCTTGTGAAAACGATAATGCACTTTTGAAAGTCATGTGTTCCATTGACATCCAGTTTCAATGACAAAACAAAAGTGCAAAGTTCAGGCATGTTTCATACCACACTTTTTTTTTCTAGACGACCATAGAAATGGGTAAAATGGTCTCCATATTTCCTACTTAGTCAGCCTCACTAAGTCCAATTAAAAAGAGCTGTTCGGGAACAGAGGGATGAAGACACAGATCATATACGTGCTTATACAGATGATGGGTTAAGATCTAGAGACGAAGAAGCTGTGATGCCTCGGTCCAGGTCTCTTGCAAGATGTACAGTACAAAATAATCATTTTGTATGTGTGTGCATCCAGATGTGAATTCATTACATTTCCATCCATCAGCTTGACATGGCCTGTGAACATCGTATCCCTCTACCTCACTCAAGCCCAGTCTGTCCCTGACATTTGTGTTCCTGCCTCAACCTTGAGATACCTGGACAGGTACCTCAAGCATACTTTTATAAGATTGCCACACAGACTTATAGCTGTCCTGTGAAAATAAAGAATATTGCCAGCCTCAAGTATATTTACCATTGAAAGAGCCTCCAGTTAAAACAGTTTGAGTGTACACTGCACTTCTTATGTCATTTTTTAGTTATTTGCAAAGGAAAACTATCACTAAAAAACTTTTTTACCAACTGCGTACTTTTGAAAAAATCACCAAATTACCAATAAATGTACTCTAATAAACTTTTTACAAAATGTCTACCTTTCATTCTCTTAAAATGGGAAGTCTGTTTAGCTACAATAACATCTTTTTCAGACAAAAAAAAGAAGAACCGCTGTTCTTTCTCACTCAGGTCTCCTCCAAAGAGAAATATGCGCAACGTGATAACTCCATGTGGTTCCCTCTCCTCCACATGTGGTGAGCGTATTACACAGGAAATCACTGTAGCCTCACACCCTTGAGGTCACCTGAACAGCAGAAGATCAGAACAAGCAGACTGCACACAAGCAGCAGCCCTCTTCCTTCTGTCTCCCCCTCCTAAACAGCCTGCGGCCTCAGGCCAGCAGCCACCTAATTGCTGGGGAGAGGGAGTGCTTCCCTACCTCATTGCTTTGGATGATGTGATAGATCTGCCTCAGGTAGTCGCTGCCACCTGCTTTGTGGCAGATCTCCAGCAGCATCAGGCCTATTTTCTGCTCAGTCAGTTCAGCCGCAGCGACTCCGCTTTCCTTTCCCCGCTCAAACACGCTGAGAGAGAAACAGAGACGGGAAAGAGAGGAGATGGGAGAGTGCGGCAAGGAGAAAGGAAGACGCAGGGTGTCAGTTTGTATCTCTATGCCACCTCTGGCTGCGGAATTATATTCTAGTTTTAAAAACAATTTGGGGGGCAATTTTTGTATGAAGCAAAAGAAAATTAACTGAAATACGACTTTGAGAATTAATTCAGTCCTATTAAAAATGTGTTAAAAGAAAGAAATAACTTCACTCCACAACATGAAAAGCAGTCTGGTCAAGGCTAACGAAAGAGAGAACTGAAGGCCAATGGTTTAGAGGTTAGACATTATTGTACTGTTTGTATTAGCATTCTTTAGATACATAGGGGAATTTTGACTGAAGGATGTTGGGGCAGTAAAAGCGATTGGTGTATGTGTCCTTAGGTGCTTGTGTGTGTGTGTGTGTGTGTGTGTGTGTGTGTGTGTAATTGTGTGTCAAGGTCCTCATGCATACACGCTCCCCAACCCTGGCAGACGCCCGCATCGTTTTCCTGCCCTTCCTGTATGGATGGATATCACACTACCGTCCATCAAACCTTCCCCTTCACATACACTTCCTGTCATTGTTCTCCCTCTCCCGCTCCCTTCCCCTTTGTAATTATAAGGTGGCAGAAAGGGTGTCGCCTGTCAGCCAGCCATTGGCTGCTTGACATTGAGAGTGGCACAGGAAGAGGAGTCCCCTCTCGTCCGTGTACATTGTCTCATTCTTTTGCCTTGTGGCCCGGGCGGTGGTGTTGTCGGCGGTGGTGGCTGTGCATCCGTGTCAGCACCTGCGCTGTATCCTTTCCTGTCCATCACTGTGCAGGTGAAGCAGATGATTGGATTCAGTCAGCGGGGTGATTAATGAGAGCCCCTCCGGATTTGGGACAGCCTATCAATCATGTCATTAGGGCCAATGTGCCCTGAAAGAGGCAGACCTCCGCCAAGGAATAACTGCATTCATCTTCATCTGTGTATGCATCCCGTCAGCCCAGCCAGGGTCACCATGATGGAGAACAATAATCTTCTCCTCTACAAATTACTTTGCAAAGACAAGGTGGGTGGCGTGGGGAAGGAGGGGGGGTTGCTGTTGGGAAAGGAAGGAGGTAAAGTGGGATGAGGGAAGGGCTCAAAAGGGGGCAAATGTTCTCTTTTTTGAGGGGGGCTCATTCACATCGTGTGTGTGTGTGTGTGTGTACATGCGCGAGATGCTAGTGAGTTGAGTGCCAGTTGTTTTTGGAGTTATTACACTCTTGCTGTCCCTCTTTTTCTCTCTCTCTTTCTCGCTCTCTCGCTCCCTCTCTTTTTGACACTGTATTCTGATTGTTTACAAGCCAGGCGTCACTTCCCTTTGAAGGTTAGTTTAATGAATAGTAATGATCCCACTGAACGCCTCCGACAGGTGATACATAATCACTCTTCTTTCAATTTTCTCAACCCCCCCCCCCACCCCCCCACGGGTAAAGAGGGGAGATTTCCGAGAACTTGGCACCAACTGCGTTTATTTATTTAAATCCACTTTTTTTTTTTTAAATGGTGAAGTCATGGTACCGGCCCGAATCACCTTTTTATGAGGATGGATGCATCCAGGGTTTGTTATGATGAAGTGGGCAACCAATGGCGTCATTTCTGGGAAAGAGCTACAAAACGGCGAGCCAAAGGTCACAGATCAGCCCAAAGTGAAAGCTGTTTTCCCATCACTGCGGCCTGCAGTCCACTCAGTCAGACGACTGTCCATCATTTACCACCACAAACACATCAGAGATTCATTGATCTTACTCATGAAGCTTCTCGTTGAAAAATGAGCTCAATGATACGATACATCAGAATTTGGATGCTCAATTATAAAAAGCATATCTAGCTGAATTCTTTTTCACTGGTTTATTCAGTATCTGTATTGAATGTCGTGCTGACTACGCTAGCAGTCGGTTTTAACCCTTCATCAACGTATCAGCCCTCAACATCAATCTTGTTATTGATAAATCACTAATATTATGTACTGGGAAATTAATTTTATAAAAAGCTGTGTTACGATCAAAATTATTTGAATTCAATTATACTTTTTTTTTGAAGGTGCACATGAACAATCAATACCAATTGGGACTAATGATTCCCCATATATATATATCTATATACAGTATATATATATATCACTTTTCTGCATCCACGAAAAGAGTCATTTAAACCATATCAATACCAGCCTGACCTTGACCTCTTGCTTCATCCCTGCAGTTGATCTCTCACCTGTCTGTGCAGAGCTTACGGGCCTTCTGCAGCTGTATGTTTGTCCACTTGGGTCTTTTTTCTTCCAGAGCCTGGAGCACTTTTTGCACTGTAGGTTTGGGGACACCCTGTCAGACAGACCGCAGACCATTATGGTAAATGAGTAAAAGTCAGATGATTTAATGGGAAACACATCAACAAGGGATCTAATGAAATAATGCTATTATAACTGTAGTGTTTGCCAGGAAACAGCCTTACCCCAAATTAAAATAAAGAGTTTTTGCTATCATCAATTTTCGTTATGCCAACCTTAGGCCTTACCTTCTGTTGAATGCCCATGGTAGCCTGTAGGCACTCAGCCAGGAGGTAAAGGGGTTCCCTTGCACCACGGTCCAGAGCCAGACCACTGATCTGTTCTAGTGTGTCCGAGTCCTCCAGGCCCTGGATCAGACAGCCTAACAGGGCCCAGAGTAACAGGCCCATTAAGCGCAGCTGCCCAGCATGTTGGGAGAGGTGCTTCTCTGCCACTTGGAAAAGGAAGCGGACGGGGAGAGGAACCGACGCCACGGCCGAGGGCAGATTGGTGAAAATGAAGGACAAGGCTTGAATGATCACGGATATGACGGCTGAAAGGAAAAGTACATTTTAGTTTTGGAAAATTAACCAACAGTGTTTTAAACCTTCACTGAAAGGTTGCATTTTATTTGCATACTCTTAGAGTTGGTCTCCCTTCCCTGTGCTTCGAGTGGTGGGTAGTTCCAGTCCTTGGGGATTTTAGCCAGGACTCTTTCTGGTACATTCTGCTTGCATGAGGCTCCACCGGGCTCCTCTGTGGTTTGCCAACCCATCACCATAGAGACCAGGTGTACCAAGAGGCTGTTGGTTGACTTGGTGACTATCGCCCGCACACAGCTGATCACTGCAGGTGCGGCCTGTGTTGTGTCTGAAAAAATAAAGGCAACAAAAAACAGTGAAGTGAAGACGGGTGGCTGAAAGAGCATCACATTGAAGACCTTGTTAATTGTATAATGTATGTCACCACCATTACTCCTTTGCTTTACAGTTGTGCCTGTAAGATTACCCTATGTTCCCAATGATCAATGTCTCGGGACGGGAGGGAACATGTTGTTAAATAATCATCACATTCAAGTCAAAACAACATTGATCAGCCAAAACCTAGATGACACAGATTATATTGATTTATGTAGAGCATGCACTTTGGCATGGCTGCTCTAATAAGTTAACTTAATGCGGTGAATAATGCAGTGGGGTTTTTGTAGCTTTGTCCGACGATGGTCGATGGGGCGTCTGACAGGTCGACTCGTTAAAAATAGTAATTAACTGCAGAAAATGATTTCCAGATGAATTTAATAAGTAGACATGTTGCTTGCTGGAAAACAAAATAATAATTTGACTTATTTGTAAAGTAGTCAAGCAGCACAAAGACGTCTTTCAGTACAAAAAAAAAGGCCTCATACTAACATTTAATACTATTCTATTACAAGATTGTTTGTATCACTGTGCTTGGTCTTAAATTACAAAAAGGTTTGTAAAGTTGTCTAAGACCAGAAGGCATGCCATATTATTGGCTTAAAAATGAAGGCTAGATTAAGTTTTATGATTGCTACCAAATCAGAGTAGCTTACATACAAGCCCTCCTAGTCACCGCCCACTCAGTCAAAAATTTTAATTTAAATGTTCTCAATCTAACCCGGGGTGGCTGACAATAGAAATCTTGATACCTTCTCCAGGTGCCCTTTCATAACCCGCTCATACGGATAGCAGAGCTGCTACAGCGTGAAGTTGTATGGCACTCATAAACTTCCTACAGCTTCAGCTGTAAAACGAAAGGCTACGACAGAGAGATATAGTGCTCTGAAGGCACTGGAAGTGCACTGCAATCCCCCAGGGACGCTTAACAAATGTGTGACCTCAGACCCACAGAAAAAGAGCAGAGCGAAATAGAAAATGATGTAGCTTTTCGAAGGGGATGCGCTCAGTGGCAGGTAATACTTAGACCTATTTTTCAAAGTCACTTGGTACTCAGACTTTTTACCGCCCGCTACTGTATTGAATGTTGTATTGATTTGAAACAAGCTGCTACTACGTGATGAAACATCAGCGTAAGTGGGGAAATAGTATAACTCAACGTAAGAGTTAACTCAGTCAACAGTTTAAAAAGAAATGACACTATCGTGAAACCAAATATATTATAAAAAGATTTGGCATAGTCCAATAATTAACCTAATTACACTTTGAGGATAAATGATGATTGGATGACTTTCAAAAATTCTCTCTGGCTCACTGAATCTCTTTTCTGTTCTTCACTTTTTTCCAGTCCGACTACTCTTCTCCAATCACTCTAATTTATGCTCTAATAATTACCACTCGTCCAGGATATGAAATCACAACCAGAAAGGGCTCCACACTCGACGGGGGTTCTGATTAAGCTCTGAATCAAAGCTTGCACCATGGGGAGAGGCCGGAAGAGAGCAAGAGTTGAGGAGTAATTGCAGTCTTTGTGAGAGTATTAAAGTGATGCTTTAGCTCACAAGCATGTCAACACTGACACGTCATATCTTCTCATATACTTTGTTATTTATATTTGAGAAGTCAGAATGATCCTGACTCTAAACAGAAAGGTATAATGCCTTATAAAATAAATAGGACTGAGCTAATGAGCTAAGAAAATACCTATAAAATAAAAGTTCTCCTGCAGCAAAAACACATTTTGGTCCCAACAAATAAATATATTATTTAATCAAATATCCCTGTATAATTAAAAAAAACAGGAAAACAGCATTTAATTGTACTCAAAGTGGCGTAGCTTAATACTACATGATGCAGCAGCTTGTTGCTACTTTACCTGCCAGAGTGTAGAGATGTTCCCACATGTGTGACCTTTCCAGGTATGGTTGAAGAATCTGAGTCAAGGCCTTTGGAACATTGTTCAGGCAACTGAAGAGGTTAAAAAATGCCACTTTCAAATCTTCTTCTGTCTTGCAGCTTTCTGTACAAATCTCTAAGCAGCTTTCTTGGCAAATATCTGAGAAGAAAAGAGTCATAACGAGTCAGTGAAACATTTCTGAGCAGAATCAAAACTGTGTGGGCAATCAAAATGTCAAAGAATTTATGGAACCTTGATATGCATGAACACATAAAGAAATAAGAGGTTTACTCATATGCACATATGGTCTCTGAATGTAATATTAGAATGTTTTTTGAATTACGATATAGGTAGGTAGTAAAAAAAATCTAAAACCCTATCCTTTGAAAAAGCATCTTGATTTCTTCGCACAGAAACCCATTGGAAAATGTCAAGGCTGCCCAACCTGACACATGTTAACAGAGAAGGTGAACAAAAGGCATTGTGAAATAGAAGGGGAAGAAAAACCCTCCACCTGTGTTCAATGGGTAGAAAAACAAACCAGAAAAAAAACAAAGAAAGAAAAGATTTCAAAAGCACTGCAGCACACAGAGACAGGAAGTGAAAAGGAAGAGGTTTTGACAGGGTGTCCTTGTGGGGGTAGCTGTCTGAGCGGAGGGCTGAGGATGGAGGTGTGTGCTTGTGTAAACCATATAGATGTCTATATATGCTTTTTGTGTGCTTACAAGTGTGTGTTTGTTATGTTGACAGGGGTTGCTGAGGAAAGGCCCGTTGCTCCAGAGGTGGCAGACATCCAGTGGTCTGTTGTGATGACACGACGGCTATTTGACGAGGAACATCTATGCAAGCGGCAGTCAATGAGGGGCCACCGTACCGGAAGACAGCGCAGCTTCCTTCTGACTAATGCTGGACTATTTTAAAACAACACGACGGAATTAACTGCTGCTTAAACGCACAGTAATAACATTTAACCACTTTGATTTGATGCAGTTGGGGGGCACTGCCACCACTTATGGTCCAGATGAGCACTCACTCCCTCCGTTCCACCACATCTCTCTCCCTTTTCCTTTACAATAACACATCTAACACTCAACAGCGGTCAACCAACCCGACCTGCAATCAGTCTATTAGGCGACATAATGTTGGTAAAGACGACATCTTCTCGCCTCTTTCTGTCTGGTATTTGGTCATTAAGGAGGAAGCGTTCTGGATATCACCGCTGTGGCTGCAGCGGTCAAAAGAAAATGAGGTGACAAACATAAATTTCCACACGGGATGCTGGAGAGCATGGCAGGTTAACTAGGCGCCTTTTAATGATGATCCTATTATGGGGCAGCAAATGGCTTAAAAAAAAAAAAAACAATGACAGCGTGCTGGCACATCTCTGCAGGGTTTCCACTCCTTGCAAAACACAATAATTCCAATGTGGAATGTTTGTTTGTGTTTCTATGTCAAACGCTGGATTTCTTTGTTATATTTCCTCGCTGTCTTTCCCTCGTTGTCCGTCTCTAAGCTTATCCAACCTTGATACAGAGCCAAACCATACACCTGTTTGTCTTGTGGACAACCAGTCAACTAGTCACAAGGGTACTCTCTGCAAACCTCTGTAATTGGAAGCAGACATGCTGATGATAGTAAAAGGATGTGTGTGGGTATGTGCGTATGTGTATTGTGGTTGAGGGAGAGTTATGCATGATTTTTGTAGTGCATTGATCTGTAAATGTGGAGAAAGTATTACCCTTCTGCAATAGTTACATTTCCAGATTGTCAGACAATGGCCAGGATACTCAGTTTGCTAGCTTGCTCCTTAGCATGTTAGTTTCATTTTATAAGGCAGAATCATTTCATCTTAAAATGGGCCACAGAGCGACGACGGGAATGAAAACGTGCTGTCAAGGAAACACATTTTGCTTGCAAAAAAACGGACTAACAGTTACTGTAACACCAGTTCAGTTGGACAGAATAGAGTCCAATTGAGTTTGATGACTCACTCTATTACTAATAGTAAGTTAAGTTGAATTTCTTATGAATAGTGCACCAAGAAACACGCTCTAAAAACGTATGGGAAAGTGCAGTGGCTTGTGGGAGTGCATTCATGCAAGCTGTTCCTTCTGTCTGTCTGCTTCCTGGTTAATTAGCCCGTCATCGTGATAACACGCGAGAGTCAGCGCTTCCAGCGTTGATTTACGGCGACGCGCTGGGAGAAGCATTGCAGAGTTTCTGAGCCAGACCGAGCCGGAGAACGAGACAGTGAGAGTTGTTATTAATGAGGTCGCTATAATGTGAATTAATGTGCGAGTGCACAACAGTCTTTAAAGGTTAGACTGTTGCCGGTGCGGAGGGGAGAAGAACGCAGGGAAAATCTTTAAAGGTTAGCGTGTGTGCTCCGCCTGGGCCCGTTTTGTGTTTATTACTGCTTTCTATTGATTTAGTGATGATGGTGACCAAGGTGAAAATGATGATGATGGCAAAGATGCTGATGATAACTTCATAAAATGGATAGGGCTCATCTATGGTCTGTTTAACTCGTTTAGGATCGCACAGCACCATTATTATGACATCGGTAAACATCATCCCACACATGTGCCCCTGCGTGATCGACTCATCGACCCAATGTTGGTTCAGTATTATAAAAAGGAAGTATTAAAGAATTAATAACAGTGATTCAAGGAATGACAGCTCAGCATATACATACACACACTCTCTCCCCATCCTCCATTAACACATACCAATCCCTCTACACCTTAAAAAACTGACTTACGAGTGTGTTCCAGGAGAATTGTGGACAGGTGACAGTCTTTGAACAGCAGCATTTGCAGTAGCAACCTGGGATTGAATCCTGGGTCAGAGTTCAGCAGCCTCAGCTGACATAAAGAAGCCGCCTGGCCCAAAAGGCCGTCTCTGAGAAGGAAAACAAAGTTGACAGTTCTGCAGTGTCAGGTGAGTATACAGATAGCAGTCCATTGAGCAAGAGACTGTAAAATAGGGAAAAGCTTTACAAGTGAAAGACGAGAAACTAAAATCACTGTTTTATTACAATCTGGGAAGAAATAGTGTTTATGCTACAATTGTAACTTCCCTCAGTGTCACTCAGTACCGATATGAGTTTAATCTACAAATGCCTTCACTCTTGATTACTTATAGTGTGCACCGGGAAGGAATTAGCTCTAATCTAGGCCAGCTAAAACATTTGGGAGACAGCCAAATACATGAATGTACAGCGGTACCCCCCTCCTACGTCTTTTGTACAACCAAGAGGCTGCAGCCAGCTGTGGGTAATGAGCCGTGTCCTGGGTTTCTGTGTGTGCACCCTCCAGAGCTGGTGCTTGTGGTTATGAACGTGTGCAAGGGGGAGGGCATGCTGAAATGTGTGTGTCTGATTATTACTTTATACATCTCAATAAAATCGAGTGGAAGGAATGCACAGAGTTTGTCTGAAGAGCGAGGAGGTGGGAGGGAAAGCAGGGGACGTCTGCCCCAGAAATTAACCATTCCGTTTGAGCCAGAAAGCCAGAGCAGGGTGCACCCTGCTGTTTGACTGTGGGGAACTGTGCCTTAATCTCAAACAACAAATTATGATGTCACTCGGAACGCAAATCCGGAAGAAATCCTCTTTTAACTGCTCTGACAAATGTGCGCTACAGCGCTGGGTCAGCTTCAGGACGAGAAAGATGCATGATGGGGGTAAAGAAATACTTAGTATTATAGTATACTATATAGTATAGTAGTATGTTGATTTATTTATGTGTGTTCTGGTTTTTATTATTGTTTTATAGAATATCCATAACAATGGGTATTAGTTTAATGGGCTGCGGAGAGACCTTGCCTCTAAGCTAAAACCTGGCTGAGGACCTGTGGAACTGGCCCCGGCATGCCGGCAGGAGGTGGCTCCAAAAAAAAATAAAGAGGTCATTAAAATACACTAATTTTAGCTCTTCAATGCTTAGGAGCATGAGAGCTTGATTTGTGCTCCATCAGCACGCATGACATCACCTCTGGCAGTGAGGGAGATGAGAGGGGAGGAGGGTGGGTTCGATTGACTGCACCTTAGTGAGGTCACAACAGTTACTGTTCACACATGTACACGTGTGTGCACGCATGCACACATTCAAGCTCATCACAGCATAAAGCCCTCAGTAACCACCAACATAAACAAAATCAGTGTCAGCGGCTACAGGAGTTTATTTATTACTTTTCTTTCTCAGCATGCATCTGTGTAATTTTCCTGACCGCAACTTGAAGCCCTGAGCAACAACCTAGGGGGGTAATATGTCCTCACATACAGTATGCGGTAAACTCACACACACACACACACACACACACACACACACACACATACATATGGTTCTCTACACAGTGGGTGGAGGTGTGTCTGTGTAGGTTTAGCATACCACAGTTTGTGCTTTGGTGAGTTGTGCGTGAACTTGCTACGGGTACTGGATGGTATGACGGGTGTGTTTTACATACCGTACGGCCTCCTCTGAGAAGAGGTCGAGGTTGATAGCATTCAGCCAGTGGACAACATGACTGTCAGGCTGATGTTGCGTAGATTCTATTGCAGGATTATTCATAAATACCCTGGAGGAATTGAGATCACACATTGCAAATCTGAACAATCGAAATGTATTGGTGGTCACATTTCTTCAGGTAATGATTTAATGAAACCAAACACATCCTCTTGTGTGCATAGTATAGATTAGTGTGCGGTCAAATCCATTTATTTCAAAAGCTTTATATAAAAAAAAACATTTCAACCATTTTCGTACGCCTAAGTCATATTTGACTTTAAGGTTTAATAACAAAAGCACACCGTGCATACGAACCTATACAGCAGAGATAGAGGTGCAGTGACAATGACAAGGACTGTCAGGAGTTGGTCACACAGGCTGTGGATTTGGTAAAGCCAGTCTGATCCGCCAGCGATTATGGCAATTGCTGTAGAAGGATTGGAGCGCACCAAGGCCTCTGGACTTTCACAGACGCTCCACATCAGCTCCTCCACATAAAGCAACAATGCTGTAATGTCACATCTGAAAGAAAACAAAAACGGTGAATGTATAGATGGAAACAGAAACGGTTCAATGTGTATGAATATGTGACAAAAACACACAAGGGGAAAAGGCACTGAAAGAAAAATCCCTGTTTTCAAACACTGCGTCCAACAATAAATCCTGAACAAACAACCTCATTGCACATCCAGTCAGATAAAAGAACCTCCTGGGGATTTTACTGTAGGAAAGTTAAGTATACAATGGGCTTTGGATTTCACAATAAAAGTAATTGCTTTTACATTAATACATCCCTAAATCTGTTTCCTCAATTGGTCGCGCAGAGCTGCTCATCTTTCCTCTTCGCCTTATGCTCTCTATTCACAGTCTTGTTATATGAAACACACAGTAGTGGGGAGATCCAGGGCAACGTGAGGTAGCATAACAGTACCTGTTTCGGCTTTCCTTACAGTTTACAAATGTCCCTCTAGAAAAGCATTTATTACCGAAGCAACACAAACCAGGCTTTGTGTTCACATCCTGCATTTCACGCACATGTAAAATGCACTTCATCTTTGACACTCTTTACTACTCTTTCTGCGTGTCACGGTTCAGCCTGTTCATCGGCCTTATTCAGCTTTCAGGAGGAGGAAGAAGATAGAGAAAATGATCCCTTGAGCTTGTACAAAGAGTGGGCCTTTGACGCGTTAACACTCAGTTGGACCACCTCCAGAATTGGACCCGTAGGAGCTTAGTGAAACAGTGAGAGAGGTCAAACAATTAAGGGTTCTCTCTAGGATCTACTGATTTAATTTACCATCCCATTATTCCTGTGTATATAACCAAGCCTTATATCGATTCATCAATTCATGTTGGCTATACAAATAGGATATGTGACAAAGAACAAAACATAGAGCTATACATATACAATCTATAGCCATTGAAAATTGTTAGGATTGCACCTATATGTTGATAGAAAACTAATATGAATCCTAGAAAACTACTAAAAGTACAGGATGGACCTTGGAAACAGCGATTGAGAAAATTAAATTCCCCACGAGGTCCATTTAATAGCAATTCTGCAGATCAGATTAAATTAGCCTGCTTGGAATTGTCAATGTACCTATTATCAGTTTCATCAAGGCACTTTAAGCAGCTTGATCTAAAATGAGTTGAGGTTACTTGCCAAGGGCAAGAGTAAACTCTGAACCAATGCTGTTAAGCCGACCAGAAGCCCTTAAAGCGACAGTTAAATGACTTTCTGTTCAGATTTTTTCTGTCTATTATTTACATTTTACATCCATCATTATCATCACACTATATGATTTAATTTTAGTCAAATGATATTACAAATAGTGAAAGAAATGTCAACCGAATAAAATCAAGGCCAGTTTGGCACATTATACATTTATTAACTTTTAGGAGGGTTTATAGATTGTCATTTCTAAAAAAAAGAGTAGGGGCTTATGTAATAACTTTGAGCAACACTGTACCTGATTTGCATGTGTCTCTTGTACGAAGGACGGGCCCTAGCATATCTCTGCACCAGCAGCTGTAAAGTCTCTGAAAGCACCTGGCCGAGCACGTCCTTGGCCATCTCCGCCGGGAGCACCAACCAGAGGTCGCTACGCAGCCCACGCAGGAAGTAGAACCACATCTGTACCGAGAAAGAGCAGCGCTCACCCTGTGGAAGACCGTGGGAGGGAGGGGGGGAGGGGGGGGGGGAGGTTTCAGATGAGGAAGATATTTTGCAATGTGGATATTGACCGAAAAACAAAACAGATGAAAACCAAGAGGAGAGGAAGATAACAACGGAGGAAAAGAACGCGATTGAGGGAGATAAACATGAAGGACAAGAAAGAGACAAGACAAAGGAACTGTCTGTCAACACCAGCACGTCTCATTGGTCACGCCACCTGACTCTGCACCTGTGTCCCCGCCCCCACGCCCCCAACAGGGATTCCAGCCTGCTTTAAAGTCCTGTGCTTAAGAACACATGACATCATGCACGCACATCCATACGCCTACAGAGGGAGAAAAGGAAAAGGGGAAACATTGAGAAAGTCACTAAATAAACTGAACAGAGTCATGGGAAGCTGATAAAGAAGGAATACACAGAGAGCGATCGACCGATGAATGAAAGGAGATTATTATCCTCGTCTCCCCCTGTTTATCTTCTCATCTCAACAATGAACCACTCCAGCGGATCAAATGTGTCAGGTGAAGACAACGCACCCAAAACCTCTGACCATCTTCTAAAAATCCTGCCCAAAAGTGACTTTTTATTCTCTTCCCACTTCACCTCATCTCTCTCATATTTTACTTCTCTCCTTCTACCTCCTTCCTCTCCTCCTTGGAGGGGGTCATTTAGGGATCAGTGGTTGATGGGGAGCGTGACCAAGCTCTATGTTAGGCCGCCATTCCCGCCTGTGGACACGGACGTTGGATGCGAAACAAGAGCAGCCAGAACTATATGTGTGGTTGCAAATGTTAATACGTTTATTCAAATCAAACTTTTATTTAACCTGCCAGGCCAACGTCGAACAAATTTCTACTCTACATAAAGGCCTGCCAGCGTGAGGACTGGGATTGGGAACTAAGGGTGGAATTACATTGGAAACTCACAACTGCTACTTCTCTCTCAAATTAAATGTAGCATTTGGCTCTGAAGGCAAAATCCCGATAAAGGAAGTAGCCACGACGGCCATGCGCCACACTTTAACTGAACTCATGTGTTGTTTTATCGTATTTTAAATAGTTGTCTGCCAACAATTCTCAATGTGTCAATATCAATGTAATAAAAAGAAGGAGAAAAATAAGGGTCTATCGTGGAGTTGCACTTAGCTGTAAAGCAGCCAAGACACAAGGCTGGGGATCCAGGAGATGGAAACTTCATGCATTCAATACAACAGAAATGGAAACATACATAAACATGAAATGAAACACAGACCCTGAGATGCTGCTGCACACCCACACACTCATCTGTACAGGCGCACACAGGCATGCTTTAACAAAAGCACACACCTGCGCACAGCAGGTCTGTCTGACACCAGTGACCCAGGGAAGGAGTGAGGAACAAAAGGGGGAAAAAAGGCCAAAGCAGGGTAAAGTATGAAAGAGAGAGCAGGTTTAGATTGGTTTTAGGGCATAAAGGTAGGGGAATTTCAGAGGCCCTATGCTGTTTCCAGACAGTCCCAGTGTAGACTGCAGACTTCACACAGCTGAATCCCTGGAGCCCCCAGGGCAGCATGGAAGCCACAGATGTTCTCAGGGAGCTCTGAGTAGAAGGATTGGTTAGAAGCGAGTAGAAGGTAAAGGAGGTATTGTGGGAATGAAAAGAAGAAGTGAGAAAGCTCTAGAGTATTTAATATATAATATTTAATATAATATCATTCCTAGAGTTCTTCAAATCAGCAGAAAAAGTTGAGTAAGACACGTGCCGTTAGGATTTCCACTTTTTACAATGAAAGAAGAGAAATCCACACCAGACAATACTGCAGATGTTTTATGTGTTAGTCTCTTTGATTTGGGGCTAAATAAGTAATACTAAAACAGGCTCCACTTATACATCTTCAATATCAAAATCTTCAACTCAGAGAAGTTTATGAAGACAGTTAAACATCTTTTATTGTAAGAGTTGAGCATGACGTGGAGAACGTTTTTTTTAGACGTGTTGAGGAGAAAGAAAACCTGCCACCGTAGGGAAATGCAACAACAATTTACCTCGTAGAAAGGTTTGGGGTCGGCCCAGTGGTGACTCTCTGCGTCTTGGAGAATGCAGGTGGAACAGACCTGGATACAGTAGGTGACCAGCTGGTCTCGCAGTGCCTCCACTGTATCCTGGTACTTCTGAATAGGCAGCAGAGTTAGGGATCTGCGCATGAGGGAGAGAAACAAACCTTTTTACGGCAATGACGGTAAAAATCAAATCTACACTGCTTCAATGATACATGAAGAAAGGCGCCGCTGGGGTCAAGAATCCAACAGTGCACAATCCTCTTATCCAAACGCAGAATTGATCACTGTCAAAAAAGTTAAGAGGCACATTTCGTATCTTTGATACTTTCCAGAGAGAGGCTAGAGTTTAACAGGGGTGCAGGAGGTGTAAAACCAGGGGGACAGAATGGTGTAGAGAGAGGGAAGTGCTTTATGACCGGAGGGGGCACAATGCGAGTGCAGGTGGTGCAACAACCGGAGCACTGAGGGCACAAAGGATGCCTTTAAAAGGGGATGTGTGGAGGGCAGAGGTTAAGGGGGTATTTTGGGGCATAAAAACTCAGCAGATGTAGACATAAAATAGGCGTCATTACCTCTTGTCAATCATTTCTACTCTTAAAAGAAAATGTACAATGGCTCCTACATTTGGAAAGCAGGAATCTACATGAATATATATGAAATAATCATCCAACAATTCAAACAGAGCATCTGGAGTTAGATCTCATGAAATGAAAATGTAATGATTCACTCTGTGGCACAATGGTTTCTAATGCATCTCAGTTTATTATCTGTTGAGCAACGTTTGATTAGGTTATTGTGGAGGGATTGACAGCAGTTTGGAAATGATTGAGTTATGTTAAAGATAAGGGTGTTGGAAGCAAGGCCTGTCTGATCATTTTGACAAAGCCTGATGCCCTTTACACTCACCATCTGTAGGTTTATATATCACTGTTCTATTGTTGTTTTAACGTATTGTGACTGTTATTGTACTATATAGACAGTAAAATCCTCATTTGGCAAAGTGACTAATCTCGCTGTTTTTTACTAATTAGTGCAGCCAGTCAGCATCACTAACTCATAGAGAAAGAATTACTCCCAATGGCTCCATCTGAATGTTGTTGTTCCTCTTAAAAGGCAGTCAAAACTTTACCGTAAAAGTTTTGGACCTCCAAATTGCATTTCAAGTTATTTATTGAAATCCCAAGATGCACTCAATAAACAATAACAATTTCTGTATTTAATCCATTGAATGCCGGAGTGGTTTTGAGAGGGACAGATGTAGAGGGAATGTTGTAAAGCCAACAAATACATCAATGCACAGCAGCCAATATCCCACTCAAATCTCGTGCCATAACACTCAACAACACAACCAGACACGCATGCATAAAACCTTTCCTTACACTTTGGCTGCAGTAGTATTTGAATCTTTCAGCCTTGCATGGTAGTGCTCCAGTCGTTGGTGCACATAAATGCAAGTGGCCAGCAGAGCTGGCAGGTTCCTCAGAGGTGCAGAGGACGGTACCTCAAGGGCCCTGCCTTGCAAACGGGACAGCATGGAAAACACTGTCCTGCTACATCCCTCCACGAAGCTGGACCGCACCTCCAGGAGAGAGCTGTCCCTGCAGGCCGCTGCCAGCGGTAGTAAGGCATCCAGCTCGCTCATGATTGCTCCACAGAACTGAAGACAGAGACGGGGAAAAGATGAGATAAGATGTTCTGCAACTGAGGAGAAATATGTCAGTTAGAGGAAACACATCAGAAAGAAACCTCATTAGACATAAATAATGGAACATTTGTGGGGAGTCGTAAGAATGACAAGGATTTGAGAGTGAGCTGATATTACACATGCATTTTTCTCTAACATTGTTCATACCGCATGATAGCTGAAAAACAAACATTAGCGCAAATGTTGAATACAGCTGTCTCAAGAAATTCCCTCCACATAAACTGTTGAACTTGCATAATTTATATCACGTCAAATAAAACCTTTACTTATGAGGATATATCAGCTCTTGTGTAATATCGTAACAGCATATATCATGTTGACCACATTTAAGAAGAAATGTTACAGTACACAGGGGTCGATGGGGATACAGATGTGCTGAAATGGAAGAAAAAGGAAATGGTCTTATATCAACTACCAAGAAAGATTTGGTCTGGAAAAAGGCATACGGGAGAGGAGACACCCATGTCATATCACTCTTCTCGTGTTTATGTTGTTTTATGATGGTGTATAGTGGCAAATCAAGGGAAAAAAATAAATGCATTAGAAGCATTTACTAAAACAGTTCAATATGTACTGTTCATATACCTGCCGAGAACAAGATGCACAAAAGCACACCTTGACACCACTGCCTTTTCCTCCTTGTATGCCTCCTTTTGAAAAAAAGTGAAAGATGATCAGGCAAGTGCCAAGGAGTTACGTGCGTGTGTGTGTGTGTGTGTGTGTGTGTGTGTGTGTGTGTGTGTGTGTGTGTGTGTGTGTGTGAGAGAGAGAGTTCATGCGCAATCCAAATGTATACACCTAGAAGTGAGTTATGAGTCAGATAGTTTCTTAAAAATACTTCAAACAGGGCACATTTCCCTGATGCTACGAAGCCGGGTCACAGTAAGGGGAAAAAATAATCACCATAACTCAGAATGCTATGCCAGTTTTAGTCAATCAATCAATCACAGCTGGTGTTACTTGCTGCTGGAGTCACGCACTCTATTACTTGACTGACCATAGGAGCTGACGTGGGAGATCGGCATTCTGTCAGAACGGAGCTCCAGCGTGTGCACAAAATTCACAATCTTCCGATGGGGTTAAAAGTCCCGAGAACAATAACCGATTGGGCAATCAAGTCAATATCTGATCGTATGTAATCATTAAGAGCTCGGGTTTGACAGGGAGAAAGGAGAGGCAGACACAACACTCAGCATTACAAAGCGAGGGCGAGGCCCCCCAGAAGCATCTCACACACATACAGTGTTGGCACGCACACAAGCACACGCAATGAGCAGACAGTTATCGGCCCATTTGCACGAAAAAAAAGAAGAAAAAAATACACTCATGCTTCCACAGTGAAGTCAGACAGAAACCTTAAGTTGCTAAGATCAAAGCCCAGAATCCCACCCGGACAATCGCAGAAAGGTGAAAGAGATGTTGAAGTTTTTAAGTGCCGGGGAGGCCTGTTTGTGCATGCGGAATTTGGAGTAGACAAGTGGTGAACTGAACATGCAGGTGAAGTCTGCATACAAAAAAGGCACTTCTGCTGGTTTATTAGAGAACCCTAATTTAAAAGAGCTCACCCAAACAAGGAAAGTTCAATCCAAGGTTCTGACAAGAGGGCGAGTTCCAGCTGTTCAATATACCGTATTTAGTATTCAACTCTCAACTGACTACTAAAAAAAGAACACAACCTAAAGTACTTTGAAGGATGAACAGCAACATCGCAGCCTGCACATGTGTGGTAATCGAAGTAAGAACATATGAATATAAATGTGTGAAATATTGATCCATCGTAATGCTTTTGAACCGGCAATATATCATGCGTATGTCTTGTGTAGTAATTTGCTCTCTGCTCAAACACTAGGGAAAAAAGGACAGATGGGGTAAATATATATATATATATATATATATATATATATCTAACAGTCTCTAACAGTCTCGTCTTCAATGTCTGTCTGGTTCTGTGTTATTGAATGCAAATACATGCATGTATAACCTTTGGGCTGAAAGGCTCTCATCTTTAAAGCGTTGACCTACGCATAAATGCGTTGCACAGGTCCTGAGCACAGACAAATTCTGACACTTGTTAGCAATGAGAGCCACAAATACTGTCAGTGTAAAAGGGCTAGTGGAATAAGGGAGGGGGAGGAGAGAAAAGGGTGAGGCATTAATGATAAGAGTCTGTTCAATGTGCAGTGAAGGGTAGAGTAGTGGGTTGCAGATGAGTCAAAAAAAGGTGGGCGAAAGTGAGTTTAAGAAAGTTTCAGGAGAAAAGTTATTCAGCAACAATACAAAAAAAAAGAAAGTAAAGAAAAAAACAGGGCAGAGGAAGTGAAAGTGTGAAAGTCCAGCCCTCGACACTGGATAACCGTTGGACACTAAGCCCGGTCTCACATCAGGTCGTCCTCCTGAGAGAAGTCAATCTTTGGTGTCTACCTCGCCTCTCCCTGCCATTTCCCAGGCCCTCTCTTCTCATCTCTTCCCTCAAACTATCCTGTCTTTATCCTGCTCTCCCCTCTGGCCTCTTTGTTATACATCCCTCTATCATCTGTATACTTTATACTTTCCCTAACTCAAAACCTTTCTCTACACACCATCCAGCCCTCGTAATATCCCCTATATTGCGTACGGGTTACACAAGTCTCTCTTTTGTTCTAAAAAAGAGAGACTTGTGTAACCCGTAATGCAGATGATTCCTCTCAAGGCCCTTTCTGAACCACAGTGTCAACTGTGTCAGGCCCAAATCATTTGAGCTTTCTATCGTAGAGGGCGCTTTCCGCTAGGAAACCAATGTGTGTTTGTTTATGTGTGTGTGTGTGCGTATTTTGTTTTTTGGGAAAACATAGATCCGCTGATTTTTTACAGAAGTGAAGTGGGATCAGTTGAGTGTGAAAGAAAAACATTGGCTTATAGTGTTTATTTTTTCCAAATCGATTAGAAAATCAGAATAAGATTTTCAACTCTTATTCTTAAAGAGAAAGAAAGACAACGGGGGTATGCAAGAGAATAACTTTGGACTTTGCCTGTTAACAAGCATGAGTGTCACTAACCTACCTTACTTATATTATACCTTATAAGGAATAACATATATTTGTAAAAAATATCGAGTACCTTTGCTATCATTTTGGGAGTCTCTCTCTCTGAGTAGGTGTAGAAGGAGTCTTCTCTGAGATGCGTGTTTCCAGCTGCGCTGGCCGTGTGTCCTCCAGTGCGGCTCAGGGTGATGGAGGTTTGTCCTGAAGAATGTAAAGCTTCTTCCTTCTGTAGACTCTTTGTGCAAACATCATCCAGCACCACTTTAACACAGTGGGCCATGTGAGGGACCAGCCCTATAAACGCTGACCTCCAATCAAACTCCAAAACATGTGCCTGCAAAATAGCAAATAGTTGAATGCTCATGGGGATATTTTAACTGTTGATAACGAGCCTCAATGACTTTGAATAGCTGTCAAACAACTTTCTCACAAGGGTTTTACACATGAACACATGAAAAGTCTCACCTCTGGCATGTGGAGAAGTGCTTCAGCTGTGGATTTCTTGCAATCTGTGGTCATATCTAAGTCTTCTCGGTTCTTTTTCAAAATGCCTTAAAAATAATGCAAACGCAATTTAATAGATCTTAGAACATTAAAGTAGCATCATCAGTAGCAATGACTGGCTCACCTCTCAAATCTCATCAGAGGAATCTTAACAAGGGCCAACAATGATTCAGAATTTTCCCACACCACACTTACTCTATAATCAGATTATGTGTTAAGAGTAAGTGCAAAGTACAGAAACACAAAAGAAGTATTTAACATGTGTATATTTTTTATAAATTATATAAATGTATGTTTTAATGTTTCATAGCAGTTTATCATTTTTAAATTTTGCTCCCCTCCTTTACTGTGAGCGAAAATAGGAAAGTGGCCAGAGAAGAACCACAGGCCTAAGAGGGAAGTGCAACACTTCAGTGATGCTTTACAAGCCTATACTCGGGGATTAGATTTGATTTGAACCAAGATAGCATCAACTACATGGGGTAATTCCATGAGGGGAGATTGTGTTGATGTTTGGGGAGACGTGACGATGTAGTGTGGGGGGGGGGACATGAAGACAAGCAGACAGGATGTTGTTTTTTTTGCAATTATAAAGCGTGAACATCATGGCCACATTTTCCTAATCGGAAGGCGAAGAGTGAGACCCCAGGCGAGGCAATTTAGCTGAACAAGACTGCGTGGAATGGAAGGAGGAGGAAGCAGCAAGCGCATCACTTTTTGACCTTTAAGCCCATCTGATGAATTTCTGGTAATTAAGCCGTTTGATTGCCTGGAATTAATGATTTGGATAACTGCCCTTTAAAGGCTGTTTACCTCTCTGTAAATTGAGCCTTTTTGCAAGTCTTGTTTTTGTAAATGTAACCTTTATGGAAATTACTCCATGCACCAAAAGCTTTCATTTAAATCTCTGGAGCAGCCTCTCTCCCCTTTGAACTGCAAAGGGGAGAGAGGACAAGGATGCTAAAGGCTTATTTAAGACCCAAGATAATTCCCTACTAAAATAACATTTCTTTAGACACAACTCAGATTCCCTGCTACGACATGTAACAGTGTGTGTGTGTGCGTGTGTGTGTGTGTGTTGGTTTGTGAGGTCAAAACTGGACTTTGGCTCACATGCCGGGCCGTAGCAAGAAATCCCTACTGTAACAAGACTAAAATTTTTACTCAAAATGAATAGATTACTTTTCACAGTATTCATTCTTTATCTATTTGATCAGTTTAAGCTGAATCTAGCTATCTAAATAATGTTTTGGAACCCTTTCCTCACTGTGAGGCAAGCACAAATGTAAACTGCATTGCAAAAATTTCAATTCCACAGAAAAAGTGACATACGTGTCAGATTTCTAAAACATGAATGCAGTAATACCTTTTACAGAGCGAGTCTCTCCTGTGCAGTCAATAACAGTCAAATTAGTGACCAGCTCCTTCACAGTCCGCTCAAACCCGAGCAGGGTGCAGGCGAGCTGGGTTAACGCCCTCAGCTGGTGGGATGTTAAACTGAAGCTTCTGCCTTTCATGGGGAGCTCCATTGGTGCTGTGAGAAGGGGGGGGGGGGGGTTATTATGTGTAAAATATGAAAAAATAACATACCAAATGCTTGTGAATTCACGACTGGTGGAGATATAGAGGGGTCACAACTGCACTACAGTTTACGGTTCAATAAAGGAATAAACAATTAGATGAAAATAAGTTTTCGACGTGCACGCACTCATTAGAAAAACCCCAACCCCCCCTTTCAAATCCTGTCTGACACGGCACCTCCTATGAATATCGACCCATTCATGTTTTCCCAATACACGGCACAAACAAAGAGACAGTAAAAAAACATGCAAAACTTTGCTCCCTGAGAAGTCACACATGCACATCCTTTTCTCTCGGCACAAACTTTTCTCCTCTAACCCGCCGATGACCCTCTCGGCAAATATGGATTTCCCATTTTGGAGGCTGCCAAAGCCATCACCCGGGGGATGTTCCGCATTAAGCTGTAGAATGGGCGGCTGGGAGATGCGTTGCCATACTCCCAGACACATGCACAAATACTTTTGTATGTCCGCTTAAATGAGCTCCTCTACAGCAAAGTCATTTGGGAACGGATGAGCTCAGTATTAGCCTTGACTCTGAAAGCACAGAGATGATTGAGTGTTGGAACTCAAAGAAAGAAGAGTGGGGCGGGGGGGGGGCTCTTTTCCGATCATTTTAACATTATCGCCTATGGATCCTAATGTAATTTTGATATATTGTTAAACAAAATGACAACACACTGTCCCCAAAGGTCCCTGGTTCAATCATTCATGAGGTCCTGACTCTCCCGATCTATGAGTCGATGAGCGTACGGGTCTGCCCGGTGGGCACGTGTGTGTTTATGTGCAGGTAATGCAGGTCCTTATGAATAACTTGATTTTGTAGATGACACTTTCACACACATTTGCACATGTCAGTCTTGCAGGATAATTGCCACACTGCTACCAAGACTCTGTGGAATATATCTGACCTCAAGTTTGTTTGTGTTTGCAAATCTTTGGTGCATACATTTATTTATGTGCGAGTGTGTGTGCAAGCACGTATGAAGTCACATGTGAATACCTGTGTAATTATTTGGTGTGTATTTTCGACTGTGCGCGCATGCATTTGTGTGTGATTAAGCTGCATGGGTCTGCAGCTCGGCAGCTCCTCTGTAATAGGCTCCGGTGGGAGCCTGTGCTGGAGAGACTACCACGCTCTGCATGTGTACACGCGTGACCCGGCTGACACGCACGTGCCAGCCTCATTGCCAGGCTCGCGCGTCCACACACGCACCAACGATCATGTTCCCTTTCTGAAGTCACCAGCAAATCAACATAGCCTTCCGTGCCGCAACGTGAGGGAAAAACTAAAAGTGTCAACAACTCAAAAGAGTAAATCGCAACCTGATTATACAGGAACACGTTAGGGAGAGAGCAAGTGGATTCGCTAAAAAGCTACAACTAAAAGCCCTTTCCAACTCCTGCAGGGCATTGCCTTTGATAATAGCACCCATTGACCACCACTTCATCTGGAGAATCACCTCTCTCTCTCTTCCCTTTGTAACCATTCCTCTCTTCAAACGTTGACCCTATGACTCTTCACCTGCTCACTAACTCACACTCTAAGCAGTTGCGCACGACCTTGATGTTCAGCAATGTTTTACCTCAGCCTCTCACCGAGCTCTGCCGCCCGGGCTGTATAGGTATTTATCGTCGTCTCCGTAGCCAAATAGCCTTATAGCCATAGCAGTCTAGTACACAGCCATCTAAACCTCATTATACCTTTGTCAGAGCAATGAGGCCAAATGGAGGCTCTCATAGCTGCTTGATGGAGAGCCTGTGCTTAAAAGCACCCAGGTGTGTCATATAGTGTAGTGCACGGCGCGTCTCATAGAGTAGAATTAGGAAGGCCACTAGCAGGCAGAATAGTTCAACCAAAGGTCAATGTGCTGAGAATCAATAAGGGAGGACGGGTGCTGAAAGCTGGCGCTGAAAGCAAAGGAAAATGATATGTTGATGTATAAGGTCAGCCCATATGACATTACAGTGTGAGGGTGTTTTTATAAACAAAAAGAAAAATCAATGGTTACCGCGATAACCATAAAAGCAGTATGCTTCTCATTAGAAGCACTCAAAGAAAACAAGCACGTGTCAAGCAATATGTCACTCAACAAAACGTGTGAAACAGAAAACTGCGTGTTTGGACGGGGGGGGAGAGAGGGGGAGGGGGGCTGCATGTCTGAAAATACGCTCAACTCTGGAGGTCTACGGTGGCCAGTCTCAGTTTGTAGCTTTTAAGAATGATAACAATGTAACACAAAAGGAGCAAACAAATAGAGCAGGTATTTTCGGCGAGCCATCAGTCTTCTCCTTGTGTGTCTCTCCTGTGGGATCCAAGCACTCTCACTCCGCCTCATATACACACTCTGCTTTTGACTGGCAGCAAACAGAGAGAGAGAGAGACAGAGAGACAGAGAGAACGGAGGAAGGAGGAGATCTAGGGGAAGGAAAAGGGGTGGTGGTAAGGGATGAAAACCTGGGGAGGAGAGGGAGAGGCGGGATAAGGGAATTCCCTTAGCAGTTGTTATTGATTCCGGTGTTTACGGGCGAATAGTTTAGTGCCGTTTACAAAACAGAACAGATGCAGCCAGTGAGCAAAAAGGTAAACAATTGCTGTGTGGCGGGCTGCCAAATCCCCAGTCTGATGTATTAAACTCGCGGTGAAGAGCATTTCCCCTTTGGCTGCACTTATTGCCACTTCATTTCCTCTCCGCTCACATGCACACTCTCTCCTTCTTGTGTCTCTCTTTCTCTCTTGTTCCCTCGTTTATCTGAGGAGGGGGGGGAGAGAGAAGGGCGTAGGGCTCTTTTGCCGTCTGTCTATTTTCTGTCCTTCTCTGACCCAGGAGGCCCAGTTCTTCCAAACAGAGCCATTAGTAGGGGGAATTGCATGTGTCTGACATGGCCGAAAACCAATTATTAAACACTTTCTACCAAATGATGCCCAAGTCTTTAGGGAATGGGCAATCATGCAATAATTCAGCCACTGATTTAATTTCTCTACAGCACAGCATCTCTCTCTCTTTCTCTCTCTCTCTCTCTCCACTCCCTCATTTTCCTCTCTTACGCTCATTCACTCTTTCCAAATCTGACCGTCAGCTGGCTGCTCTGCCTCTCTCTCTTACCACACAACCACACTGGCCTCCAGCCTCCTATCATGTCATCACCATATGAAAAAAAAGAGCTTTCTGTTTGAGCAAATGTGTTTGTCGCGCCCCCTACAGGTAATTTCTGTACAATAAATACGGAGATAAAAACGAGGAGGCAATGCAACTGTTGCACACCTTGAGCAATGGAAAGGAAACCTGCTTTTGTGCACCCTTACCACGGGGCCACGGCCTCGAAGTGTAACGCTGCTGGTAGTGTGCACCTCTGTGCGGTCCTGTGTGTCCATGCCGTCCCGCGTGGTGCTCACTGCGTGTCAGGCAGGGTCCTGTGGGTGCCGTGGGGTACGTCTGTATATATGTATGTGTGTGTACGTGGGAAGGCTGCGAGCCACTGCGGACCGCCCGCTAGGCCCTCTGACAGCTGGGGTCCTCTTCGTCAGTTGCGGCCCACTGCTCGCTCAGACAGCAGTATTATGGGAAGCCTCCTGGTGCGACTCCCCAATACACACTGTGACACGTGCACACACACAAAACGCACAAGGCCCCAGTCTCTCGTGGCCCTTTCCCCGGGTGCTGTCCAACCAGGCCACAGCAGGGGCCACCTGCCCTTCACAGAGGGGAAAGTTACAATATTTGATGTCTCAATTAAGTTGCCTTTCCTACAAGGAGGTGTAGAGAGGGCAGAGAAGAAGGGCCTACTTTCTTTTTCCACATGTTCGTTTCTCAGTCTTCTGTCGGCGTATCTGAATTTCTTTGTGTAGGGATCATTTTTTCAGTGGCTTCCTCAAGTACTCGAACCGGGCAGCCTGGATGAAGAACAAGAAGGATTGTACTCTCTTGATGGGAGCATTTCATTAAAACCCCTTGTTTGCATTATTGTTTTCAAGCCCTCTGCAAATCTTGTATCACAAACTGCAGGCTGCTCTCAATAAACCGGCCCTTTTTCTCCGTGCTTTCTCAATAGAAGGTGCCAGGAAAATGTTCATATCCTTGAGCTTTTCAAGAGGGATACACAAAAGCCATTGTGACCACTCGGAGGAAATGGGGAAAAAAAATAAATGGCATGCATAATACACGTTCTCAAGGGCCGTGAAACATCTTTTTTTTCCAGTTGCGATTTCATTGGAGCCGTGATTTAGAGAAAATCAACACGACACACAATCACACGTTTCACGTCACACAACCAGAGAGTAAAGAACCCGCTCTTCTCATTAAGATTAGTAAACAACCACTTTTAAACAAGGCCTTCCTATTGTCTACAAGGACAATTTGAAGGTAGCAGCAAACAGCAAAAACAAATCATCCATAAACCGGAAGCACCGTGTATACACACATTCCTGCATGTACTCAGACACACACACACAAAACAACCTGCTTAGCCAATAATTACATGGAAGCATGCGAGTGCACGTCTCTGGCTGACAGTGTATATAAACTCAGAGATATGATCCAGTGAGGAGCTGCTCTTAATAAATATTAACAAACGCCGTTCCCAAGCAGCCTCAATCCCCACAAGCACCTCCAACGCCAGTCAGAGCCTCCGCCTAGCTATCTCGCTCCACTACAGAACTCGCTCCCTGCTGAATAGGCTGCTTTGCAATCTCTAAGAAAGAGTTCAAAGAGCCAGAAAGGGGCGACAGGGGTGGGGTGCGGCGGCAGTGGATGTGCTTGCTATATAGGTTCAAACTCAATCCTTTTTTTCAATCTATCGGGAGCCGCCAATGTCGTCATATGGGGAAATTAGTGGAAGTGGAATTTGCATCGGCGCTATCAGAATGGGGTTGCACAGTGTTTGAACAACCTCGACTTCACCCCTGTGGTCGACTGTTAGGGATTACATCCTGTGTGTGTGTGCAGAGAAGCTGGAATCAAAAGCTTTTGATGTGCTGCAAAATATGCATGAAAATGATGGAAGCCAAATAGTCATTTAATGATGCATTTTTAACAAGGAGGTGTTAAATTACTTTTAATAAAAAAATAGAAAGATGTTTCAAGTAACACGAGCGATAACTAGCAAAACTGATGAAGTGAAAAGTCTGTAATTGTTTCTATGGAGAAACGTGCAACTTTTGTTAGAGGATGGAGAAGTAGAGAACTGATGTGATTGCTTAAATGTATGAATGTACTGTATGATCCCACTACAGCCCAATAGACCTAATGGCACAGAAAAAGGTCAATTAGAGTACCAACTTCATTTGGGCTAAATCACAAACACACCTACAGTTACATGCATACATGCATGTGGACTTGGCACTCCCACCCCTGCAGACTCTGTGAGGTGTGTAAGTAAGGTTTAAAGCCGGTATTGTTCCTGACCGGCCTGTCTAGCACACTCCTAAGTCTCACTGCTCACCCCATTACACTGGGAAAACTACAGGAAAATAGGAAAAGACAAGAGAAGAAAAAAAGAAAGGAAATTGGACGCTCGAGAGACGGAGTAAAGGAAAAAGGGGAAGAGAAAATAGGAAGAGTGAGAAAATGGATGGCTGAGCCACTTCGCATCCGTCTAGGTGCAATGTCAGAGCCTGCCTTTGAGTCAGTGGGGTTAAAAGAGGAGGCAGATCTCGCCGTGAACGCTGTTAAATGGTTCAGTGGTTTGACAGTGGCTGATGCTACAGACAGTGATGCTCCCCCGGGAGCCTACGCAGTCTCTCAGGCATGGCTTCTATCAAAATATACCTCCTGTCTGCCTCTACTGCAAAAATAAACAATAACACAGCGGGGAAGGAGGGTGAGATCTAAAGAGTCATACGATGCTTATGAAAAATAAAAGAATCACATATAATTGTCAGACAATTATAGGCGTAGCAAACACAGTATGGCCGGTAAAGTATGAAAGCAGATTATGCATTAGTGTTTAAGCTTTGGCTCTGGAGGAGCCACTGGTATTAAGGTGGTGGATATGAGGGTTCCTCATCTTGTGGGAGGGGACTTTAAAACGTGAACGGCACAAAAAATATAATCCCAGTTGTGGCCCTTAAAGCGGTGTTGCAGCTGACACACACTCACACACTCACACACACACGTAAACCAGCACAGGCAAAACTGCTCCATTTTACCATCATTACACAGCACGGGTCCCCCGCTCCCTTTGGAGCCGTGTTCTGCCTCCGGTGCTACATTTGATGGTTTGTTGAGCGGCACGTAGGTGTGTAGCCTCCGCCGCGTTACGTGATCAAACAGCCCAACTGACGCATGGCCAATTATCCTGGCTGCCTCCTCTCATCTCACATTTAAGGAGAGGGAAAGTAAAAACCAGAGAGGGAGACGGAAAGAGAAGGATGGAGGGAGGGAGAGAGGGAGAAAAAGACGCGGGGCTGGTGGTGTTTATTGAAGAACGGCAGATGTAAAAGCACTCTTTCCCCTCGTTCCGCAGGGAAGTTGACATGTGCACCATATTTGAAAAAGCAAACAATGGCTCACACACACTTTACTTTTTTGATAGTGAATCTTTACCCTCAGCATGCCGTAAATAGGCCAATATAAAACAAACAAAGAGAATACGAGGGGAATTAAGTATCAAAAGTGACACGGCGTGTAAAGGTCTACACTCTTCTGTTGTCTCAGTGCATCACTGCCGGGTCCATGATGGTGACACATTCTGCTTTAGTGACAGATATTAAAAGTACACCAGATTTTTCCTCTAAATCATCCATCTTTGTGTCTGAACGGTTATCCTGAACCAACTCTTTCTTGGCTGTATAGCTAGATAAAAGTAAGAGGAAGTTTAAGGTCAATTGATTCCCCTTCTTCAGTGTACGGTGATGAGATTGAATGAAGGTTCAAGTGCTACTTTGCAATCGTTATGTTTTCATTAAGTTGATTTAGGTTCATGTTTTTATGGCGTGCTTGTAAAGAGGAGAGCCAAAGTATGTTGTTAACACAAGTCAAACCAACCTCCAAGAGGAAACAGTACACATTGCCTTAGGCTCAAGGTGAAGGAGTGAATTAACTGTGGCTTAAACACACTGCCGACAAACCTTGGATATAGCTTGGACCTCTCTCGGGATCAGGGCTCCTCACAGTCAAAGAGAAACCGAGTGGTAAATAGGGTTGAGAAGTAGTTTCAAAAGAAACTCTGGCCCTGGAAATGCTACTCTTCTCTTTTTGTTGGTTAAGAGGAAAGTGAGGCGGACGGGAGAGAGGGCAGTAAAAAGAAAGCAATTACAAAGGGAACGGCAGTTACTGACAATCACTTAAAGAGGCCTTGGCTGTGGCTCAGATCACTACACAATACAGTTGGAAAGTAAAAATGGAGAGCAGGGAGGGACACAATCGTTAGCCTTTATTGGGCAACGACAAGAAGCAGGAGTATAAAGAAGGCAGAAATGGAAGGACAGAACTGCTGCAGGCTACGTCCAATCACTCACCAAGGACTAGAAGAGGGAGAAAGGAGTGATCAGAAAGAGTAAAATAGCTATCAGATTTAAAAAAATGAATCAGAAAGAGACACTCACCTACGGTTGCCCGAGACCTGGCAGAATATTTCTTGATCTTGCCACTGAGCGTGGTGTTGTCCCTCAGGGCCGTCTCACTTTCTCTCTCCATCAGGGAGGCCAGTTCCTGGGCCACTGTGCTGAAGTAGGCCACGTTCAGGAAACCCAGGAGGGTGCATGGTTCTGCTAGTCGTGACAGGACGTGGATCTCCTCTTGGAGGGCTTGGGTCAGAGCCGGGGCAGCGTTGCGGAAGCCTTTAGCCAGTCGGTCAAAGCCGCTCTCCCCGCCTGGGCTTGAGCTCAGTGCAGAGACCAGAAGAGCCAATACGGATCGGCTTCTCAGACCCTGGACCATCCAAATAAAACAGTTATGGCCACTGTAGATTCATTGCTATATAGAGATCTGGAAGACACTAATTGAACTAATTCAAAAGATTGAACATTCTGTTATATTTCTTGTATTTTTCCAAAGGTTTTTACTGTATTTTCACAATTTTACCATACCTGGTAATGTGTGAGGGCCTCCGACTCAGGGTAAAGGAAGAACAGCTGTCGCAGACAGTGGACCCGTTCAGTCACAGAAATATGTCTGGGTGCGGGATGACCTGGGAATTGGGAAGACAGCCTGTCCAGCAGGTGACGCTGAAGCTGGAGACGGACATCATTCCATGCCTCTTGGATCTTAAAGGAAGTAAAAAAAAATTAAGGGTTTGTTGAACCAAACACAAAATAAACAGCAACCCATTGACTGGGTATCTAAATACCTTTTCGGGGGAGTAAGTGTGTTTTTAAACGAATTTAATCAAATGCTGAAATGCACATTATATTACAGGAGCTATCCACTTTAAATTCAGTCAGGGCCAGTATGACGAATGGAAACAATTATAAAGGAATAATAATGCTTTAAATGTACATAATAATATGGCAGTTTTAAGATGAACATGATGAATGAATAAAAGTCCTTCAAGACCTGAACACAAACTAACAAGAGATTGTATGATATAACCTCACTGTTACTAATTACTAATTGTACAGTAAATTACCTCTAATGGAGCATCATCTCTGACTTGATGAACCAGGTGGACGGAGGAGGCATTCAGAGAGGAGGGGCAGGATGAAGAGGAGGGGGTACAGGGAAAGCAGATGCCGCAAAGGCCAGACAAATCTAGCAGTAGTTGAAGTGTCACCTCCTCTTTCCCAGCGTCTTCAGACCCAAGGTACTGGTTCTGAGTGGAGCAGGAGAGGGGGCGGGGGGGGGGGCAGAGATTTATAACATTTAACTAAACTGAACTGGATATTGGGGGATTCCGTATGATTTTAGTTATCATCTGTGAAACATTTAAAATATAATTGTATGATCAACACCATCGGTGAGTCTTTATTACCAAAGCTCCAAAAAAGTCCAGGAGCTCTTGATGTCCAGTGTTAACCGGTCGGAAACTGTTGTGCGCTTTGATGTTGAACCACTGCAGACACTCCGAAGGGCTCGGCGGACGCTCCCGGGAGTCTCCCATTTTGGCCTGGAGCTCCTTCAGCTGACGCTCAATGCTACGAAAAAGGAACACAACAACCTCAGAGCAGAACTGTGTACAAAAGTGAGGCACTTAGTACAATACCCCCCAAACATTTGACATTTTTGCTGCTTGTTCTGATACAACGGAAAGGTGACGTTTAAAAGCAAATTTAGTCTTAACGTAACAATATGTCTTGTAAGAAATGTAATGGTCTCAAGCTTGGCCATCTGATGTTCTCATGCAGGACGTGTTTATCAGCCAACAAATGTTCCTGTCAAACTCTCAACTGTCAAGGTCTACTACGACAGTATTGTTTTTCTGAACGTTGAATTTTGAGAGATTAAGTAAACCCCAGACATTCAAGCAAAACCTATACACAAACAGCCACATTAGAGTTGTACAAACACACACTCACACACCATCTCATCACGTTTGTCTCTCATTCCGTGTCTGTGAGAAGACAGATACAGGAGCCTCAGCAGTAATGAACACAGACGTTGATATATCAGTGTGTGAGTGTGCGCTAAGCTTCTGGTGTGAAGTGGTGGTTCAGGCATCGGCAGGCATCTGAGACACGCGCTTTTTGTCGTCTTACTCTTCGCTTTGACACACACACACACAGCTCTTTTGATTTTAACAGGCTGCATCAGCTATTTCGTTTCCCCTCTAATATGACAGATTAGAAATGACATGTTTGGGCTCGACAAGTTTAGTCATTTCCATGCAAATCGATGCATATATGATGGAGCATGTAAGACTGTGAGTATGTGGCGTGCGTGTGTGTGTGTGTGTGTGTGTGTGTGTGTGTGTCTGTTCGTACAACATTTTTGCATTATTAAACATGTTGTTGCTGTGCAGACTGCTATTGTGTTTATGTGTGACTACGTGCTTGTTGTGTGCTTACAGCTGAAGCTATAAATCAGACAATCGTTTGACCGATCAACAAAAATCTATTAAGTCCAAAAGAATGTCAGTGAATTATACATCTGATACTGAAATAACGGTACATTTTCAATGAATCCCTGGTCTCTGTGATCTTCCAAAATTCACTTTCTATGACATTAGATACACGGCTAATTAAATGCTTGAATAAATTATTAATAAAATATTAATTAGCTGCAGAACTAGAGATCTTGTCCTCGCCACCTTTGTGTGTGTGTGTGTGTGTGTGTGTGTGTGTGTGTGTGTGTGTGTGTGTGTGTGTGTAAGCATACAGGATTCTAAGCCAAATTGCCATTTCAGATAGCTCATCCTCTAACGCAGGTCTATAAACTGCCTCCTGCCTACTCCCGGGCCGTGAACGCAACCAGATGTCTTACAATGGAAACACATTAAATAAGCGTTCAATCTGACACACTTTTGTTTCAGAGGGGAATAAAATGTTATAGACTGTTTCTGAACCGTTATCCTCCAAGTTGAACACTGCATAATGCTATAATTCTCTCCCTCTCTTTAACCATCTCACTTTATCTTCTTCTTTAGGCAGCCCAGATGACGCAACTCACTTTACACCCCTTCCACCAACTTGCTGACTACGAGATACCTTGCCTACAAAGTGGCTGTGTTGTAGATTAAACGTTCAAACCTCTCATTAAAATAGGCCTTTGTTGTGTTTTTTTACCCTGTGTGTGTGTGTGTTACTGTTCATCTTACTGCTTTAGCTTATGAACATTGTATTGGAAAGATATCGCCTTAACTTTTAAGAGACTGTGAGAGTGCAGCAACTCTCAACTCAGCTATTCTTGCCCGAAGCAAACTAGCTGTAAAACACGGCTTCTGCAAGGTCAAATCATAACCTGCACGGCTACAGGATGCTGATGGCACTGTGTGTAAAATTAATAGCAAGCACTTAAAACAAAACAAAAGGCTGTTTAGATTCTGGTTTGCTTGTGTGACTTTCAATAAGGAGAACATAGCCTTAACTTTCATTAAAAAGAAATGTACTTGGATACAGTTTCCACAAAATAACACTTTCCACTTTTGACGATGAATCTGGGTGAGTAAAAATGCAGTAGTAAGAAAAGATTCAAGTTGAATTTTTAGATGTCTTGGCATATAAAATCGCTGCTGTAGATGAAATGATAGAACGAAGCACTATGTGTGTTTATGGCATGTCATAAACAAGGACGTCCGTTCTGGGCTCCACCCCAGGACTTCACATAGACAGCAGGTTTCAAATTGGCTTCCATCTGTACAGCTCAGTGTTCACCTACTACTAATTTATTTTAGAAGCATGTTCCTGTTATATTTGTTCAAATTCAATCAATAAATCAAAAGCTATAACAAAAAAATACCCCCTTATGTGTGGTTGTTTTAGGACAGTATCATCACATCCGCCCCATGACTGCCTGCCTTCCTGCATGACACACACCCTGCCAGTACACGTATGGCATGTCACTGAGCTCCTCCAAAAGCTGCTAGCTTGACAGTTGTACCGACAATAGCAAAGTTGGTTGTTTACGTTCAGTGGCTTTGGAAGGAGACCTGGAGGGACAGCCTGCTAGTGCTGCAGGCTTGGCAACGTTCTCGCTAGATTCTTGCCACTTTTGGAACCAGTGATGATTGCTACTTTCTTTGGAAAAGAGTTGGCAATGCTTTTGCTTTTCCCAATTGGATAATTTTTTGAATATTTTGCTGATTCCTACCCAAGCTTTAAAAGCAGAACGTATAAGGAGACTACACTAGATGAACTGGCTGGCTTTTTTGTTTTTATTCAGCTTAATAACAAAATAGAAGTTTATAAAAACAGATTAAGCTTCATGGAACGTTGCCCTTTGTGGGGACTGGCACTCCACGAGGTATTTAGAGCAGTCTCTAAGATGCATTTTTGCCAATTGCGGACCCGAGAGATCGCTGACTTGAAAGACATAGAAAGTCACAGACAGGAAGAAGGAAATAAGGAATGGCTTCTGGGCTTCATTCTCTAGTTGCACTTCCAATCATCTCACTCTTGCCTTCACTCAACAAAACAATGTCCTCTAATGGCTACAGCACCGCACAACCGTCCCTCCGCAGCTGGCTCTCTCCATTTCCTCTTTTTTCGCGCTCCCCTAAACACTCTTACTTTCCTAATTTTCTTTTCCCGTACGCTCGCCTTTCAATTACCCCTCCTTAAGGCCTTGTGCTGTAAGTTATAAAGTCAATGTGGGTGTGAGTGTGTCAAGAAGTCCATCCAGCTCTCTGCAATGCTGCGACCTTTCGCCCGCCGGTGTAAAAGCTACCTGCAGCCTAATCAACTGGCCGGGATTAGCTCCGAACCTGATGACTTCTACCGCTAACAGCTCAGACACCAAGGAAAAAGAGAGAGGGGGAGAATGAGAGAAGCGAAAGGTACAAATGGGTCGAAAACAGAGGAGTCACAAAAAATATAACCATTCAACAATCTGAGTTAAGACGACAATGGACGAACCTGTAATGGCAAAAACGCCCGAGCAGAACTCAACAAAAGACCCGTAAAATGAGAAAAGAAGTAGAAGGAGCTGGGAGGAAAGGATTCTTCAGGGCTCTTGACAAACATGTCAATCATTTCACCCTTACTAACACACAGACACACACACACACGCACACACACACACAGACACACTCGCACCTTCACTGCTGAAGTGAAATCTAATTGTTTTTCAGCCAAGTCTAGCTAGACAGTCGACACCTCACCCGCACTCCCCCCCCCCAACCTTCCCCACCGCCGAGAGAGAAGGGGAACAACCGGAGGTCTTTTATTAGATATGATGGCACATTTCACAGCTCCCTGACTTACAGAAACCCAATCCTGCGATTAGTCAGCGCTTTGACGTTATCTTAAGTTCCTTGTCAGAATTAATTTAGTGTGGGTGGGCTGCTCTGGGGCTGTCTGTCTGTCGTACTGCGCTCGCTTACAGGAGGTGGAGGGGGGGTGGAGGAAATCAGGGCAGCCAGTTCCCTTTCAAATAAGCCCCAGCTGCAGTCAGAGCCAAACCAGCCCCCCGAGAACGAAATATCTCCTCCATCAAAGAGCCCCATTCTGCAAGGGGAAAAGCAGCCAACGGGCTCGAATGAACAGGCTGTAAACCGATCCCGTCCTCGCCCGGCCTGTCGCCCACTTAGTGCCCTGCGCCCTCAACCTCCCAGCCAGCCGGCCCGGCCGGTGATACCGGAGAACCAATACAGGTGATGGACTAACTTAACACACGTGTCACGCACAGCGAAACACAAGTTCAGCCGCATACCGCCAGGACTACAGATCGGTATTTCTGTTCATTGAGAAGGAGCCTGTTCAGTGTGGCAGACTTTCAACTCAAATTGCTGGTGAACATCAGCTGAATCCTGGTTCTCACATGCGCGCGTGCACACACACACAATCAGATGTAAAGGTTCTGACATTGTACCTTCATGAAGATTGGCAGCCGAACCAGTGAGAGTCATTTGCCTTGCCAGTGTGAAACTAGAGGATTGTTCACACTCTCCATGCCTGTGCTGACACTTCATTAGAGGTCTTTTCCTGGTGGCCCACGGCCCCCCCAGACCCCCGGTCCCCCCTGGCTCCACTTCGCACCGGGCCCTGAACCGCGCCACTGTCGCATCTGATGAAAACTAATGGATTACAGCATTCCAATTTGGGAGAGCCAGCTCTGTTGTCAGCCTATCTTAATCTCCTTCAATTAGGGTGCAGCTCTTAGGCAAATCTCTGACATCTGAGAACTGGGAGCAGGCCAGTCACCCGCACACAGGTGGAAGTCCATCCCCGGCGTGGGCGACACGGCCTCCCCTTCATCTCTTCAGTTTCCCTTCCCCGTCTTTCCCTTACTTCGTCAATTTGTCCCGTACCCTGATAAGTCAGTCATGCAGCAGGTGAGTGAGCAGTAGCAGTAGTATGTGTGTGGCTCTATACAATGGCTGCAGCCCACCCAGCTTGAGGCGAAAAAAGACGCCTCGCAAGATTGTGTTTGACTGGATGTGTCCCGACAGTAAAAGGTCTGTCCTGGAGTAGTCTGGGAGGAAGTGAACTGCAGCCTGACTGACACTGACCATTGGTCCCCCGCGGCGAGAGAAGGATTGCCTTATTTTTAGCCCCATTCTCCATTATCTGGATGCTTTGTTCTCATAATGGTTATCCCACTCCCATCTACAGGAACACAAAATAACCCCTTAATGCTTAGAAAGCAGAAAAATGGCCCGGCCTTCTGTAATAAGCCTTGAATTACCTACCCAAGGGTTTTCGTTTCAAGATGTGGAATCTTCAATTATTATGTTCCCATTTAGAAGGAGGAAGGAACGAGAGAGAGAGAGAAATGGAGGGAGGGAGACAGAGAGAGGGAGATAGGAAGGGATGAGACCCAGTCACTAATGGTTCCAGAGTGAGGCTTTGTTCACTTGCTACATTTAGTCCTGTCCTTCATCATCTGCCCTCAGCATCCCAACACCACAAACGATAACAGACCTGAAATATGGATCTCCCACACTCACATATCTCTCTCTCTCTCTCTCTTTATCAGTCTATTTCTGCTCTCCCACTATTCCCGTCTGCTTCCATTGAAAAATGGCTAAATATTTCAGTCTTCGGCGGTGTGGGGGGGGAGGGGGGGAGAGGGGTATTGACAACATGATGAGAAGATCTCCTGTAAGGATATTGGAGTACATCCATCTTCAAGGCCATGCAAAGTAATTCAAAGCGTTTCACATGATATCATTAAATGTATGATAAAATAAGGCAAAAGATGGGCTAACAAGAACATTTCAATAAAAAGTTTCATTGTTGATATGTGTTTGAAAACATGCATGCAGTGAGTAAGTAAATGCATTCAACATTCACTCTTGAATGAGTCTGAAATATGTGTATTTGTATTATGTAAAAAGATGATGAAAGCACAAGTGAGATTGCTAAATTGGACTTCTTCATCCAGAAGATTGATATGATTGAACATTGAGGGGAGATAATGAGAGAAAGAGTGGTAGGGAGAAGGAAAAAAGTAAAACACAATATGAATGCAGCCTTTCAGCTTCACTTTCATATTACTACCTCTGCAAAGCTAATCATATTTCTTCCAGATGATTAATCGATAGTAAAGGTGTTTTTTCATGGAGGTTTCTTCTCCCTTTGGAAGGATTTGCATTTCTGCAGGTGTCTGCACATAGTCAGCAAAAAGAAATCTAAACATTTAATATTCACACACCACGAACAACAATCTGCTCACATTTAATGAGAATAATATAATCCATCAAAGTAAACATGAAGCTTTTATTATCTTTTAACAGTGACTTTTTTGTAATTTTGCCAGTGCTATACTCTCATTCTAAATTGTTCATGAAAAAGTTCTTTGCTACCTGTCATTTACCCAAGATTCACATGAGGAAATGGAAGGAATCAGGAATTACAACCTCAATGTAACAACCTGATATGGTTAAATTCTTCAAGACACGTAACAGTGATTGGGGGACAATCAAAGTCAAATCGAGGTAACAAAACCCTGAATTGGGACACAACTCTTTTGCTTTGAGCTTGAAGGGTTCAAGAGGGCTTGTTAAAGCTTTTGCTACTCCAACTAACCTGTTGGCATTGAGATTGAGTTTCTCCTCCGCGTCTTTAAGGAGCTGTTCAAAGTCCAGCTCGCTGGGAAGGCCTGGAACCGGCGGCTCCACAAAGGCGTGGTCTTCAGGAAAATCCGCCGGCCACTCCATACTGCTTTGGAGGGACAAAGGGGAAACAGAGAGAGAGATAAACTTACTGTATACATAAGCACTCCACATGACATGTGCTAGTTCCTGATGCGAAATAATGTGAAAGACAGCACCGGTGTCAGGATTATATCAACAATTCAGAGCAAATAATAGAGATCTGGAGCGTATTATCACAGCTGTCTGTCATGAAACTGAACCCGCAGGCTAATTCTGGACACTCACATGTGGACAACAATAATTTGAAATTTCCTCAAACAGGAGGCACAAATCAATTGGACCTGAAACAAAAGGAGGCTTATTATCAACCCGAACATGTTTCTTACAGTTCCCCTCCTCTTTCCTCCAACAATAATTTGCAGTAGAAGGACCCCTGATCAAAATGCATTGCCTCCACCTCTAACCGTTTCCAACTACTGGCACTATGATGAGTTAACAAAGGAAGAAAAAATAGACTTAATAAATAAACAATGAGGTGAGATGCTCTTCAGTTGATCCTTTAAATAAACAACTCATCTCCTTACGTCTCTGGCACAACTGAGGCCCCCCGCTACCCTGTGGTGCTTAACGCTCATGCTAACAGCCAATCCCACGCCGGCGCCGTGTTGCTGGGTCTCATATCAACATTGTCATCAGCGCGAGTCAAGTGGAAGGTAATGGAGAGTGTCTGTGTCAATTTGGCTTTCTCGCACTCCGCCTCTCGCCCCTTCATCGTCATCTGCTGTGATTTTAATAATCCCTGTCAAACTCCAAACAGTTCCCCACACTCCTCCGCTGCTGCGTACAGTCGATGCCCCTCTCCCTGACGGGGCAGACAGGAAGCTCAACATTCATTTAGCCTGCACAAAGGGAGGCCTGTCCAGCTGGACAAATATTATTTTCCTCCGCTGACAGCCTCACCGGTTAAGCTTGTCCTTTATTATTTCTCCATCTCTTCTTCTCGCTTACGGTTTCCCCTCCTCGTCATGCTCCCTCCGCGCCACTGTGAGCCCCTCTGAGCAGGGGCCCATGCACAGCCACTGCAGAGAGGGAATGCTGTTTTAAATCTATGGTTTGGGAAGTAAGCATTGTACACACTGTGTGTGTGTGTGTGTGTGTGTGTGTGTGTGTGTGTTATATTAAACACAGTCTTGTTTGTTTCAACACCACACTCCTCTTGACATGTACAAAAGACAGACAGATGCACTGCACTGTATGTCTGCTGGGTGTCTACCTCCTGCTCTGCTAATATATCATCTGTTACCTACTAAGAGTGTGTATATGTAAGCGAATGTGTGTCGGGATTCTCCAAGCAGCACAAAGGGCCTCATTAGTACTATAGTCGAAATCTTCTGGTCTCTTTTGTCTTGTCATTAGCTCTTTACAAAGCAGATGTTGGAGGAGCTACTGTGTGTTTCAAGGTGTTGCAACAGGGACAAGTGGGCAGACGCTGGCTTTCTGAGACATCCACTCCACAGCTATTAAAACTGGGGAAGTACCAGCCGCTTACAGACCCTTACACACACACACACACACACACACACACACACACACACACACACACACACACACACACACACGCCACTGTCTTATCTCTCTTGCTGCTACCTGTCTAACCCAGCTAGGCTAACACACAGGCCCATTTACAGTAATGAGTTTGTCCTGAAATATTTAGCAGCACGGTCCCCAGGCCGTCGCTTTAAAACCACTTAGAGCATGTCAAGTTAAAGTCAACATTATTTTAAAGCGGTGCACCTAACAGTCTGCTGTGAAGGAAACATAATAAATTAAATGGGTGCATATTCTGAGATCATAATACTGCTGAGAACTACTCACTTCTCATGCATGCCCAGGGGGGAGCGTGGCTTCACTGTTACTGTACAACCACATGGTCCTGCTACACTGTAGTGCCTTTGAATTATCTTTTATTTTAAAATAAGCCCTCTTATAAAGTCTCTTTAGTGATGGGCTTTAATCGCATCATACTTAATATAGTGATAGTTGTGCTCTGTTTAGGAGGCACAAATCTGGTTAAAATATATTGGGCTTTTTGTTTATACTATAGGGAAATATGTGTACCTAATGTGTTCTTAAAATATGTTGCGTAATAAGACTGTTGTCTTATTAAAATTGTGGTGCCACAGCTTGGCATCATCATAACAAATGCCCATGTGATTAGCCTGCACTGAGGGAATGAACAATACATGACTTAATCCTGGTATGGCCTTGTCATTGCTGTTTTGTGGGATTGTCATCATCATTCACCAGTACTAAAGTATCCAAAACAAGGAATATATTACATCAACATTAATATTTAAACATATTGTGTAGCTTATAGCATCCCAACTGTCATTATTTCAGTAAAGCTCAATACTTCTGTTCTAAACATGCATTATTGTAAGATTATTGAAATAAAGGTTTTATTGGTATAACTGCAAGTGGAATGTAAATCTAGCAATAAATACAATGTAAAAATGTTGTGGGACTCAACTGTCTAAAATTCAAATTTAATTCATGACTTGTATCATCAATTATCAATTTAAAGACAAGCACACTTTTTTGTTGCATAGGTTTGTAAACTGGCTGATAAATGATCATTTAATTTAGTAGCACACCAGTATATACAGAAACACGTCAGTGAGACTGATTCAACACATCCAGAATGACGTTAATCATTTCATTCAGAGCTTCAAAAACTGTTTTAAGAAAAAGGCCATCATAAGAAAAGAACACCCGTCAAAATTAAAATGTTCATGTCGTGTTCAAACAGTAGCATGAAAGCAAAATGTATTAAGTGAAAGACACACAAGTCAGAGAAAAGTGGCGGATAATCACTTGTTAAAAGCCAGACCCGACAAATGCTTGGTGGTTTTGTTTTACTAGTGCCTTACATTTGTCCTAAATTCATAAAAATCAGAATTGATGTCCAATAATTAAGAGGTTAATAACAATGCTCATTTGATAACATTCATGCGCACAGTTTTATATAAATGTACTTGTGCTGAAACATCTATTGGTAGATGAGAGAGAAATGCTTTGTGCCTTAAGCATACATGTCTAAATGTCTAGTTAACTTGAAATTGCTTGTTTTGGTAATTGTGATATCTTTGTCTCTGCATTAGAAATACTTACCATTGTAATTCTGGTTCCAGCAAGTTATCTATATTGTTTTTATATTGAAAATGGAACGAGTGTCACAAAAACATCTGCATTGATTCAATATGTTTAACTTACCTGAACAAGATCCTTTATATTCGATCTCGTAGAAATGTCTTTTACATGTAACGTTTAGCTTGATTTACGGTCATTGAATATGGACATTTTCCAGAGGTTTACGCAATATGTAGCTGTTAACAAAACGGTGAACCGAGATAAGTGAAGAGCAAACATGCCACAACGTTAGTGAACGATAATATAACTAACGTTACAATGACTGTGATGTGAAGATTATCCTTCAACACCACGGAACGTACCATTATTTGGCAAACAGCCGTGCGGCTTCATAAGCAGCTTCTACGTCGGACCGGAGTTATTGTTATCAATCGATCAAACATCCCCGTTAATCAAACAGCGCCGTGTTATTTGTATGATATCCAGTTATTGTCGTTATTTCCGGGCACAGAAAGCGTCCGTGGCAACAACCTGGAAGTATCTCCATAACTACTTCCGCTAGATGGAACATTCCAACTCACAAACCAAATGGGGGAAGTTATCTTATATTGGCAGAAATACACGTACATTTGACCAACAAAAGATCTTATTGACCCACGGATATATCGTGATATGTTGTTAGCTTCCTTACTTGTGATATATATAGCCGTTTTTAGCCTTTTTATTTGTTGAAACTCATACTAGCCTATCGATAATCACCCATCTCCTAATTAGTTAGCTGTGCCTTGAACTTGTCAACACTTGATGGTTGGGCGGTGAATTTGCCTCAGAGTGCCTTTATATGTCACTTTCATTTACAGTTTCGAGTCGGAGTGCAGTTTATCACATATCTTTGGAACGAAGCAGCCAATCGCTGATACAAAACTCTGCTCAACGACATTGGATGTTGTTGTTGTCGCAGTTTTGGCGCGCCAGTGTATACTGGGAAGGATCATCAGTGGAATGAAGAGAGGTAGCTAACGTCACATCAGTCAACACTGTTTAAACTACTGCATTTGTTTACCGATGTATCTAACGCTTTTTGGGGGGGTATTTTAGTCAGCACATGTGTAGGTTACAAAACTATCCAACACATAACATTCAGGGCAAAGTTTGAATACACCCATTGTGTTTGTGTGCAAGAAAATGTGTAAGTGCATTTAACTGGTGAGTGATATCCCCCACATACCAACCTGTGTCACAAAGTTCATGCAGCATGAAACATGTTGTTCCAGTAGTGTTCATTAGCTATCATCTTGTTTAACAAGAATTGCAGCCTTGTGGTTTCCAGTGGATCTGGTGTAATTTTACACGCGAGAGAGTCTCACTTCTTCCTTGTCTTCTTCCTCGTCGTCAGGATGGAAAACTGCATGCACGTTTTCCAGGTCTCTGGAATCAAGACCCGGGATAAGAAGAAGGTTTTGGTCCAGATAATCCAGCAGCTGGGTGGAAAATACATTGGTGGCTCAGTGAGTTTTCCATAATTTGCTATGCATAGTTTGGTCAAATGCTTTCAACTTGTGATTCATATTCTATTTTACAGAGGTGTCTAATTTATAAGTGAAACCAACTGAAGTAAATCCAAAGAATTATCTGTCAATCATTGTGTGAATGACTCGTCTAATCACGATCACGTATCAGGTATTCTGGGTATTAGTCCTAGGCTGGTATTCTATGCAAGATAATATTGTGTATGAGGATTACAACAGTTTAACCGTGAATAAAGGAGACCGGAGTGCTGAACAGGGAGTGGCGGTTTGATATGAACTTCGGCTCTTTCGTGTCACCGTTTGCAGTTTATCAGATATGTGTTAATAATAATTAATAGTCCATAGTGTGTATGTAAAGTATAGATTTCAATATATATTTCCCCTTTTCCATAGTTGTGCAGGTCCTGACATGTTTGTGTTTTTTCTCACAGCTGAGATTGGGCGACAGTTTGATGTTATTATGAAGCCATTTATGTCGCAATGATAACACCACGTAGCCCCACCTACAACTTTAATTCATTCCACTTAAAAGAACTAGGTCTTGCCAATTATTGTTGCCTGTTACGTGTCATTAGACTGATTCCCTGCTAATCCCACAGGTCTATCAGCATTCCTCCACCCATCTCATAATCCCTCAGGTTTTGTCCAGCGAGAAGTTTTTGGCCGCCTGTGCTGCAGGTCAGTCACAGTCAAATTGATCAAAACTGCTTTTCTAAATAAACTTCTTAAAATCCTTCACTGCAGTTGTCCTTTTTCAAAGTCCCTGGACCGACACAACATCCCCGTTTTCTCTTTCCCCTGCTAGGAAAGTGGGTTGTGACTCCACAATATGTGCTGGACAGTTTTAAGAACGGATCCTGGCTCTCAGAGGGACCCTATGAAATTGCCATTACCACAGGTGTCTCGTCTTCAGTCTACCCCGCCAGGCAGTGGAGGGAGAAGGTGTCCAGCGGGAGGGTAACCGGGGCCTTTCAGGGCTGGAGGGTTCTCCTGATGGTCCGGGAGCCCAGCCGCAGGGCCATGTTCAAACGGTAAGGCATCACGCAAACTTTAGCGCAACAAAACATCCATGAATGAATAACATTTTGCAGACAAGGATGCTGGATCAGCTCAACTTTGATATTTCCCAGGCTGCTGAAAGCAGGTCGGGCCAAAGTATACCACTGCCCTCTTCCCCCTCACGCCTCTGTCACTCATGTCATGGCTAAACCCGTCACAGAGGACTCGAAATCCCACAATGCTCCTTGCTACCCTGTAAGCCACATTGTCCAGCACCTCTTTGGGGTAAGTCTGACTAATTTATGGAAAATATCGTCCTAATTTATTGTCTGTCTCATTGTGTTATTGTCATTTCATTTTACCATTTCCTTGTGTTATTTAAATGTTGTCCTACTTGCAGTGAGTTCTCAAGTCTGAAAACCTCTTATTTGAGTTTGAATTGGTTAATCAGAATTATTACTTAAACAATTTTTTATTTAAAGCTTTGTTTCAATATAAGAATATTATCTTGAGGATGTTAGTTAAATGTCTAAAACTGTATCCCTTTTTATGTTTGTTTGGCAGAGCAATTGTGTGGATATGAAGTTCAACATAACGAATGATGTGTCAGCAGAGACAACACAGGACGGTTTTGTCGATGTGGACTTCTCCAAGCTGGAGACAGAGCTCCGGGACTATATCATCAGACAGGATGTACGCGTTTGTGTGTGAAATGAATTTGCAGAGAAGCTCGTACTTGCTCTACATTCTGTCCACCGGAATTACTAATGCTATTGTTAATGCGGTCCTTTGCTCCAGGCCCGGCCAAGACTCTGCCTCCTTGAATTCCTTGGTTACCATGATCCACACCGGCCACAGCCCCAGGTAGACACGTGCACACAGCACCCGCCTCCTCTAACTTTGATCACTGCCAAACATTTCTAAAATAACTGTGTTTCATCAAGAAGATCAGGTCATTCAATTTCCTTCATGTCATACATTTCAATGGAAAGTGACATCGAGAGCAAGGGCGCATCATACCCAGGTCACCAATTTAACCACCGCTGTCAGCTCATGTGAGAGTTCTGATTGGCAGGCCTATTAACGATACTTTCCACTGTCCTGACCACACATTACCCAAGTGGATCTCCATCAGATTGCTATTATAAGTGCTCATGTGTTTCCAATTCTGTAGCTTCTGAATCCGACTGCTATTTGCCATTAACAGACAGTCAAAAGAGACCTGCAGGAACTTTTGATGCTCATTTACTTCCTATTTCCATTACCCTTCTGCCCTCCGGCCTCTGCCGTCTGTCTCTTTGACTGCAATGTTTTCTCCTTCCATGCTCCCCTTATCCTACATTATTGTTCTTTTATCCATCCAGGGTACTGAAACGGACTTCAGCAATGTGGGTAGCATGATAGAGTGTGGGCTCTTCACTGAAGCCTTGGACTCAATCAAAAGTGCTATCTTCCCAGGCCTGCTTCCCCCAGCGTCATACCTGGTGTCCCTTTTAGAATATGCACAGCAGGTAGGACCAGAATTACCAAACCGCTGAAATTCCCCCCTGCTGCTTCACAAACCTCAGGGGAAGCTTTTCTAGCTGCCTTTTAGTCTTTTCTTAATAAATGTCGTTGGACTAAAATGTAATTTGACACTTTTATTCAATATTCAAATACCCAAAACTCAATCTGTCTGTTCATTATTTCACAGGGTAATGCCACATCTGTCTTCTTGAGGAATTTCCAGCAGGTCATGTACAACCTTCTTGTCACCAACCCTCCCTGGCTGCCTCCCAGCACAGTGAAAAAATATTTAGCCCAGGTGTTGCAGTGTCCTCGATGCAAAATGGGCCTGTGGCCTTTTCTGGAGACAGCCATCAGGTAAAGGTCATCTACCGTTATTTTGTTTGCATTTTAAATGTTGGGAAACCGATACTTGCACACTCTTTTCCAATATAATATAACTCAATTTGCATTGTTGACATATGTTGAAAAGGTAATATAATTATTTTGTCACATATTTTTTTATGTTCCTCTATTTCCTTGTATTCCTTTAGTTACTGCCTGTCTAGTGATGCCACTTGTCATCCGCTCCCTGGACCTGCCCTGCCAACACTGTTACATTTCCATAGTGACCTTCTGGCATTCTTCCTCAAGCTCTTCCAGGGGGAACTCCACTCTGTCACCAGCGGGTAACTTTGACGTGTACAGTGTGCGAGATAGGGCGAGGTCTTTCCTCACATCTGTTCACCCATAAAGCTCTAAATCCTTCCTGCGTGGACACAGTTGTGAATGGGGTTTCCCATTATTTTGAACATTTAAGAACATGGCTTGAATGTAATATATTTCAGTTTGAACTTGCCTTTATTTATTTAACAGCATCTTATGGAACAGTCTAGCTTTTCCTTAGTCACCCTCGCCTTCTCCATCTTCCTGCTCAGAGACTTTGTGCCGCATGAGTCGACAGGAGTCTCTCAGGCTTCAGCAACAGGATCTTTGCTATATGGAACCTTCTGGACAGTGTGGGAGCGCTCCACGCTGTTGTCCCGAGCTGTGAAACAACTAATCCAGCTCTTGGTACAGGCTGTCAGTGAGGTAAGTACTGGGGAACTCATCATTTCTCCTTGGCGGGTGCGTTACACCACCATAGATAATTGCCATTTGGGTCACATTTGTGATCGGACCGGAAAAACAAAGTCACTCCTACTCTTGGAGCTTGCTAACGGGTTTATCTTCCCTGAAGGACTACGCTGAGAGGGAAGAGGTGCAGAAGCTGCATTTGGCAGAAACTCTGCTGGACCTCCTGTCTGTCTTGGTGGAGTTCTGGTGTCAGCAGCACTTCAAGCTGAACCAGAACCTGGTGGAAAAGGGCCTCAAAGACCTAGCAGAGCACTTTGCTGTCACCAGCCAGGGTAATGAATCAAAATAGAAATGTTTTACTTTCATACATGTACCTTTTGTATTTCATGTTGTCTGTATGTGACCATAATGCACCAGAAAATAGAATGTGGAATGAAATACATAGTTTACAAGTAATTCAATCCCACTGTTTACCGTTACATATTTAAATTTATATTTATATTTTATATTGCAATCCATCCAGTTCTCACTGGCTGGTATCTGATGTCTCTTCCCTCTCTTTTCCCTTGCAGATGTATCTCCAGAGGTTCTGGCAGAGCTTGTTGTCAGGATTTGCTCGACTAGACTTAAGTTGATGATAGCAGATGCCATATTTAGGAGTCTTTGCTGCAGAAGTGGAATCACAGTTGGAGATGAACCCCTCTCTCTTAAGAAAATGGTTTGTGTGTTTGTTTGCTTTTTGTTTCTCACCTGATTTTCCATCAACCATTCACAGAAAACGTCATTAATCCTGAAATAGTTTTGCATAGGCATGCATCTCTTACTTCTGTAAATCCTGCTAGTCATGTGCTGCTTAGTTCAGTAAGTCATGAAGACATCTTGTAAAATGCAAGTTTGAATGGTTTGGTTAGCGGGCATTTTCAGTTCAAATTCCCACACACATGCATACACACAGTTAAAAAAAAACTCAGGATACTAAGCAATTAAAGAAACTAACAGCAATACTAATTAAAAAAAGATTTGCGTTAATAATGCCGGGTTTAATTGTTTTGATTTTTTTCTTTCGGTTTACTATAAAAAGGAATAAAACAAAGGAGTTTTGCACTAGTTAACTACTGCATTGTAAATCTGATCTGATAAATGTTTATTTAACAGCTCTCTCCTCCCAGACAATCATTTGGCTGATGTTAACTACCCCTTGCAGTAGAACATCTGGCTTTCTCACTCACGGCTGATGTTTTTGTGCCTCCTCAGTCCACTTGCGGTGTAAAGGCACCGTCTAACTTTGTGTGTGTCTGTGTGTCTCCGACAGGTGCTGTCCTACATGCCTGCACTGGAAAATTTAGCTCAGAGACCCTCTGGTGCTTGCCTCAGGACCAAACCCACCCCCCACAGCCGGACCAGCCAGGGGACCAGATGCAGGTCAGATACACACAGCTGTCCATCCACCACTGTTCATCTCTCACGGCACATTCTCATCAGAGCCTAGGCTGAATATTGGAGACAAGGAAGACATGCATGCAGAGGACAGGGATGCACAGGCACCAGTAGATTGGACTGTAGGTGCTTTCTCATTCCAGCGCCTTATTTTAGACTCAATTTTAAAACACCAAATCCATGGAAAATGTACTTATGTTTGCAGGTCATTGGGCGGATTTGAAATTGTCTATTGCTCTTAATTATAACTGGGCGTAAATCAGTGTTTGTACGTTGCCAATTGCTTAACCTTTTTAATATTGAATCCAATTAAATACTACTATACTTTGCTTTTTTGTTTCCCCCAAAAGTCTCTTAAAGGAACCGTGTGAATTTAAGTGATTTTAAATTAGCAGCATCTGTTTTTAATACATTTCTGGATATATATACATTATTTTAATCTTGTGTCTAAAATAGCAGAACTAGTCAACCAATTAGTCTACTTTGCATCCGTCGTCAGGTTTCCACCATTTAAACCCAAAAATGGTACGGGCCCGATGAGAAATGTGAGTGAAAAGGAACAAAGGAACACCTGGAGAGAGGATGAAAGTGTGTGTGTGTGTGTGTGTGTGTGTGTGTGTTAGGGGTGAGAAGCAGAGATGCATGAATGGAGGGACTGAGGGAAAGCTGGAGAGGGACAAATAGAGGTCAGACAGAGCGTGAGGAGTTGGCATGTGATGGGTCATGCCCAGGTCTGATCCTATCAGTGTGTGCTGGCTGAAAGGAGGGGTGCATGGGGAGGTTAGACCCTCTCATCTCTAACACACACACACACACGGAGCTGAGTCTGATTTGGACAGGAAGCTGACAGATAGACAGACCAGGAAATCCCATCAGGCCTTTGTGTCTTCCCATACGACCACCAGTGCTCAGCCTTCACTCCCCTTTCCACCTCTCTTGATCTACACTCACATACAAAGTCCCTCTCTGAATGCCAACACACTCTCCATACTTGGTGTCAGACATCTGCTGCTCCACCAGCAGGTAGTTGGCCTGGGGAAGGGGGAAGAGCCACAAGGGAGCAAGTTCATGGGAAGGCTACTGGTTCACGCGTTGCTCCGTTCTACCCTTCCCTCCGTCCCAGCTTGGGCTTTCTGCTTGTTCTACTTTCTGCTTTCCCCTCCGTTTCAGCGATTTAGTTTGTTTTGACGTGAACATGAGAGGAACGGAGTGAAACAAGTAATGCAATCTGCGCGTGTGAGATAAAGAAATGCCAAAGGGCGTGTAAAACCATTTGACCCTGAAAGAAAGAGCGAAATCAAAATGACAAAGCCTGTGATGAATTGAGAACAGAAACCAAAAGGAAATCTTGTTTCTTCATTTTTCATGCTTGAATGTATATTATACATCACTTCAGGGATGTTGACAGTCATAATCAATTAACACATCGTCTGTTGAAGCATTTATGAGTCTGGCACACTCCTCAGTTTCTGAGCATTTACAATGCAATTCTCTATGTTGATTTATGTTGAATAAAATCAAAGAACTCAACTATATTTTTTTTTGTCAAAGCACTTGTCAGTAATTCATGGTCCTAAACGGGATAGGAATTAAAAACAACATTTTTACCGAGGCGGATTTTAAATACAAATGTGACTGCTGCGTTCTATCGTTTCAGACGGTTAGAAGACAAAACAAAAAAGAATCCTAGTGCGATGTTCCGTATTGGATTCATCAAAAGAGCAGGACAAAGAGGTCATAAAGGTTGAGAGGAGCCACGCGACCCGCTTTGTCTTTCATTTCGGACTGTTCCAACGCATTAGGCTGCGGTTACTGTGACTTGAAGCCACTGTGTAGTGTGTGAGATGGCGAGTGTGCTTCTTCTGCACCAACAAACAGACCGGCTGGCATCGGAGGACACGTCCAAGCCACACACAGCCCACAGACCGACTATTTAGGTGGCTCTTTGACTTCCCTGCTGTCAGCGAGGCAGCAAGTGCCTTTAGCAGAAGGGAAGCTGAAATTAAACGCGTTTTTTTTTTTTTTTTTTTGTCCTGCTGGCTTAACTAAAGCTCTACAGTGTACTGCTATTATTATTATAATTATTATTATAATTATTATAATTATATGTTTACCCTCTTCTGACCAGACCTGAGTGTATTCATCATCAGCTGGATTCAAGAAAAGCCTGTAACTACATCCGCTATATAAGGGACTTGTGTTTCTTCTATGACCTTTTTTTTTTTTTTTTTTTGGTCAAATTCTAGCAAAGTGCAAAATGTATTGCGTAGATTTCTCTGGCATCCAACGTTGCACTTCCCAATTACTTACCCAGTATTTCTCACAAGTTTCTTGAGACTCTGCCTCCAAGGGCTGGTGCGGCCCCGGGCCCAGACTTGATTGCTGGGCCACTGACAGCATGCTGGCGTCCTAAAGTAGACCATGAGGGAAGGAAAGATTGGGGCGTGTACAAGCCAAGTACTGTCAACCTCCACTGCTGCCAGCCTATATGGACGGGGGACACTCGGGTGAAGTGGTTTGACGTAGGAAGTGGCACGCCCTTATACCAACATACACACACACACAGCCGCAGAAAGAGCGCTCGTCTCATCTCTTCTCAGTCTCGTCCCTGCTAATAACAAGCAGCGTGACGGGACGTGTTTCCTCCTCACTGCTGGGAGCTCCTTCCTGGCTACCGAACAAGCCAATTACCGAGGAACAAGCCCCTTCCCGGTAACACGGATGGCACTCCGCTTCAATGCGGCGCACGCCCGCGCGCACGGACGCAGACACCCCAGACACCTGTCAGACTTCATGCAGGCAGATCTTCCGTACCCGCTCACAGGACTAGTGACAGCCCACAGCTATTAGCACGCCACTACTTTGAAGAGGCTTCACTTTCTTTTACTAGTTATTCCTCCTAATGTGCTTGCTCACATTGAATTCTCTGTCTGTGCGTTTGAGGCGTTAAGTGGGAGGAAAAGTGCTTTGGAGATGGGAATGGAGGATCGGGCGTGTGAAGTGTGTGTATGTGAAGAGTGTGTGTGTGTGGGGCCAACACAGAAGGGGTTTGACAGATATTGTCAGATTTCATATGAAATGATGCGACGCCCCGGAGGGATTCATTTGCTAATAGCACTTTTCGCAGTGCAGTAATGCCCTATTCCCCTTCCTTGCTCCTCTAGGTCTCCGCGCTGTCACGCCGGTCAGTCATTGACACTGATGATGTAAATGCACATGCATGCATATTTCTCTCGTAACCCCCTCTGACCATGTGCTTTCCTTTCAGCAGTCCTCAGAGCTCTTTGGTGAACGAGAACGTCCCCAGAGGTTTGAACAGAGTCAACGCAGCAGGTACGGCGCATACATGCATGCATGCATACATACTAAAACCCCGCTGCTCGACTTTTAATGGTCATCGGTAAAGAGGCACATGATCGCTCCGTCATCACTTTCAGTTTAATGAAGAGCACATAATGTATGGAGAGAGTGACTGATCTGCATCGGACCACGCTTGCATCCAGGCAGCTGTGAAGGCAACGCGGCTGCATCATTTGCATGTATGTTCAGGGTGGAGCTCGGTTTATATCACGCCTCCTCCTCCACTGCTTCTATTTACATTGAAATTCACAGCGGCGCTGTTTTGACTTTTTCCTCATGTCTTATTCACCTTTTTAAAAAAGACAGAAATAATGGCTCCCGCATACAATAGCACATATTAGTACGCACAATGCGCCTCAGATCTGGATTTTAGGGATATGATATGCAGCAATTAGGGTCGGCCACAGATGCACTGGTGGAACTTCCTGCAATTAGAGGCATTGCACTCTGTGTGAACTTTTCAAGGTGTCAGAGCTCATATCTCCCTCCCTTCACCTGATCAGAAAGGCCCCGTGCCGGTGCAAAGGAGGGAGTGGGGGAGGGAGGGCCGAGGAGACTCAAGGCTGTTGGCATGTGTTGTTTTTCCACTACGTGATCTCTATACCGATGCGGTCGGCATTAATTTTTGATGAACCATCGGCACAGCATCCTCCCCTCTCGCCCTCTTATCCCATCCCCTCTCCTCCGATTCTCTCTCTCTGACTTGTTTCACCCACGTATGTAAGCTTGCTTCCCTATATGCTGCACTTCTTTACTTTAGAGTATCTGTCTCGCATCCTGGGACCTCAGTATCTTTGTCAAAGTCGCTGAAAGGGGTTGAGGGATTTGGGACGAACTTCTTTTTTTTCCTCGCTTCCTTCTTCTCCTCTAGAGATTGTATTCTAAATCAGTCTGAATATACTGTATGGTATTGTCAAGCAAGAACTACTGCGTGTTTTTTGTTGTGTCTGATGATATCTGTCTGCTTTTAGCTTAATTTTATCCTGAAACAAGCTATTATTATACAAAAGGCCAGTTTTCTGGGAATGTGAGGGTACTTTTGATTACCAGCATTTAAAAATAACTAAGAGGTTGCTTCTTTACAAAAGGCTCAAAGTAGTTATTTTCTATGTTCAACAAAGTCTGAAAGAGGTGGGGGGGGATAACATGTTGCTCTTAGACAGTGTCCGAATTGCTTTAAATGTATCAAAAAACTATCACTGAATATATTTTTATAACACATTCCTCACAAACTGTTTCTGTCAGCAGTCTTTTTGGTGCAGGGTTCTTTGGGCCAAGAGCCACTTTAGAGAAGCATACTGAGGGATATAAAGAGCAACACATACATTTAACTTTTCTATTTAAGTGTGAAACAGGTGATTTATAGAAAAGGACTGGCAGATTTATCCTTTCCGTGCTTGTAAATGCTGAGCATGCAATTACCCTTATAATAGGGGCGTTGTGTCCAAATCGGAGCCATTACAGTGATTTAACAGTGCGTGGATTGGCCCTGGCATTTGCGAGGATGTGTACACATGGGTTGTACTGGAATGGGTGTTTTATCACAGCGCTTTGGAACGCGCTAATAGCAGAGCAGCACATGTAGAACACTGACGTGTTCCAATGTAGAGCGTGTTCATCAGGGGCTGTGATTCTCTCTCTGTGGTCATTTTAGATTTTAGACTTCAATTTTGAGATTGTCTCGTTTGCAAAAGTTCAAACCATTTTTGCAGTGACGTATTTGCAGAATAAAAATCAGAACGTCCCTTTTTTGACTGAATTCAGTCATTTGTTCTTCCTTGAGTAGCAAATCAATATTAGATAGACTCGACCTGGCAAAGTGTTTGAAATAAGTTGCAGTCTGCTTCATCAGCCGGTTCGCTTCTCTTCTCCTGGGACATAATCTCTCGACTCTTCTGTTAAATGGTGCTTTTTTTTGGATAGTAAGTCCTCCCCTTTTCCTGTTTTCTCCCCGTCTCCACTCTTCAACCTCTTTGCTAACTGTGGATGACATTTAATGCGTCTTCCTCATCCTCAAAGACACCTCCTGGAAGAAAAGAATTCCTCAGAATGAATAGGATCCAGGATTTCCAATATTTCCCCCATATGCTTTGAAATGCTTGAAACCCTTTTCACTCTTCTTCACGGCTTCTTTCTTGCCCCACTGTTTCTTCCCCTCCCTCTCCTTTCTGCCCCAGTCTGTGCGCGCTGGAGTGGAGCCCCGGTACGGGCAAGGCGTCCTGGGGAGAGCTAGTAAAGCATTTATTATGTGCTTTTCAGTCGTGTATTATACTGGCGAGCAGAGAGCCACTCATGCTTGGCCTTTAACGTCCCTCTGAAGTTCAGCCATACATGAAAAGAGGCGGCTGTGGCTCTCTAATGTATTCCTGGTTTAATATTATAGCCGGAAAAAGTTAGGGACAAGTGAAAATGAAGGGAGATAAAGGGAAGTGGGAGGGGAAAATTGTGTTTTAAAAGTGTAAATGGAATCCGTGATTAGTTTTTTTTTTTTTTTTTTTTTCACGCCTATTCACTAGTAGTTTGCTGATGTAATATCACGTTGTGACACTCGCAATGTCCAGCGGAGCTTTTGAACCCAAGATCCGTGAAGAATCCTTTTTGGAGGCTTTGTGCGTGGGCTGTCTACCATAACTTCCTCTTCCAAGTGTCAATGCAGGGACGAGCGGACAGGAAGCAGGACCACATTCTTCCCGAATGCCCGGCTAGTAACTTTGTTGGGCTCAGGGCGTTTGTGTATCTCTGTGCCTGTAAAAGAGACAAAGCCCAAGCGAAATTAATCTCCCCATCTTTGGGGGGGGGGGGGATTCCCCTTGAAAGACCCCCCTCATCACTCTTCTTAATCGGCATTCTTCATCGGCGGGTCGTACTTTATTCGGTCCACGTTTTGGTCTTCTGGTGTTTGGGGAAATTTTAGGGGCATTTTATTGATGTGTTCACCAATCGGAGAGGGACATTGCGCAGGACATCCCCGCAACGCCCTGATTTGGGATGATCTCATCTCTTCCGCCTCTTCTCTTTTTTTTGTGTGTGTGTGTTCTCCCGTGGTGTGTGTGTGTGTGTGTGTGTTCGGGCGGAAGAAGAGACCCTCCTCCACAGAGCTTGCAAGAGGACCCAAGTGAAAACAGTGCTTCAGATCCTGTCGCTTCCTGGGACGGACGTCAACGTAAAAGGTAGGATCTTTCCGCTCCCCTTTTCTCCGGGAGGCTCCTTCTCCCCGGCTTCTGACTCAACTCCCACTTTTCGCTATCGGGATTCGGAGAGAGCGATTACCATGGGGGGGGGGGGGGGGGGTGTTTATGCGTCATCAGTGAGGGTAACCTTTAGCTAAAATGTAAAGGGTGTGTCTACGAGATCTGGATGGTTTTGTCGGCTCAAATTTATAGCTTTGTGTGACTTTGCTAAGTGGACTGAATGGCTTATGATATTTCAAAGCGACTTTCTTTTGTTCCTTTAGGTCAAATATAATGACTTCCCTTCCTTTTATGGAAATGTTTCAAAGATTTCTCTGATTTCGTGATGCCCTTTTTGATAAGAGCATAAAAATGTTCTTGCATCTTGGTAGGGGGTAATGCAGGAGGCGATATCTAAACTATCAAGCAGAACTATTTGCCAAACGGTGAAATTATTGCTGTCTCGTCGGCTTTGTCTCCCTGAACGAGGCCCGAGTCAACTGATGAAACAGATATACGTCATGATTATTTCAAAATGATCCAATTTATTCAGGACACGTCAATCCATGAATGCTTTAAAGTTAGCAATGAACGCTGTTAATCACTGTTTTACTATTTCCTAGAAATGTTGATTTCCCAGGTCAGACGTATATAGACGGTGATTTGTATTTACAATACAACAATTTCAAGCAGTCTCATTTTTAATTCTAAATCAATCTTCAGCAGCCTTATTTCACGTTAATGTCTTTTTGTCCTACGGCTGTGGAGAAGAACTAGATTACTCGTTTAAAAAATGTAAAATCTTCAGTTATCCCAGCTAACTGCTAACTTACTTGTGGTGCAGTTGTTAGCTCTGAGGGCTAACCAACAACTTAGCAGCAAGAGTTGCCCCATTCATGCCAAAAGTCTCTTCTTTTTCATAATGACGCTCTCGTCATATTCCCAATGGTCTAATACGGTAACATACTTTGGGAGATGTACAAATCTATTCAACTGCTTGTACCAAACGTCATCTTCCATGAAATCCTTGATAGAAAGCAAAGTTTTATATGACAAGTTTACATTAAATATTAAAGCTTTTTAACTGAAAAGCTTCATACAATGATACTAAAAGGTTTTGTGCTTGTTTGTGCATACAGACCATGCAGGCTGGACACCTTTGCATGAAGCGTGTAACCATGGCAGCACTGCGTGCGTGGAGGCGTTGCTACGTCACCACCCCGCCCCTGTGCTAAATAACCAGGTGGGTGGAGTCAGCCCACTTCACGACGCTGTGCTAAACGGACACATGGACATTGCCAAAATGCTACTGGAGCATGCGGGTGAGTGAATTTCACAAAAGCACCAGTCAGTGCTCTAAAGAGTGACGATGTAAAGACATTATTTTAAATGATTTACTCCAATTGTATATTATACCAAAATAATAGTTAAATGTTACGATAATACCAGGTAATACTCATCTTAAAAGTGATTGCTAAGGGCCACCTGTGTGTATTTACTAGATTAGGCTAATGCTTTTCATTTGGCTCAATCGCCATCGGACAAAACTTGTCTGTCATGTTAGTTAAAACTGTGACACTGATATCAGTGTTGGTGCTTTATTTCGTCTACATCATTACTCAGGCAGGTTCAATTATAAATTGCCACTCGTGTTACATGTATATATTTCCTAATGGGATGCGATACACTCAACTGTTTTTGTAAGTCTTCATACAATCCATCTTCCCCGAAGCGATTCATTAAACCAAATGGTTCCCGTCACTTTGATGGAATCATATAATGTTAGAATAAAACACCTTTTACTTGTGCAGCCAGTTGGCTGCCAAGTGAGCTAATCTGTGGAATTAGCCATTTAGCTAATGATTTACTGCATAAGTGGGCTACGCGTCACTGGCGCTGTGGCCAAGACACGCTTTCAATTTAATAAAGCAAACACTGGGGCTTACTGATGGGTCGAATGCTGCTTTCGACCTTACTAGGAGGGCCAGTTTTATCTCGACCGGATAACTGGTAAAGCGAGGGACCTGTTGATGGAGGGGCTTTTACGGGGTCTCTTGATGTTACGCACCCAGCCCACTCTGTTCATTACATAGATGATGTTAAGCCTTTGAGAACAGTTGTATTTTTGTGTGGCTCTAGAAGGGGGGAAAAGGGCGTATGTCGTGATGTTTAATTCAGCCTTTGCATTGTCACTGCAATTTCTTTTGAAGACACTGTGTGTTTGAGTTAGAAGGACATTGTCTATTTACCTGCGTGGATGATCTAACCAAAGATAGTGTTGATTTGCATTATGAGAAATGTAGGCCCTAGAGTTGTATCGGCTGGATCCATACTTTAAATGTGAGGAATTCTCCCTGGAATATCCCTTTAATGCGTTCCCTCAGGTTATGCACCATTGTTGTGTGTTGTCACAGGGTGTATTATGGTTCCCTACCAAACAAAAAGCACGGTGGAATGCAGACAAGACAGAGCAAATTGGTTTTAGACCCCAGAGGCGATCTGCTCCTTCGCTGTATGATTTGTAGATCATCTATACCATCTATCCTTCTGCCCGCCCGGCTTGTCTTCATAATCCTGATGCAATCCTGCACTGCAGTGTCTGTCCAAACAGATTACAGCGTCGTTTCACGAGATGCCTGTTAACGTCATTCTGACGAGATGAGAGGAAAAAAAAAACATTCACACGCCGTTATTTTGTGGGAATGTGTCACAGCGCGACTGGTTTGTGCGTCGGCGTGCCTGAGCTCAGGAGGGTTGATGGGCGTGGCAGCTCAGTAGAGGACGGCTTCGCTGGCTGCGTGCAGCAGGTGGCAGGGTGATGTCGTTGGGGGAGTGGGAAGACTTGAACAAGTCTGCTCACCTCTCAGTTTGACTAATTACAGTTAATTTTACTTTGCTTTCCCATTAACACGTGGACATATTCTCTCCTCAAGAAAACAAATTAGACTGGGATTGTTTAGGGCACAAGAGAGCACTCGCATTTTGTTTTTCTCCCCTCCTCAGTGACCAGAGGGAGGGGCAATTAAAAGAGGTCAGATGAACAAGCGGCTATCTGTAAAAAAAAACTGAGAAGATAAAGCGAGAGTGCCTGTGTGTCTGCGGCAAGCGGCCGGCCTGCTGTCTAGGCCACGTCTCTTAGGGTCGGCCGAGCAGGAAACCTGCAATGAGAGCCCTCCCGATGTCAAACACCTGCAGGCTCGTGCATTACACTTCCTTTTCTCACGCTCTCTCTGGACTCTGGGCGCTATTTTCTCACACCTTGACGGCGGGTTGTCTACAACAGAGCTCTGGTGAGGAGGTGGTCCTCTTGACTTCGGGCTGCACGGTCTCTCTTGGTCTCTTGGCTGTGATCTCCATCTGGTTGCCATAGACACCATCTTCTTCTTTTTTTCTCTTGAAGTCCTGGTTGATGAATCTTGGAAGTTTTGGCTTTGGGGTTTAACTTGGTCAGTTTCTGTAAGCATCTTAATGTTGTTGTTTGTTGCAGTTTTTTTTTTTGTAAATGTTGTCCAGGAAGACGCGTTGCTACGTTCCCATGGATTCGTCTCTTATCCTTATTTATTATATTTCTTTTTTTATTCTTCTTCGTGCGCGCTACATCTCCCGATACTATATTTTGCACTGAGGCATTGCATTCACCCCGTTGTTCCCAAAAGAAAGGCTGAACCGAGCTGCCAAGGTTCTGGTAGGCCAAAGAGGGCAACACTGACACTGGCACACCAACAAAGCCTTTATTTGGGAGTGATCTCACCCCTTTGTGAGCCTGTCTGCTGGGAGGCCTGGGCTCTTTTTCAGGGGTGAATTGTAAGGGGGGGGGTGGTGGATATATCCCACGCCGACCCCCTCCACCTCAGCACCACCTCCAGGCTTATAGAGCTGGCAAGGAAAGGATGCCATGGCTGAGGGCAAGGCTGACTCTGCTCTCCTCCTCTCCGCCTTCCATTGCCCAAAGGCTGCCCCATATGACCCTGTGTGTGTGTGTGTGTGTGTGTGTGTGTGGTACAGAAAGTGTCCTTGGGTATATATTTTGGTGTATGTGAATGAATGCACAAATATTTTCTTGAAACTCCAATCCTTTAATGAGCGTATGCTGGCTTGTTATTAAGTGTGTGTGTGTGTGTGTGTGTTAGTCGTCGCTTCCTTGTGCCCCTTCCTCAGCTGGAAGGAGTGTTTAAAATTTTGCAGGGTGGCCGGGGCAGCCGGTACCCCTGATTGGAATGGAAAATGACCCAGAGCCTTTAGCTGTGCAGTTCAGACCTGGCACGCACACACAGACACACACCCACACACACACACACGCACACACAGTAGAGGCGTGTCAGTTAGCAAAGGGGGTGGAGAAAGGAAGAAAAGAGCCTTTAAGCTGTCACCACTCGGCCCTGTGACCGTAATCGCTGATGGCATCTTCTCAATACAGCCCACCGTGTTAGTAAGCACAGCAAGTCCACCTCGACCGGTAAACACACACACACACACACACACACACACACACACAGACCTATTTAGATGCTCTGAGGGGAAAGAGTATATTTTATAAAAGTTTTGTTTCTTGTTCAGCTCGAGTCAAGCAAGTTCAGAGAAGCCGAAGAGGGTTGCGACTTCATTTACATTTTCCCTTTTGGATTATTTTTGTACATCTTTCATACACACACACACACACACACACACACACGGCCGGGTTGATGCGCGGCATCCCGCGGTCCCAGCAGATCTTAATGTGAACGAGTGTTTCTGGAGCAGAAAGATGTCATTTGTTCAGTGGTACGGGGAAGGCGCGTCTTTTTGAAACGGCTGCAGCATTTGTTGACCATGACGGCTGCTAGTTTCAGTGAGAGGTTTTTCATGTATTTTCCTTTCCTCTTTAGTTTGGTGTTCTACGTGTTTGTAAGTAGCAATAATTAAGAGACGGTGTCGACAAGTGTCGTCGAAAGGCTCCTGCATCCAGAGTCGAGTTACCTCACTTTAATTCACTTGCTTTGTCAAGGTCATGGAGATAAAACAAGCGGCACGCTCACAACACCAAGAGGTTTTGTTTTGTTGGCCATGAAGCTCTTTCTGCGAGTCGGCACTTTGTCCTTGAACTCGACCCTGCACACACTGCAACGGTGGAACTCCCCATGTAGCAGTTCTGTGTGCCTGCTTCACTCAGTCTTTCAATAAGAAGCTGAAGCCTGAAGCGTTGTTCTTTTAGTTTTGCGCGGCGATACGAGCGCTGCGAACTGGGGGAGCAGTTAGTCGTTCAACGGGAATGTTAAGTGAGTCTGAAGTCCCAAAGTTTAACTTTTCCATCACAATGTCAAATGTAAAAGCTTTTTAACAAACTTTAACAGAATTGTCTCTGTTTTGCAGTTATATTTGACAATATTGTTATTGTGAGTAAAGCAAAAGCTTGTTGAAGATCAGTAGACAGTTTATTCATTTTAAGAGCTCGGATTCTCAACGTCCTCCCCCACCACCACCGCCGTACCAAAGCACCCGCTTACAGGGGCTCAAGGCCGATGGCCACGAGGGAGAACTCAGCGTGGGTCTTTACTCGAACACAACCAAACACCTTTACCAGCAGCTGTATATTTATCTGTTCTCTATCAACCGATTCTGTATTCATGGACAAAACGTTGGCATCGAATGCTTAGTGTTTTTGTGCTTGCGTACTTGTAGTGTTTTAGTGAACCGTAGCGAAACGCTTTGCGTCCGCGTTTGTGTGGAGAGCACAGAAGACAAAAGTCCGAAAGATATTTGCCATAATGGCATTTCTAGGTATATTGATGATTTAGCTTTGCTGAAATGGCTACTTGTGAAACAACTTCAGTGTCTCATTTCATGTTGCTAATGAGACCGTAAATAATGGGCTACGGAATAGTCCGAAGATCTGTCGTCACACCAGCAGCCGAATCTCGTAAAACGTCTCAAAAATAATCTGTACCTTTTTTGGAAAAGGAAACCCCTTTTTAGTGAAGCCTCACAGAGCTGCTGACGTGGCTGTAAACCTTTTAACGCAGTCACGTCTTTGCATAATGCGCGTTTGAGTAGAGGGAAATACCAACATGTCGTAGAATTTGCTTATTGTACTCAAGAGTTACGCAGGTTTGATTTCTAACATCAGTTGACATCATTTATTGGTTCAGCCACCTCTAGTTCTGCATGCAAGAAGTCTTTCAGGCTACTTCATTTTAAATGGTTGTCCGCGTGTGAGTTGCATCATAGACCGTTCACATGGCGATTCGGTGCATGACATATTAGTAGAGCAGCGGAAGGGGGTGATTATCCTTTACTGATGGGGGAGACCGGTGAGGTGTTGATTTCGGGCGGCACTCTGATCATTGAAGGTGCTAATGGCTCATTGCTGATCAGCATACAGTAAAGAATCTGATAACACGTCTCACTAGTTGATGGAGTGGCAGGCGTTTACCTGAAGCTGCACCCTGCCCTTATCTACCCCGCCCCTTCTGAAACTGTGCCCCACCGGGGACACGTTAATCAGACGCAACCTGTTAAGATGGCGCTCACCTGTGACTGGGAAGTCAGAGCCCCGTCACCGGCTGTAATGTCGGCTCAATCCAGGACAAAACGCAGCAGAAAGTAGCCGAGGCACGACTGCTTCATCCAATGCAGCCTCCACGGGCTTCTCCATCCCTGCTTTTCATCCTCTGAATATCAAAGGGAGGAGGGAGGAGAAATGTATCCCTGAGCATTCACAAAGCAGATATGTATTGTAGCATATTTTCACATGTCTGGCTGTTCTTTCTTTTTTTTTTCCCCCCCCTGCATCTGACGGCTCTCCGCTGGCTGCTTCACGTGGCCGGCCTTGTTGTTTTTTTTTGCGGCGGTTACTAGTCGCTAGCTAGCTGCTCCCTGTGGATATGTGATGCCGGGGCCCCTGGCTGCAGTTCACACACTCCGCCTGCCTCCCTTTTGCAGGCAGAAAGAAAGAGAGGGAGGATGTTTACCATGCTGTGGAGCGGCTTGCTCCCCAGCTTGTCTGCCTCAGCCACAGCATCAGACCAGAAAGAGAAAGAGAGGGAGCTACGTAGGGGGAGGGAGCACTGCATCGTTCGTTCCCTTCCCTCCCACCCTCCATTTGCGCCAATTTTCCCTTCCTCCACTCCCGCTTTTATATTTCTTGTCTTCGCCTGCCCTCTAAAGGCCAAAGGGCTTTGCTGTGTGTGTGTGTGTGTGTGTGTGTGTGTGTGTGTGTGTGTGTGTGTGTGTGTGTGTGTGTGTGTGTGTGTGTGTGTGTGTGTGTGTGTGTGTCAGACTGCAGCTGGCTGGTGCATCAGGCAGTCGCTGATGCTCGACATGTGAATTTCCTCCTTCTGCTGCAGTTTCGGAGCTGAGGTTTAGCGGGGCATTTTCCCATCCGTGTGTACACACACACACAGATATAAAGGATGGTGTAATTACCCTGTGTTCCCATGTAATCCCCCAGGTGCTGTATTTATCTCTGCTGCAGCATATCTGACACCAAGCGCCAATACCTGGATTCACTTCAGTCACCAACCCTGCATCCAAACCGCTCCCCGGCCTCTGGTCTCACGACTCTCACGAGTGTGTGTGTGTGTGTGTGTGTGTGTATATTACATCATGAACAACACGTAAAGATATTTGTTTTTCTATATAACTTGCAATGCACTGGCAATGGTCGTTGATGTCTGCATCCAGTGCAGTTGAGCTTTAGTGCATTGCAGCATTGTTTTTACTCCTGGACGGATGTAACCGTACAACCAGAAAAAGCACACAAGTGGATTCTTGATGGAAATAAATGGGAGAAAGTCAAGGAGGTAAATATGCAAATGTGACGAACACGCCGACACGCACGTTATCCTCCAGGCAGACAGATCTACAATCAGACATGCACAGTACCGGCTTTCAGGCAAGCCGAGCCCAGGGCCGCGCTGCAGGGGCCCCCACACCAATGTCATCCTTCTGGTTGGAGCCTGCCTGTCAGCCGGGTTTCACACACTGTCGTAGGGGAATGCTGCAAAACTGCACTTCTCAATCTTGCATTTCTTTCTGTGTGTGTGTGTGTCTGAGACACGTCGGAGGTACAGTAGTATGTGGGATTGGATATGAAAGCACAATGCTGATGTTTTATTTCTGCGGGAGTTTTGTAGCAGAGTTCTAGTCATTTTTAATATTCACAAGAGCAGAGTCTGTGGCTCTGTGTATTTGAAATATATAATATATATCTCAAAGATCTCTACTGATAATACAGCTGTTATTGTGGATCTGACTTGTGGTGTTGCTTTATATCTAAATTTACCCTATTTTCTTTCTGCTGCAATAAGCTATTTTCTTATGAACGCAGAGTTCCATCTTAACAGATGTATTGGATTCATGCATTTTAAGAGGGAGAAGTTGTCTATAAAATGATTTCACCCACATACACTAAGTATGTACAGTTTGCATTCCTTGTACATATTTGATTATCAGTTTAAAAGTATTGTGGCAGTTGACGAAAACAACCGCTTCAACATTGGAGGAGGATACATATTAACGAGGAGGGGGGGGCGGAGGGATTTCTCTTACACTTAGGTTTAAGACTGCACAGGATGCTGGGGTTCGTAGCCCAGACTTAAAGACCCCTTGCAGAGCCGAGCCCTAATGGTCCTTTCAAAGAAAGGCGCGTGATAAATTGTAAAGAAAGACAGCCTCAATCCCTAGAGCATCCCATCTCGTTTGGAGCTCATCTGGAAATGGACAAAGATCTATCCCTTTTCCAGGAGACCTGATGCTGCGTTTCCATGTGCGTGGGCAAGTTTTTTTTTTTTTTTTTGCATCCACATTGTGGTGGACCTGAAGCTGGCTGCTACGTGTCACGCCTGGGCGGGCCTCCCACATTACAACCTTTCCTGCTGCATGAGCGTAATAGCGAGGACAGCTTGTTATAGAGACCCGGTGATTGTGACCTGCTGTGAACGCACGCCCGCACGCGCGCACACACACACACACACACACACACACACACACACCCCTCCCTCTCTCCGCCTTTCTCTCGTGGCCACTTTGATCAAATCTGTGCTCTTACGTTCTTGACCGCTGCCCCCGATGCCTGACCCCCGCATTTGAAATTTCCCCGCTTATGTAAAAGTTTATGCAGATTAATGCCACAATTTATGCAGATTGAGTTTTTGCCACTCAGGCTTGAAGCACTAAAAGGTAGATGAGCGCTGACCTTCCCCGCTAACAGCTACGTGAGCTCTCGCCGATTATCTCCTAACCGCTACACAGTGTTAGTTCAGCGGCAGAGAGAGACTTCAGACTTCATATTGTTCCATTTTGAACTTGTTTTTAAGTGTCATTTGAAACAAGGTTTATTTTTTTTTTTTGCAAAGTTGCATTTTGAGGGTCAATTTGGTTTGACGTGGGCGCGTGCGCACGCGTCAAACGATTGCCCCCCTTCTTTAGAATGTAATCCATCGGCCCCACAAACAGAAGCAACTAGCAGCGGTGGTGTGAAGCCGCCCCGTCTCCTACGACCAACGGGCCTCCGCGGGGCAGTGATCTCGTATGTGGCATCAGCTCGGCCGGGGGTCCAGCAGTCAAGTGGCATCAAGAGCAAAAGCAAACAAAGGGCCGACACTCTACTCGGCCCGCTGGACGTATCCAACACTAGGAAAGCGGACGGTGAAAGTCCCGGTTTTAACTTGCCTCACATATTTAGGTATTTCCAACATTAATTTGCCTCAATGGACTTTTTTATTAATATTATATAACTTCATTGAAAGTGAACACTGCATCTTGGAAGAACATTCAGGCCTCAGTCAGTTAAGGTGTGTTCAACTCACATTTAAAGTCAATTATTTCCTAATAAACACTCTTCTGGTGATTCAACTCAAAACCGCTGCTCATCCTCTGCTTTGAATATGCAAGGTAAATTAAATGAGGGGGTCAAAAATGATTTAGTAGTGTTTGCATTTGGATTTTCTGTCTTGTCATGGTATGTGCGTGTGAAGGTGACGCGCACGAATACAAGTGAATGCAATATGCGCTCTTCTGCTTGCACTCCCATGTACAGACTGGTCTTGCTTCAACAGGGGCATTGACGGATCCTCTTAGAGAACTCGCCTTGTAACTTGTCTAGCTTTTTGAGACGTCAAAGTCAACAAATCTGATCCCTTACACCTCCGCCCCCTGCAGGCTCCGCTATCCTGCAGCAAAATGACGGAGGGGAGCGGAACGCACTGGACCTGCTCTCAACGAGTCAGAGGGAGGAGCTCCTCCACAGCGCTCGTTTGGGAGATTCAACCCTGAGAAACGACTGCAGCGAGGCGTTGAACCTGCCCCTGCTGGAGGCCGGATCCTCTCTGCTGGCCCACATCATTTTCTCCTACCAGCAAGAGAGGGGCCTAACGGGCCACTCGCAGCCCAGCGACGAGTCCCACAGTCCGGGCCTCTTGCTGCTCAGAGCACTGGGGACCCACTCCCACCAAACAGTGACTCTGGGCTGGACCAACCAGCGGGCGGCGAGGCTGGTGGAGGATGCAGAGACGTTGCTGGAGCTCGGCAGAGGGAGTTACCTGGGGCAGATGTCTCTCGCGGTGAGAGAGTGCAAAGGAGAGAATACGCTGTTCCTGATGGAGATACTGGAGGATCTTCGGTCTCGGGGGAAGGGATGCACGAGTGGCTGATCTGTGACACTGGATCAATGGACACTGTTAAGAGTAAAATCAGAGGTTGCACATTCAAAGTAACGTTCAGGTATATCACCACACAATTCTCAGAGGCCTTAACATGTTTTCACAGACAACTCTCTGGCCTTCACCAATCTTCCCAATGGTGGAAATGAGTAATCGCGCCGCGTGTTCATGTCGACAGAGAACCTTGTAGCTGCACCGTAGTTTGGGCGAACAGTATCAGTCAAACGTTTGGACTCGCTTTCTAAGTCAATGTAACGAGACTGTGAGAAACCTTTAAACGGTGTTGCATTTCACTAGCTTTTTATTTATGTTGTGAATAGTGAAGAATTGTTTTTATGGCAACAGTCATTTCTATTTAGACTGTTACTACCTCAAGTTATTGTTCTGTACGGCTACTTCTCCTAATGTTGACGATAATGTTTTTCCATTTTATTTATAATAAATTAAAGTAACCCCACTGGTACATTCCATTCTGATAGATGTTAAGAGTGGTCAGTGTTACACCAATAAATTCGGGGGGTAAATAGCTACTGCGGTCTTTGGCTGGAAGGTGCTCTAACAAATTGAGCGGCCTCATGTGCGCAGCAGTCCTCCCGCTGAGATACTTGAGGCGCAGATGAGCACTCGGGTCTCGGACAAACAGCCAGCTTGTTGGGGGGGGGTCGAGTGTGCGATGGAGCAACAGAGGCCAGAGACCCAAATGTGAAAGTAGTCAAGACGGAGATGGATGGCTGGTTATTTCCTACGATGCTGACATTGTTGAAGCTGAAGAACAAATGTTGCAATAATCCGGAGACGCTAGAAAATATTTATTCTTTGTTTTCAGGGTTTTTTTTCTTTCATAATAAATCAACACACATCAGATGCATTTTATTTATCAAACCGTAAATATACATCTTATCTTCTTACACCCCGGCTGACCAATTTTTCCTGATTCCCTTCCTGAAATTTCATTGGACAAGAACTGGGCACATGAAGATGATGTCACTGGCAGGCAACGTCGCAGGCAGAAAAAGACAGACCTTAGAAAATGAGGCAGGCATACACCTACTTTACATTATCAACAGGCATACTGTATAAAATACAAACATGAAACTAAGTAGTAAGCTCTGTACAGAAATATTTAAAAAATAAATAGTTATTTCAGCTTGGTGCAAATAAAAGTGCTTTTCCCCCACTTTACAGCTGATACATTCCTTTATCAGATTTATTTGCCTACATCATACAAAATTAAAAACACTTTGGTTTGCTTGCAAACAAAATCTGAAAGCTGAAATCCAATAATATGACAGAAAATGAAATGGTATGTGAATGCAATACCACACAATAGCAATCACAATTTGCTGTAAAATAACTGCATACGGTAGTAGACATACAGTACAGATCAGGTATTCAAACAGTCCCTTCAGGCATTATAAAGAGCCATCCTTCAGCAGCCACGCAGTGTGTTTGTTGAGGACGCTATAATCAGTCTGCAACGCTGCTCTTAGGGGACAGTCTGTTATTGTCTTTCAAGTTGATTCCTCAAAACAACAAAACAAAATCAATGGCTCTCCGGAGTGGCAGATCCAAGCCTGTTGATATTTACGCATGGAGATGGATAGGTAAAGAGCGAGGGAGGGAGAGGGAACCGACGACGGCAAGGAGACGTCGTGGCGGTGAGAGGAGGGAGGGGTGTGAGCGATAAAGATGGGAGAGAGACAGACAACCAGACAAAAGGGGGAGAGCAGAAATCTGCAGAACGTTGGGGGGGTTGGGTGGGGGAAGATGGAGGCCCGCTCAAATGTAGCGTGGGCTGTGATCTTTCAACGGATGCTCCAGCAAAGAAGCCCAGGAGACCGTCCCTTCAGACAGGGTCGCAACCCCGCTCGCTGACGAGTGAGGGAACCGCACAGAGCGCCGACTGAAGGAGGAACAGGATGGGAACGGGGATGTGAAAGCATGAAACGCACACCCTGACATCTCGGGCCCGGGTCCCCTCAGAGCCTCGTCCTGTCACGCCGCGACGCGCCGCTCATCTTAGCTGACGGCAGCCTACAGCAGCCAATTCCACACCAAATAACAGCTGGCACTGCCGCTGCACCACACACACACACACACGACTGAATCCATGCATCAGTCTACAGCTGGAGGGGATTTACAATTGTTACACACACTGACGGCGAGAACAGCAGCGTGTCTTTGATTCCGTAAACGTGTGTACGCAAACAGCCTTACATATACGGTTCACTCTCTCACACACACACACACACACACACACACAAGCCTCTGTCTCTGGAACGACGGATCAAAGTTGTGCTGTGGGCACAGGAGGTGGGGCAGATGGAGAGGGCGGCCAGCCTGGGGCACAACAGCACAGAGAGCATGTTTGTGTGTGTGTTTGTGTGTGCGCCTGAGAGGGAGAGAATGTTCCTGCTCAAATGGGATGTTATGCTTTCATCCGCGAGCAAGTAGGTACAGTATGTGTAAGCAAGATCTCTGAAAGAAGCACAGTTACTCTGCATGCATGCTTGTGCGTGTGCGTGCGGTAATGCTTTCTTGTGTGGGCACCGAGGCAAACACACATGGAGATGAGAGGAAAGGAGACTTGCCTTTCAAACAAGATTAGGGATTGCGTCTGCCTAAACGCCTGCACGCCTAGCGACACTCTGCGTGGACGGGTGACATCTACACCAACACCCCGACAGCAGAAGGCCCATTCTGCTGTGTCATGTGACACGCAGAGACGCCGTCGCACTGATTGACTGACAGGGGACTTTGACACGTTTTTATGAACGCTAAATTGTGTGGACATTCGGTACGGATACACGTCCAGGGTAAAAAATACCAACTGTCTATACTTAAAAATGTCAATTTTCTTTCATAGTTCTGGGATTTTTGAAGTTGTGAGTATGGTAATCCCAAATCTATTTTAACAGCAGACTTACTTACTGGTTTGTAACGGCATCTTCTACTGTGGAATGATTTTCACAGCCGTGACGGATATGACCACACACCTTCAGCCTGTTGGTGCAGGTTTGCGTTTGTGTAGAAGGACATATCTGGGGGCTACCACCATAATTGCTAATCAACTTGGCTGGCTGAGTTAAGTGGAAACAATACAAATCACTTCCTATGAACACAACATCATTACCACATCCAAGAGGAATAACACAAAAGATACTTCAGTACAAAAACAATTACAAAATATGAACTTATTACCAAAACTATTTGATGACTACAATATACTATTTAAAAGTCCAATGCAGAGGTAATGCAAAAATGTTGGTATAAGGCTTGAATTCCGATAAAACAGATACATTTTTGGGAGGGCGAGTATAAATGTTAAAACTCGTTTTACTCATTGTGTGACACTTGTCACTTTTGGCAAGCAGATGGAAAAAGTCGTCCGAGCTGTCAGAGTGAAAGAGAAGAAAGGAGGTTGGCGCACGGGGCTGAGCAAAAGGTCATTCCATCCAAACTTACCCCTGGCCTTCAAAATCAATCAAAAGCTTAATGGGGATATTTCTGGTACTCGTCTTTTTTTTCTTTTTTTTTTAAATACAAAAATTCAGGAAACTGTACTGTACATCATGAGCAATTTAAGACAGAAAATAAAATTGGAAAGCAAAAAAAGGAAGGGAGGATAGCTGAGCGGAGCTGGTCCGGAGCCGTCTCCCTCTGCTCCCCAGAGTCCAGTAATAGACCACAAGCAGGAAAGTGAAGAAGAGAAGAGTTGGTGGACACAGTCATTTACCCCGGGTTGTTTTTCTTCCTTTTATTTGGACTGGGATTGGGATCCAGTTTCAGCTCTCGGTACTGCACCTGTTAAAACACACACACACACACACATCACCCGGTCAGGTGGAAAGAGCAAAGGATGCTTGAATAGCACAGAAACCCTCCAGAGGCTCTCTGAGTCCAGCTGTGTGGAACAGTGGCCGCAGGGAAGGGATTACACACTGATTACAACACACACACACACACACACACACACACACACACACACACACACACACACACACACACACTCCCTGTATACTGTTCAAAGGTCCAAATACATTCATGCTTGCACAAACACAAATACACGTGTACACACATACTTCCACATATGTGGGACAGTGGCCTAAGGGGAGGGACCACACAAACAAACAGAACAGGAAAATGACTCATGGGAAAGTCTTGGAGAGACAACAGAGTCATCACAGCATTGCAAGATGTTAAGGAGAGAAAGGGCAGAGCGATGGGAAGGAGACAGAAGTCACCGGGGCGCACTTTAACCCTAACAAAACCAAAGCTTAGCCGGTACTTTACTGGCGTATCAACACATTGCTGAACACATGTAGCTGGATCTCATAGGCTTGATATGGCTCACGGTGTAATTGTGGGTAAAAATGTTCACTCTAAATGCGTGTGCTGTTGACAAAAAAGTAGAAAAATGTAGACAAAAGAAATAAATAAATAATGCACTATATAGACCCTGTTGACCTTTGTTACCCTGGTTTCTAATCTCAATGCCGAGATGAGCGCACTGTCACTTGTCTTAAATAACTTGCGGTCTTGCACTACTAGAAACTTTGTGTTACCACCTTGGAATAAGACTTTGAATCAAATGTGTCACTAAAAATACATTTAGGTGGCACGTGTACTCACTGCGTTATCATTGAGTCACCCACTTCTCCCAAAGGGAAGTGACTCTCACGTCATGTGATGCTTTGCAAAGATGGCGCACTTAGAATGGAGCTGCTCTTAGGTGATGGACATTCAGACGTAACGGCATCACAGAGGCTGAGCCGCGGCAACCAGGGACTGTCACTTGTGTCTCTTATTTTCAGATGTGTGTGCGTGCACACACAAATACAGCCGCTAGCCTAGACACATTCAAGACACTGACAAGCAATAGCCACTGAATCAGAATACTAATAGACGGGAAAAAAAAAAACACTCAACAGTCACGGAACCAAAGAGCCAGTATCATCTGGTGGATCCTTCCTCGGCTGATGCGCGGTAGGCTACTCTGCCTGCATGACTGACTGACTGACTGACTGAATGACACCCCCTCTGATTCTCCAGGCAGGCAACAAACTGACGTCGATACGGTTCCTCTGTTCTGTCTCGTGGTGGGTCTGTCTGCTGTGGACGAGAACAGCGGCGTCTCTCTGCACCGGCTGGGAACAAGCCTTCATCATCCATCTTCTACTGGTTCCCACTGACGCGTCGATGAAGCCTTCCTGCTTACCAATGAAGACACATGCATACCCTTACGGATACGAGCAATAAGAATGCCCATATATATACACACACATACATACATAAATATATACCCATTATGACACACACACACACACACGACACCCTGCCACTGTATCATGAAAATCCCATAGAAATCCACACACTGCACACACATGTGGTGCAGCGGAGTATTTCAGAGCGGTGGTCACCTATGTCCTGTTGAGGTGCTTCCAGAGTGGTTAGGCCAGCATGTGTTGCTCTCTACGCCTCACTGGGCAGCCAGACCGCACTGATACAGATCTGGACATCCTACTAAACAGCTGTACAAACAGGGCCGGTTAGTGAGGTAAGTAAGTAGAAGACGACAAGGAAATAGGCCAGAAAAGAAGGAAAAAAAGTAATGATGGGAAAGGGAGACAAATACAGGTCAGATTTAGAAAGAAAGACGGGGGGAAGAGAGCAGGACAAACCAACACAGGAAACAGGAGAGAAAACGATGAAGAGCAAGAAGAAGGGACGGTGAGATCTTTGGACTCTCGGGTGATGACAGATACTGTTCTGATGTGTGCGTGGATCCTTTTTTAGCTCTGCCAACTAAAGCAGACAAAGGATCAGAACCCCAGAGGACAGAGACGCTTTATATAGCCCCCATCAGCGTGTGTGCAGGTGTGTGCAGTGGTAGTTTTAGTGGGGGGGGGGGGGGCCTGGCACAGGGCCCACATTCACTGCGACCATGACAGTTTTGATAATAGTTGAATGATTTGAATCCGCGCACGAGTGACGGAGCAACCGCACATCAGCAATGCAGCGCAGTTCCAAGGACACGCCAGTTAATATAAAACACCTGAAAAGAAAATTCACAAAGAAAATATTTTCCCTAATGCAACTCATTCTAACGCTGGCTGCAAGCGTTAAGCTATCTACCACGGATCCAAAAGTAGGACAGGTATTGTGCGGGATCACTGGCTGGTCCCATTACACGGCCAACCGCCTACAGCGCCAACAAGAAAAACGGTGATTTAATTCACAGGGTTGACGTTCCTGTCCAAACTATTTGTGAGCGCAGAAGAAAAACTAAGAAAAGTTTGCACGTCAGTAGAAAGTGGGCTTTTGTTTCTCGTAGAGTAGCAAGGGGGATCAACAAAAACAAAGGGTGTGGGCAAAAAAATATATATATATATCCCCATCAAACAAGAGTCTTCTTCGTGAGGAGCTGCCAGGCGAGAGAAATGGAGCTCATGCGTCACGGGTTCTATTGCACCTTACAGGTGACAGGCCTGATGCTGTAGCCCCGGCTCCCCCGCTCACCTCACCTAATAACACACACGCATCCATGCACACAACAAGAGCTAGTTAAAAAGAGTCAAAAAGACACAAAAAGGCAGAATAGGCGAGGAGAAAGTGGGACGTTAGCAAAATAAAGGAAACCGGAATTGGGTGAAAGGAGAAAAAAAAGTAAAAAGTGCGGTATAGAGAATATAAGCAATTTGGTAGCGCGAGAGGGGAGCTTAAAGGGAACATCGACAGGAGAGGCTGTGGGTAAAGACCCGGCGCTGCTCAAAGGCTGCTCCACCCTCGCTCCTCTCCTCTCCCAAATGTTGACAGTACAAGTGCAAAACAGGCTTTGAAGTGTGCTCTGCTGAAGGGGCGCCGTGTACCGCGCTTCGTTTAACGGTGTTACCCACAAAGCATCCCGGGACCTGCTCCTCTCCCCCGCTCGCACTGTCTCTCATTCTCTCCTCTCCCTCTCGCAGAGAATCTTTGACGGCGTTTTGATGATGCCAGTGTGGGCAGACAGACGAGGCGAGAACCAAGGATGGTGACAACGTGCAAAAAAAAAAAAGAATAGGCGAGTAAATAACTCAAGTGAAGAAAGGCGAGGGAGCAAACATTTTAATGATACTGTGTTATTCTGTCTTCCAGTCCTATCCACAGAGCACAAAAACTCAGCGGGTTTCATCTCATGTGACGCCTAATGGAGCATAAGGGTTATTAAATATTTCCAGGGAAACACTAGTGTGTATAGTTCACACATCGGAGGATTCAGCACTTGCACTTGTCTGCGGCTGGAAAAAAAAAAAAGCATGTCAAGGGGACTTAAAACTGTTGGGCGAAAAAAGAAATAGAAAGTTTTTCCTATAAACCGCCGTGGCACTGAACAGTGACAGAGAGGCCACTCGCAGTGAAATGTTTAGATTTGTCACTGAAGTGGGGAAGGACAAAGCGGAGGGGAGAGAGACCTCTGGCAGATGTAACTGATGGCATCTGGCAACGTTTCAGCCTTTTAACTATCCTGCCTTTGACCCTCGTGTCCATTGAGGTTTCATCCCCAACATAAATGTTTTCTAAAAATATTAACCCGACTCCCCACTGCTCATTAGGCGCTAATTTGGAATTCATGCTTATTTTTGTACTGCGGGTTTGATCCAGCTCCCTTATACCATAAAGGGCCACTTGGCATGCTAATTGCCTTGGCCTTACTTACGCACTCCCTAGCCCACATGGCTAATGGTGTCATAAAACACGCTAGTGCACGGACACCTCCCAAACGCCAGGTAGGGAATACCCAGTACCATAAAGGTGCTCCGTTTTGCCTTGTTTAATAGGACATGAAGGATTCCCCGATAACGACCATAACGATGGCCGACGCTGGTAAAAGAGCCAAACCAGGTTACCCAGAGAGGGGCAGCGACTCCCTCAGGCAGACATTGCTGCTCGCAGGGAGAAAATGACGTAAGAAAACGGTTCGGGTGGTAAAAAAGGTGCCTCTGCCCGTTGAAGCTCCCACGCACCAGTTTTTCCAAGGGGGTTTGACAGTGCTGTTCAGGTTCCAGTGTCATTGATTCATGGAGCTTGGTTTGCACTAAGGCACCCTCCGTTAACTGTGCAACCAATGACAAGTTGGTATCGCTGCGGCTAGATGCAAAGTTTTGTTTATGTGCACTTTAAAGAGAAAAGAAAGATAAGAACACTTAAGAGTCCTGAAGCTACATACATTACGATGGGCTGTGGCCAAGTGTGGATGCCCTTTATATATAAAGTCATTAGGAACTCATCAGTTCTGGCTGCACTGAGGCACCTCCAAATGATGCGGAACAATGCACTGAAACACCCCCAACCCGCCTTGTGTCTGTGTGTCTTTGTATGTGCGTTAGGTCACACCGGGTCCCTGAAATAGCTCTTCATTAGTCATCCAGAGCATCAGTCATAGCGGGCCCCAGCACCGGTGCCAGTGGGTGCCATGGACACGTGCCTGTGAAGGGATGCTCCATTTGGACTCCAGCAACTCTCTGCATCATCCAAGAGCCTAAAGGGCTTGATCCCCCAGGTGACTTTGACCCAGTAAGGCGGGGGCAGGCAATGAGGTGAACCCGCCACCGCAGGCAGCTGCGGGGCGCACGGCAAAGCAGAGCGTTCTGGTCTGTTTATAGCCGGCGACCGCTGAGCAGGGTGTCGTCGCAGAAAATTAACCTTTGCGATTCAAAGAGAGTGATCAATGTCTCAGTTCTTCATCAGCTGTCTCTAAACTTCATTGACCTTATTTTATTGCTAAAAACACTGCTACTTTATTTTAAATAATTCAACTAGTCATCTCCAATATTCAATTTGTCCTAATTCCTCCACCCTTTTTTCCATTTTCCTCCTCATCTTTCCTTCCTGAAATATTTCCTTACCCCTCTCCCTTGGTCTTTCCCCCTCATTACTGGGAGTCAGTCAGTGAAACCTGGCAACAATTACCAATCCGAAATCTGCGCCAATAACTGTTACAGTAGCACTTACAGTATAACTTATACAGTAGGCATAGCTCCAGCAGAACTGGCATCGGACCAGAGCGGCATGTCTGCCCCCACCTTCCCTAGCAAGCAGGCCCTCATTAGGGGCCTATAAAGGCCTCATACCTGCCAGGCCTAGGCCTCATTCACTGCACCGCTCCTCCTGTCTCCAGGTGTGTATGGTGGCTGCACTTCAGCAGAGGGGACGGCTCAGGCTCATTAAGCCCGGGGCTACCTGCCTTGTGCCAACTGCTGCAGCAGGCCTCAGTAAACTATGAAACTGCAAAACCATAAAACCCTGTGCCCAGCACGTAACTGTGTACGGGGACCAAAGGTGGGAGAAAGACGGGGGGGTTAGCGGGCGGGGGTGTGCAGGGGAGCAAGGATTAGGACCCTGTAAAGATGAAAGAAGTTGTAGCAATACGCGTTCAAAGAGGAAGTGTGTTAGCGCTGATGTGGCAGGGGATTGGTGGTATCAGAGGCCCCAGGTCAGCTGCAGCCTGCGTTCATATGTGTGTGTGTGTGTATTAAACTCAGCACAGCAGGGATTAACAGCCACAGCGGTGACCATTGGTCCTGCATAACACAACGACTTTCACAAGTTGCCGCTTAATTGCAGTTTAAACTGCACTTTGTCCTGCGCAGCACAGCACGTCACTGTTAACACACACACGCGCCTACGTGGGTATATTTTCCCTAACGAAGCATCTGTAGTCTACAGCCACAAAGTTAATCTGATCTCACGGTTAATGTAGAAGCAAAACCACATGGGGCTGGTTAACTGTTGGTTTACACTCTGTTCCAATTACTAGCAAAGCTCGGAAACAACAGCTAACTGTAATTGTGTGTGAGTGCATGTGTATGGAATCAATCAACCTAGTTATATGCTGGGCACTAAACTCACTTAACCTCGTTATCTTATTACACAGCTCCAGCTATGTACGTGGAAATTGAATTAGACTAGGAAGCTATTAATAGGAAAACACAGGAACCACTTTGAAACAATTAGATTAGATGTCTGCATGGCTAACAATGGATAGTCAGTTCGCCCTGCATGAAAAGTGCAACAGTGAGGTGCCAACGGCTGACGGGAGGAGAAATAAAGACAGGACACAGAGAGGCCTAACCCTTGCCCACGTCTGGGACTGACAGATGTGTTGTCAAAAAAGATCAAAAAAGATGAGACAGATGAAAAGGGAAAGTTAACCCACCACTTGCACATCTGACGGCACCCTGGACAGAAAGTCCAGCAGCTCGTTGTTATCAATAGTGTAGGGGTCTCGCAGCTTCTTGGTGAACTTATTCACCCCTGTAAAGTGAGGAAAGTGGTCAGGGCAAGTAGGGAGTGGATGGAAAACAGAGGTGGATATCAGAACACACATCCTTAATACATCCTTTCTGGTAGATATTCAGTACACTGAAAGTTCCCAATTTTAAACATAAATGCAGACCGAAACGGGGAAAGGACATTGCTCTGCCACAAGTTCACTTGGCTACAGTATTTACATTTAACTTTTACACGGAGTACATGAAAAACAACTCACCCCATGCTAGCACGATGTATCGTAGAGGGATGAAGTAGATGATGGTGGTGGCTGCGCCGAAAGCCACAATGGCCAACCAGCTTAAGAAAGGTACAGTCCAGTTGAATGTGCTGAAAAGAGAAAAAAAACGTGGTTAAATGGCAAAGCTGAGTCGAGCAGTAGAGTCAAGTGAGGCATTTTCACTTCTTTTCAAGCCAAACAGGGTGCTCTGCATGCCTCTGCACAGCAAATTCATCACATTCACTGGGACTGTGCAGAGGGAAATTACTTCACCCCCGGGCCTTACAGGTCAGCATCGCAGGGTGAAAATGGGTCACACTATCTAATCAGTAAAATGTTTTACAGATGCACGGGTCACAAATGTGTCAGCTTGATTGAAAATGCTTTTGAATAGAACCACAACTTGTAGCCCGACTCCTTTTTCTATTACGGATTTTAATCAAAACTAGAATCCCTTCGCTTTGTATGCATCCATTTAAAAATAGCAACGCCTGTGTATGAACGGTTGCATGGTCAATGAATGGTTTAGTGTGTGTGTGTGTGTGTGTGTGTGTGTAGGGATGTGTTTAATCCAGTATGTACATGATTCAGTTAAGAGGTCATGCGGGGTTAAGTGAGATGTGATGGACACAAAGACAGACAGCCTGTGTGTTTGTCTCTCGGGCCGGGTGTCACGCTGGCAGTGTTTCCTGAGAGCAGAACTGAGTCATACTCAGTTAGGCTGGCAAGGGAAAGCGGGGCAACCTGGCATTGCAGAAAAAAAGAGAAGGAAAAAAAACAAAACACTGGGACATGCGGAGCAGAGCGGAGCGGGCCCAATGCCGAGGAGCGGGCTTACGACTCACTTCTTTATCCTCTCGCCATAGGAGGCCACTTCATCCAGAGCATTCTGCACACTGATGCACACGTCCTGAATGGCATAAAGCTTGTTCATGAAGCCCTTTCTCTCGGAGTCCTGTAAGAGGACAGATAGAGATGTATGCAAGGAGGGGAGAAAGCAGGGGCGAGGGAGGGAGAGATGGAGAGAAACAGTGAAGAGAAAGGGAGTTGAGAGGAAGAGAGAGAGACAACACAAGCTGGGCACAGGCATCTTTTTGAAAACAATGCATTTTAAATAGCGTCAAAGATTCGGGGTGGGGAGCCAAATCGCCAGTTATCCTGCAACAACTGACGGAGTGCTTTAATGAAGATATAAAGTCGGCAGAACAAATCAAAACGCTCACTGAGGAAAATTTGAATATGCGAATAGAGGGGCAGAATTAAACTGTGGGGTACATCAATCTTCTGGCGCTCGCTCACGCTCTCTCTCTCTGCTGCTCCTGCCAAGACAGCTCGGAAAACCGGCAGAGCCCTCCTTTGTCCTGCTGGCTGGCACACTGGGATGATGTCACCAACCATGACATCATTAATATCCTTATTAAACCTCGTCACCCACCATGAAGAGCTCTTCCTTTTCGACTTTCGATGGTTGGAAACTTGAGAATACTGCGAGAAACCACAAACTAAGCAGACAATCTAACCCCCCACCCCCCCTCCCTCAAACCGCCCCCTTGTAGAAGTCATGCAACAGTCAACGAGCTGCCTGCTGACTGCATGACGGAAAACGGACAGAATGAGGTGACATGAGAGAGATCCATAGCCGTTGGCCGAGTGAGGACATTAACACGCAGACTAGGTGCTGCTGGATGTGATTGGCGGGCATGCTGAGGAGACAAATGGGGCTCATAACAAGAAAACGACCATCTACTGTCAGAGCGTCTAGTGGTACGAGTATGGGTGGGCAGTTTACAGTATTGCTTTGGCACATTTATCTATAAATATATTTAATATTTGCTGTTTAAGGAATTTAAGTTAATTCAGTGAGACAGATCGCAACAGAAAGATTATGGCTCAACCCGATGTGGCCACCAAACGTCTCTCTATGTAAGACAATAGCCGTGTAGTAATGAAGATTCATGGACATTGTTCAATTAGAGAGGTACAATTCTGAGTGATCCGCCTCATAATACCCAGAGAAGACAATAAAGTAGTCAAATAAATGAAACCTCACAGTCCACGGGCGTTTTCTCTACTTGAGGCAAGGCCCCCCCACCTTACCACATCCATCCCATTGAGACCCATTGCCCCGACTCCCACCCTCTTCTTTTTACTCTCCACTCAGGATCAGATAATGTGAAAAATGACCCGTGGAGCGTTCAGGGAGACCGCATGGCCTCTCCAGCAAAACCACACAAGACAAATAGATATAATTAGACGGCGTCCCAGGGTTATTTTTCTTTGCAAATATTTTACAAGACTCCCTTTCTTTCCTCCTCTCTCTCTTCCTCTTCTCAGTGTCCATCTGTTTTTCATTGCTCGCTCAAACAAATCTCGGAAGGCAGGGCCTATTGTGCCGGGCCGGGGCTGGGCCGGGCCGGGCCAGGCCAGGTCAGGTCGTTTTATTTTCAGGGGAGTGCGTTGGAGGGCCAGGGAGTGGTGTGAGAGAGCGGGCGGGGGTGGAGACGATAGGTCAGAGGTCATTGGCGTATAAACCATTGCCACATGCACCTCGGACCGCTGTCTGACTCGTATTTCCTGTCTTCAAACACGGCTCAGGGAGGCGGGAGGTAGCAATAACACAGAGGGCCACGGAGAACCTTGTTTTCCCAGCTTCCCTGCACACTGCGCACATATGGAGCGAGGCAACCTGTTCTTATAATGGAACCTAATATGCACATGCACACACACACACACACACACACACACACACACACACACACCCTACAGCTATTAGATAAGTTTGATCTGCACACCTGGTCTTGCTGTGTGACTCTACAAACGATATTATATCCTGACACAGATTATAGGATGAGGACCCTTGACTTCTAAAGGCAGTTGCTTTCTCTACCGAGCAAGTTGGTTTTAGAATGCAATGTCATCACTAATTGACCGGGAAGTGATACAGAAAGAAGAGGAGACATTTCATCCACAATCATTTCAAGGTCAAAGAAGCTTTCTGTTAAATGGGATGTTTGTCAACAAACTGAAATATTGGAATGAGGGAGGTGAGCTCTTCAAGACAGTCTTGACATGCTTCCTGTGGTTTTGTGAGGAATTGTCAGCCACCAGCTCAAACTAGTTTCTCGTCTCACTTCATGATGGGACTGCAGGCCCAGAGTCTCATCCTCCAGTGTCTTCCTGTGTCCGTCACGAAGACTAAGTGGGTTTGTTTGGAGACTCGAAGACACGGCTAACAGCGTTAAATCTGCCTCTCGTTTTGACTTTGGCTGCAGTTGCAAGTCATGATAATGTTAAGTGTGCTACAAAACCCAGCATCCCTGACAAGAGTTCTAAAGAATGCTGCTACATGGCTTGAATCATTCAGACTGATAATGTAATAAGCTTCTCTAATGAGTTTATCATCGTGCATTTTGATGCAACGGGTTACGCTGGTATTTTAGCCTGACTGCCGTTTCTGGTTGTCCACTACAAACTTGTCATTGCGGTCGGCTGGCAGGACATTTGTGACATGTTCATCTACTGAAAGAAAGGTCTGAATTTATGTAGATATGTATGCTTTATGGTGAGGTGCAAATGTTTGTCTGTATACGAAGTATAAAACAGTGCATTTTAGAATGATGTACAAAATAATTTTATCATTTAACATTTTAGAATATATTGTTTAGCAAAGAGTTAAGGCCACTTAGAATGTAATGTCAGTTCAGGGTAAAGTCAGAACTCCATAGTTGTGCAAGGTTAACTAAAAAAACTCCATTGAGACGATTTGTTTATTCTTTGAGTGAAATGTTCCTGTGTGTAGAAGAAATCTTGACACCAATTAACTCTCATCAGGCTGGTTGCAGAAATATTCATTGAGTCGGTTGCACTTTTTTGGCATATAAATTTCTCCTTTGTGGTTATGTCCAAAGTTTGCATCATTGTTTGTATCCGAGTGTGACATGAAATCACAGCCAAGCACCCATCAGTTCAGCGCTGAGCCCCCTTTGTACAAGCGTGTGCAGCAGGCTGCATCATGGGAGTGCTCCTATCAGCAAAGACAGAGGCGGGGAAAGCTCGTTAAAGTGACGCGAGCTGTTTGCATGAGTTAAAGATAAACAACCTTCAGTGACACCAGAGAGAGTCCAGGACACACTCACACACACGCACACTTTCTCACACACATACGTGCATAGAAATAGCCCAGTCAGGCTAACCACATTGCACTTGCTGGTAAATTGTAGTAAACAAATGTGGTAAACTCCTTGAAACACTAGATTAAATATTCAACAAAGGAAAAATGCTCACTGCCTCTGTCTACTCGACTGCTCTCTTTTTCTTTCAGGGAGATAGCATCATGCCAGAGTACATCTATAAGCAAAAGTGCAAAGTGAGCCGTTGTAAACTTTTACAAAGACAGTTTGTTCTTCACTGACCCAAGGCCTAGAGCCAAACAAGAGAGAGGTCACTGAGGACCTAGCCTATTACGACGGACTCAAATATCTGTCCTATATCTATGGAAATAGAGAGACATTTGAGACCGTTTTAACCTCCGATCACATTGTTCTCCCCGCTGAGTTGCGACATAAAAATAAGCATAACCGTTATAATGCAGCACCATACATCCCATCACCCCACAAAATGAGTCTGAACCACTGGTGGCTGCTGCTCATTTCCACTGCTGTAAAATTGCACCTGTTTTTCTTTGTTTTTCTTTTTGCCTTCCTCACTCGGCAGCACAGTAAAAATTGAAATGTCATATAAAACGTGACAGGATGCTAATATGTGGCTCCCACAGGGCATCTGAAAGTGTTCTTGTTGATTCTGTAACTGCAGAGGGAGGCGGCATCCCTCCCATTTCCCCCCCAGGAACAAAGAAAAAACATTGAAAAGTTGAGCAAGTCGAGAAATGCTTTAGGGGCGACACAAATTCAATTTCCAAAGCCTGTGCAAGAATTAGGAATGACAGAATAATAAATAGTGCATACAATTAGCATCTTCTGTGTACTTAAAACTTGGGTAAAAAATCAAATATGGATACAAAAATAATCATGATACTATATATCAACAAGATATTTGGCTGTTTTTTTTAGACTTGCAGCAAATAAATAAGTATAACAATAATTAAGTGATTGATGAAAGTGCAACACTGTTCCCTGGTAGGAGGCTGTGGTTTTATCGTATCTTTGTTCGGATCTACACAGGACTAAAAATTCAGAGTCATAGTAAAATTGGCGAATACTGTGTCTCTAAAAGGTACCGGGAGAATATACCGTTAGTAAATGAAAAGTCATATTTTATCGTTTCATTTTTTTTTAAATATATTAGTTATTTTTCCCTATTAGCTTATTTTCTTATTGCAAAACTCCTGTCTGTCTGTGTTGCTCAGATTCAGTCCCTCTGTCTCTACGTGAGACCCGAGGTCTTCGAGCTCTGCAGATTAAACTGTATGGGGACAGTATTGTTGGTGGTCATCTTTAATCCAGCAGATCTTTGGTTTGACATGTTTGCCGTATTTTTTGACATGGCAGTAGCACCTCGGGAGTCTGCATTGACGTAAAGCGCAGCTTTAACGCGAGCCGTCATTGGTCAGTGTGACTTTCCTCAAACAGAAAGCAAGCTAGCAGATCTTAGTATTTAGAGTCCAGCAAGAGCTTTGTCTGTAAAACAGCATTTGGTAAGTGAACTGCTTTGGTGTTTTTAAATTTGCAGTAGCGTGTTGATTTCTTTATCGTGCTTTTTCTATTAAATAGTTGCTATCGCTCCCTCTGATAATGCTATTTGAATGGCAGTGCTCTTGGGTCCGGATTGTTTTGTCATGCTTTGTTGTCAATAAATGTGACTGGTCAAAGTGTATTTGTAGGTTTTGAGCTTCACGTAACTTTTTATTTCCCTTTAAATGCTTTGTGGATATGTTGTTTGTACAAAACAAATAACCCGTAACTGCGTCATAACGAGGTCATTAGGTTGTTAAACTGTGGTTGGACGGCACAGAAGGCCCAAGTAGAAAAAGCACAGCCCGCCACTGATGAAAGATAATCTGCTTGTTAATCAGCAAAATGAGACAAATTCGCTTTGCATATTTTAATGAAAATGTGCGCAACTGCTATTTAAAGTTTTGGCAGCAAGTCAAATGCAGTGATGGAGAACTTTCTGTCTCTCTTGTTGACCACTTAAATTAAATCTTCCAGGTCCTAAACCTGTCTCATGATTTGAGCAAAGAATTAAATTCAAACTATTATCTGTTACCAGCACCACAGGGGTGCGACCAGTCACAGATTTTAGCCCCGGGGAGTTTAAAAGTCCCCGAAGACATATAATAAATAAACTTGGCAACCCAGTGGCCTAGAAGAACCGTCCCTCTGTCAGGAAATGACAACTAGACGAGACCAGCCTCAGATGCCACCATGCAGATGGCACCTTGCCAGCACCACATGAAACTGGCAGATGTTACACCCCTCATTCCTATTTGTAAGCGGCCGCTTTAATAAATAATTTATCTTATACAGAAACTAATTCATGGGTGAATGTTGGGAACACATCTCTATTGCCCTCCCTCTCTTTTTATCATAAACACATAAATATCTGTTTAACTAGGGTGTTGATATGTGCTGCACGTCCTCCTGGCTCGAATACACAAAGGCCACGTTTAGATTTGAAGCGGCGTACCCCCATAGGCCCGAAATGAAGAGAGAGAAGAGGAGAATGGTTCTGTCTGCATGTGCGCCGTTGGTTGCTCCCTCGGAGTCAAGTAGAAGGTGGACTAGAGAGACAATGCTCTCGTCTCTTCATCCACGCCAGCCCTTAGCGAGAATGAATATGCGCATATGTAGAAAGGGAGGGCACAGCAGAAAAGAAGCAGTAAAATTAACAAGTGGTGGTGACTTATTTTCAGTTTGAACTCTGCTTCGTATACTAGAGCAAAGTTTCACTGCGACGAGTCGGGAGGCAGGGGGTAGTTGGCCGCTGATTGTCTTTACCTATCTCCCCCTGGGGTCTCACATCACCTCCACCAAACCAGCCACTCCATCAGACTCGAGGTCACACACACACACACACACACACATAAATGACTACCAACTCACAACTTCTGCGGCTCCCCTTCCTCGCCTCCCGCTGAACGCCACCCGACCCCCGCCCAACCCGCCACCCCGAGCCTGCCCACTCCCCCCACCCCCCACTCTGCCTCACCTCTGGTCCCCTGCTCCAGCACTCTCCTTCCCCTGTCCTTTCCAGCATCCAGCCTGACAGTGTGTGATGAATGGGACAACATTACTCTTGTCCTCTGTTGGCCTGGTTTATCTGCTCCAGCCGCCCCCCCCCCATCCTTCACCCGTCTGTCTGTCTGTTTGTCTGTCTCTCTTTGTGAGCTTAAAACATCCTTCATGATACTGCAGCCTTTACTGGATTAATTAGTTTACCACCATACACTGTTTAGGTAAATACTGGGTTTTACCTCTTTACATAACTTCGGTAACTAGATTAGCAATCAAATGTATTGTTAAGACACAGCCTGGCTTTTTGTTGTATAAGATGGATAGAGTAGAGCTATATTTAAAAACTACCGTATATAAGCTTTTAAGAGCAAGTAAAACCTGTTTTTCTCTTGTTCGGGTCAAATCAGACCAGATCCCTCACCTGGGTGTGTAAAGCTCTCGCTAACTTTTGTATACCTTTAATTACATATTCATGTTCAGGGACACGCAAACGAAACAGCTGTAACATCCACTGTTTTAAACTTTGTTTTGGAAGGAGAAAAAAAAACGACGGAGCGAGAGTGCATCGCTGTGAAGTGTAGAGATCACGTCTTCAAAAAAGTAAATAAAATATGCATCCTCTCTGTGCTCATTACAGATTTATGACTCTTGTTAAAAGAAAAGGTGGCGGCTGCCTTCTTACATGTCTGACTTTCAAATTCAGACGACAATACTGTCAAGTGTTGTGCTCCACATTCTGTCCAATGAGAGACCGGGAGGGCTGAGAGAGCGTGCCAGCTTCAACTTACTATTTGGTGAAGAGTCGCAAAGAGAGTAACTTTGAGTGGATGAGAGCAGACTAGAACTCCTCACCTACCGTGCAACGAGTGCACGCCGCAGTCCTTTGATGCATAGTTCATCAGTCAACAAGTTCAGTTGGTTCAGTCGCTTGTGTGATTCAGAACAATAGCAGTTGGGGGAGTAGACATTGCTGCATTAGGCATAATGAGCATTGGGATTTGCTCCAACAATATGAAATAATCCTGCTGTTTCTGTAGCAACTTTTAAGAAAAAGAAAAAAAAAAACTCACACAAGCATCTTCAAATCACCCCACAACTGCACACACATGCACACGCAACAGGATTCTGAAATTCATTAGGAAATAGGTTTGTTTGGTCCTTATTATCAGGGAGTCATTTGTGAAAATAATAAAGATATATGCAATTAGTGCTTCCAAAAACAAAACAAAAAAATGATAAGAAGTAAGGGAAGCTATTCCCTTATGGCCCCACTCACTGCACAGAATATGCACCTAAAGAAATGACTAGAGCCACTACACATGTCACCCTTTAGTACCCCAGAGCAAAACACCCTTGCACCTGAATACCTTGCAGGTCTACAGCGCTACAGCGAAGCCACACAAAAAGACGGGAACAGCCTTCCATGCTAAAGCCCCATTAGTTTATCAATCACCGAAGACAGCAGGCAGAGGCTTTGGGGTCGGGGGTTCCGGGCCAAACGTGCAGTGCGTGGGTGCCGATTGAGACGTGGACAGGGGACACTGTAGAAAAACCCCAGACTGGACAGCAGACAGACGATGGAACCGGAGGACAGCGACAGACAGCCATCGGGAGTCAGTGGCAGAACCACACGCATGCCCACTTACCACCATTGCTCGTATCCACTCAAAGTGCCAGGAAGCCAACATATCCTCGAGGATATAGTTTTTATCACGGCTGTCCTCCCAGGGGCCTGGTTTAGGGTCCTTGTGGATAGATTACAGTAAGATTTTCTCTTTACAACCCAGAGAAATGGGGGTAAATGTGTTGAAGGCCAACAGAAAAAGCTCTCGCCTGAAGTCAAGATTAACATTGTTCTCACTGAATGCACTGGAAACAAATTTAGCCTCGCAATCCCAAGGAGAGTCATGATTGTTTTGTTGTTTTTCTAGTACTCACCTTTGTATGGACCTAAAAAAATGAAATGGTGTTAAATAATATGAGGCTTTTAATTCTTTGGGTCCATTGAAGCAAAGCTCTAATCAAAGGAGCACCCATGTCTATAATCTCTACACTAACAGTGGTGAATACGCGGTTAACTAAAAACGAGTCATAGTGCTAAAACACCATTGATTTAAATAACAAAGGCAATGTTTAAAGTAAAAGTTTTAAAAGGATGGCAAAGAGTTGAAGGATAAAGTAGTGAAAGAAAAAGACAAAGCAGGAGATGTGTATCTGGGGGAAATAGAGAGAGATGATCCACCTGATGTTTGTATCTGACAAAGAGGAAAAACAAACAAACAATGTAGTGCATTTTGCATAGAGAGACAATACCCCTTCATGCCTTTTTCACCCTCCTTTTTGTTTTCATTACTCTATTCCATCTATTAGCAAAACATGATTAAAATGCTATTTCTACCAGCGTCTCTGCTGAGCAACGCAAGGAGAAAAAAACTGAGATGGGAGGAAAAATGAAGCGGAAAAGTCAAAAGCATCTTTTATGGCGTGACGCTTTTCATCCTTCACTGGCGGCGAGAAGAAAAGACGCACAAACCTTTTTTCCCCGTACTCTCATTCCCATTCTCCTCAGCAGTTGACAACCCCCAAGATACCCGAGGACGACCCGCTGCACAACGAGCTCAATAGCCTCCCCAGAACAACATTTCAGTCGCACTTTCTTTTTTTCTTTTTACAGAGAATTGATACAATTCCCAGTGCTCTCTTTAGTCCAATTACAATATGAGTTGTTGCTATCTGAGCGATCTGCGCGGTGCCGTGACCGGGACAGAGAGGAGTGCGGTGCCGGGTAGGTGTCGCAGAGCTTGTTATGCTATCTGGAGACGAGTCACAAAACCTGCACCGACAAAGTGTGTGCCTTAGTTAACATTATATCTGAGCAGCACTTGATCTGTGATGATGAAAGAGACAGATAAATACAAACAGAGGAGTCGAGAGACATGAAATGGATGCGAAGCCTGCAATGCAGGACGTCCATCAGGAGTCACACGCCACTATACAAGGTTGTTACACAAATCTTAAACAGATAATGCGGGTTATGTGTGTGGAGGGGCTCGGAAAATTGGCCCATAAGTAATCAAATATTAAAATGACTTTTAATTTAATTTAGACATCACATCAACGTGAGGAAGCTATTTAGTTTTAGTCAACTCTATATTTACTATCAACTTGACTTTTAAGGGAGGGAAGGATAAAAAAGAAACGTCATGGGGGGTCGGTTCAAGGTGCTTGTGGTACGTGTGTGTGTGTGTGTGTGTGTGTGTGTGTACACACACGAGATACAGGCGGACATGGAGGGAGAGAAAGGGAGGGGGAGTGCACAGAGCAGTAAGCCCGTGAGCAGGACATGATTGCAGTGTGTATCTTATCTGTGTCAGGTCCTCCTGAGGCTAGTGGAGCCTAGCTGAGCGGAGCATGAGCGCTTCAGTGACCAGTCAACCGTGTGAAGGTAATCTCCTCACTCCTTCAGCCTCTCTCTCGCTCTCTCTCCCTTTTCCCAGTGAGCCCGGCCCCCATCCACTCCGCCACCCTCTCGCTGAGCCGCTGCACACAAACACTAAGTGAGATACTCACAACAGAAACACACTCATCTAAACACAGAAACACGCCCACCCATGCAAAGCCTTAAGGTGATTGCGTGATGCCAGCTCTGGACGCTGAGCCCACAGGTGAGAGGAGACATCACAGGCTACACTGATCACGGAAGCCCCTGCAGCCAGTGAATTGTAAATATGGGGATTCTATCTCCCCCTGTACCAATCTCGCAATGTGACACCAGTATTTGGAGATAGTACAAAAGGTCAATAAAAGGTCAATAAAAGTTGTATTTTTTATTTCTGCTACGAAAGATTTAACTAAAAGTAAAACCACATGCATTTGTTTTGTATTGAGGAAGTATGGTTATGGGGACCAGAAGTTGTAGATCGATGGATATGAATACACATTTTAAGGATTGCGCATATATTGATAAATATTAGGTATAACCAATAAGATTGCTAGTTACTGCTCATTAGCTCTGGTATTATGCATCGTAATTATTAAGATCCATTTATTGGATCACTAATGCAGTTGCTTATATGTTTAGGATTAGTTAAGTTAAAAACAGGTTTAAAACGGGGCAGTATACTGTGAGAAAAAAATCCCTTTGCAGGATTAATGACATTGATAAGTGTCATCTAACTACCTAACATATTTTGTGTGTGCGTGTGCGTGTGTGTGTGCAGGCAATACGAATCAAGCAACATTCCATGTTGAAGGTCAACGCTCCCACGTACAAACAGTGTGAAGGAGGAGGAGGTGAGAGGAAGAGAAAAAACGTGTTTGTGTCAAACATTCTTTCACTGTGTTTTCCTGCTTGCCTTTAAAATCTGTCCCCATCAATTAGTATAGATACTGGACTTTCATTGAGATTAAGTGACAAATATCAGTGCCTGCTCACAAGAAAGACACTTTTAACGTCTGCCCAACAATCTGTTAAGTCAAAACACATGCAGTGATTCAAGGCTAGAAGCCTGCGAGGGGTCCTCCATGCAATGAAAAACAGGTGCTGTACTTTTGGGCCATGTAATACCCCATTTAGCCTCTGGAGCAAAGGTTATCCAGCTAATAGCTGCCTTGTGGTGCACTGGGAGGAGCTGTGCACATGGCCGGAGTAAACATCTGGGACGGATTGTAAATACTTGCAACATATGCTTCAAGTTCAATTAAAATGAAGCCTTGGCATATTTATTAATCTTTTTCCCTCTCCTCTCGCTCTCTCTCCTTCTGGTTCTCTTTCACTCTCTCCATTACAGGACTGTGTCATAGAAGAGGCCTCCTTCGATAGATCTCCTTCAGACTTAAACAATCTGAAGTCGTACCTCATATCCAATGTAGAATGACGCATGTACAAAGTAGAAAACCAAATTTGTTAAGTCTTGGAAGTGCATTTGTTCTGTACTTGAACAGACAGCAAGAGGGGGAGACGGGCGGGAAAAGGAATAAAAAAAAGAAAGGGGAAAGGACGATTAAGGGAAGGGTAAAAGGAGAGTGGGAGGGCAAAGACACGTAGGCAAAGAAAAAAGAGAAATGCCCCCCTTTCAACTTCCCTACAGCTCAAATGAAATGCTAACAGCTGAGGGGAGCAATAGATCAAAATGTATGAAGCCAGAGTTGTTAAATTGTAGCCTTTGTGGCGGCTGTGCTATCCAGCATCCCAGCCCTGTGTGAGCACAGAGAGCAAGGCCCTCTTATGTGGAATAATCAGTTTGGAACCAAATCTGAAGCCGCAAAAGCTGCTGCTGCACCTCATTTCAATATGAAAGTCCAAAAATGTATTTTGTATAATCTGTTGCTTTTCAAATGCCTGCATTTTTTTTCCCTGAGAGGAGGTGGAAAATGCAATGATGGAGGGCAGACATTAAGAAAGGGCCAAAAAAAATAAAAAAAATGGAAGGTTCAAGGTTGGTGCATATCTTCAGTCAGCGCCCCCCCCCCTTCTTGTACATTTCAGCCTTGGAACTCCACAGCCATGGAACTTTGGTTCTGCATCACTGTGGGAGAGGATGTAATGCTCACGTGTCCTTGTGTGCTCATCGCCCAACAGGCTGCCTGGCTGACCGACGGCATGACTCACTAGTGGGCTGACTATTTGACCATCTGCACCATAAATGTGTTTTTTCTAACCCGTTTGTTGCTGGCCCTACAGAACAGGAGAAGCTTTAGCAAGGTTAGCAGAAGTAAATTCCACATGCAGACTTCTCCCCAGGCTAGAATATTTTTCACATATCAAATTGTTGGTACAACGATTCAAAGGCCTTCAAGATTACTATTGCACACAGCCGCAGTTTTCCCTGACAAAGATCACCGGAACGGACCATGCAATTTACCACATCTTAGCCTACTAACCTTTACACTGCAGACGTGTGGCTGTAAGGCATCAAGTATCAGCTCAAGTAATTTAAGATTCTATACTGTGCTGCTTCAAGCTGCTTCACTCTCCTCACAGAGATTTGTAATGTCCTTTAAAGTTAACACCGCCTGGGTCTCATTAGACTAGTGTGTCAAACAGCACATTGTTTTGTGTGGCGCACACAAAACCAGACAACTCAGGGCTTGAATAAAGAGCTGTACCATTTCAATTACCATTCCCAAGTGGAACATTGACAAGGGACCGCATCCTATCCAGTGGCATTTGTTTCAGTAGCTGTTCCTACAGTGTAAACGAGCGGAGGCAGTAAAGCAGCCACCTGTTGTTACCTGATCGTGTCTGGACAAGCCCAGATGCTGTTTTACTGGCACATAAAGGACCAGTGAGTGGACCTAAATTGCTAACTAAGCACTTTATGTGGTTGCATGTTCACAGGAAGCTGGGCTGAAGCACAAGCCTAACTTCAATTCAACAGTGTCGCGTGAAGCTTAAAAATGAGGATATTGTGGCAAAACTGCAGTAGCAGAACAAAGCAAACCCCAAAGACGAAAGGATGAGAAATGTGTTGTGTATATATCGACAGTGAAAACTTTTCAAGAAGTTAAAAGGTTGTACAATCTTTGCACATGTGTTTGTGCCTCAGGCAGAGAGAATACCTGAACAGGGGAGGAGACGGGACGAGAAGATGGAGTCATTTCTTTCTTCCGTTTGTGTTTCCGGTGTATGGAGCAGTGTCGACCTCTCCCGAGGCAGTGTGAGTGTACGTGCGTGTACGTGTGTACGTGTACGTGTGTGCGTGCGCACCCGCGAGTGAATCCCAGACAAGACATAATTACCTTGTCATCTCTGTCAAATTCCTCGTCCTCGTCCTCCAGCAGGTCCTCCATCGCTTGCTGACGGTTGCAACAGAGGAAAGAAAAACAGAAAGAAAGAAAGAAAGAAAAAAGAAAAAGAATGTTTATGCAACAGATAAACATCGGATAGCACAGGGTTAAAATCATTAGAACAGCCGAGGAGGCATTGTAAAGCTGATTGGTTATGCTTGTAACCAGGAGGTGGCAGGAGGTTTGTTAATGTTTGAGTATGGAAAACATGCAGAGGGACACCTACTGGATTGGTGTGCGTGTGTGTGCAATTATGTCACAAGCTTCAAGAATGTTGACGACTTTAAAATTAGAAACATTCTGTTGTTGAAATGTGTTGACACTTCTGTAAGTGCAAGCAAATGTTCTGGCTATGGGTTTCAACAGGCTGAGGATTAAAAGCTATTCATCCACTGAAATTGCATTGCACAAAAGCATTCAGACCTTATTCCATTCAGCAGGATGAGACCAGGAACTCTTCTTCTGCATGGTCTCATCTGACCTCTTTAACCTTTGTACTCGTCTTCTATCTATCGTTTCACATCCTTTCGCCGAAAGATGCTCCATGAGAAAGAAAAGAAGAAAGCCTGCAGCACACAAAGCGAGTCACAAAGAACAGCAACTACGTGCTTCAGTGGTCCACAACCGATGAAACAGGAGCTGGTGGAGCTCTGAAGCCCCCAAATGCCACGGTACACACTGCAGAACACTGCACTGCACTGCATATAACTGCATTGTCTATCCGGCACCACAATTGCACATTGCAAAGTTGAACCTTTTCCTGTTAGATTATGTCATTTTCAGATAATTATTTTGTTGTCTTTGATGTTTACGCGGTTAAACTGACGCCAAAGAGGCAAAACCACGGCTGTGTCTCATCTACCTTATCTCTGCCAGTCACATATCAAAGCTACAAGGTCATAATGTCGCTCCGAATTTCAATAAACTAAACACCCGTATCCTAAGCCCTACAGCCGTCAACCTCAGAATCCATCTAGTCTCGGTGCTGTGCTGCTTTACCAACCCCAACCCCCCCCCCCCCAAAAAAGAACGCTGCACGGCCTCAACATCACCACAACCCCCTAACCACCTCCAGAACAACACAAACTGGCTTTGAGAAATCCAAAAATCATTACTTAACAAGACAATAGCTTTTGTCCTTTTTGTTTTTCATCGGAATAAGGGAGGGGGGGGGGCTATGTGGCGGCCCACATAAGCCTCTTATGTAAATGCAGCTTCCCACACAAACAAAGAGGAGTTCAGAACAGCGGAGTTGAGAGGGTAGAGTCAATAGTGAGTGTGTGCGTGTTCTATCAATAGCTAGGAGTCTCCAGTGCAAAGGGTTGTGCGTCAATATGTGCGTGGCCACTCTAACCATCAAAGTGTAGCACACTTGGTCATTCACAGTTCACAGAGACTCCGTCAGTGTCTAGACAAATAAGCTTGACTGTTGACAGCTCACAATCTCTGTATTAATACAGAACACGTTCACTTTCACAGTATACAAAAAACCGAGGGGGTTCTTTCCCTCAGCCGAGGCAAAAGATGGAAAAGTGATGCTGTGAAATGAAAGCCTCCTGGCAACTCTCAACAGATGAACTATAACTGTTTATAAAGTCATCATGGTTCCTTCTAAATCCTTTCACCCGTGCCAAAATACAAACATAATGGATTCCTCCACACAGAGGTTTTACCAGGGCACGCCTGGCACACGCTCCAAACTTTAAACAAAGGGAATGAGCATGAGCTAGCTAGAGAAGCATGACCTAGAGAGACAGAGAGAATGATAGTCGTTTGTCTCCCTCCGCTCTCTCTCTCCCTCCCTCCCTCTCGCTCTCTCTCTCTCCTCCATCGCCCCCGGTTACAGAGAGAAGTCATGTATCCTGCAATGAGACACAGTGTAAAATTAATAAATAAAACGACACGGAACTTGTCATCTGCCCTGAAGATTGCCACGGCTAAATGTGTGCACTGAAGCTACCGTCTCAGTAAGAGAGGATATAAATTACCTCAGTGCAGCCGATGAATTCCAAACATCTTTTTCTCCCTCTTTCTCTGCTTCCCTATTTGTCTCATTCTTTCGCTCTTTCCAAGACCTGTTTGGTGCATGATACCATTTGTCTGCTTATCCCTCTATTATCATGTTGTTTGAATTACTATCATTACAGCACGGCAGCATCAAAGCCTTCCTGTCGACAGGATCGCGTGGAGCCGACGTTGCCTGCAGAGCTGCTCCAGTCAATTCAATACCTACTGAGGTGGAGATTAACATATTCAGACCTATTCAAATGACACAGGGATGATGCGGGCAACTCTCACAGATTACACTGTGCCCCATAAATACATACAAAGATGATGATAATATAAAATACACACAAAGAATATAACTGGGTACAATGACATTGAGAGTTCAACTGGCTGTGAAAGTACATCAGCTTGGCCTTAGTGGCTTATACAAAAAAAGTATAAATCGCTGTGGTTCAGATGCCAGCATAAACTATGCTTCACTCCAACTTTCCTCTGAAACTGTACTTTAAATCAAGGCAAAAAAATCACTGTCAGTGAATAACAAACAGCCGTCCAGTAAAATGAACATGAAACTTATGTTATTTTACTCTGAAAAGAATGGATTTTCTTTGTGTGTAGAGGTTTTGATTGTCAGTGACTTCATTTTGAATGACATACTAGTCCAAGCAATCAAACCACATCAGTTCTCTTGTTTTGATGTATCCTTGCATGACTATTGGATTTCTTCCAATATTGTGATTTGACAGCTAGAGAGCTGGCACTGACTCTTATCTTTTGCATCGTCATGTTAGCACTAATTCTAAATCAGCCATACTTTTGCTCTGCTCCAGATGTAGTGCCTGGTGCTTGTTACATCGTTGTGGACTGAATTTTAATAATGTCTGGTAAAAGAGAGACCATTAAAGATAGAATAACAAAGCCTAGTGTGTGTTTGATTCAGATGTTTTGTATTATAAGTGTATTCTAAGCTTTAAGTCGTATCTACACCGCAAGATACTTATAGCCGGGTTTAAACTTCGCTTGACACTTCAGGAACAGAAATACTTAAAATAAGTTAAAGTGAACCTATCTGGTTCAAAGAAGCAAGTGTGACCACACACTCCCCACAGAGGAAAAGTAAAAATCTACTACCTGAAATAGCAGCCACATCATTTGCAACCTTTTATTGAGATTTCTCTAAACTTGACCCTCTCTCCCTCTCCCTGACCAGGCCGAGTTCCACCTTCTCCCCTCCTAACCTTCCCAATGACAGCCGCAGAGGGAATTGACGCCGTGCCAGACATCTCAGCGAACATGAAGATATATTTTCTCCTCCTATTTTTTTTCCTCCCAATCCACCATTTCTTCCTCCTTCCACCCTCCTGCTGCTCTTCCTCTTTGATACGTGAGGGGGTTTTAACCTCTCCAGCTGCTGAGGTTTAGCCGACTGGCTGGCTGGGGGATCTCAAGGCCCTACTTGGTATGCACTGTCTATGAGTGAGTGTGTGCGTGTGTGTGTGTATGTGTGTGCGCATATTGCCTACACCACAGTTTCCGCAGACTGGGGGAGGGCTGCGCGTCTGATAAGGGCTGCTGGCTGGGTCTGGCTGACCCACGCGAGCCCTTCACAAGCTGTCAGAGCCGTGGCCCTCAGAGGGGGGCCCTTCCATCTGCACCGCCCCAGCCAGGGCTCACCCAGCAGGGGGCCAGAGAGGGGTGAGGTTGGGGTGCTACCGGAGCTGGAGGCCGGGGGGTGGGCGGGAGAAGGCCGGCTCCATATTTATGAAAGCAACCGCAAAGTGGTGAGCGATGTAGAAGACGGTTTGGGGATAGTAACACGGTGCCAATGACTCATTGCTTGTTGCTGACCAAATCAGCAAACGTGTTCGGTCAGGCATTCAGCAGCTATTTAGAGGAAAGCACAACTTTACGTTATCCACAAGCGTCGTTGAGACAGTTAAAACAGTAATGATATGTTGGTCCTGACCAGATGGATGGTGACTTTTTTGTCTTATTGTTTCTTAAACTCACTTGTGGAAAACAGGGCAAGAGCTGGTACACACCTGCCATGCAATCTATTCCACACAAACGTACTCACATTTGTAGGCTTAAGCTGAATGCTTAAACTAAAAAACAGCTAGAGCGCGTATACTGTACAGACAAAACAACAAGATAGACACCCTGAGCTGCCGACGTTGTTAGCAAAGAGCACAGGCAGTTACAAAAGGTTCAGCGTGATGAAGCGAGTCAGACAAACGGAGGGAAAGGAAGAGAAAGAGAGACAACGTGATGAAAAGGGAGGCAGGGAGGATTCTGCAGTGGCATCCCTGATGCTCTCGATGCTCCCGTCCCGCTTCAAACTATGCCCGTCTCCAGTCTTCTTGCCTGCCAGCCTGCCATCCTATCTGCCAGTTTAGCGGAGACAGAGCAGCAGCAAGAGGAGCGGAGACGAGCGCGGTGATGCCGGGGCGGCACGGGGGAAATCAGTGGGGCACAGGCGCTCCCAGTTAAAAGTGACATGACCTTTTGATTTTGTCACCTGTCACCAACTGCCATGTCTGCCTCGGCACTGAGGAGTGCCTGCCATCCGCCGCTGTTTTCCTCTGCCTCCGTCTCTGTGAATGCCTCTCTGTCTTTTTCTGTCTCCTGCTCCCACTCCATCTCCTTTTCATTGCAGAGTTGTGGTTTTATAGGGAAAAAAGTGGAGGTGTTACTTTTTGGAGGAGTTGAGGTATAATAGGCAGTGTTTCCTCTTTTCTTTCCAGCTTTCCTAATATCAACTTTTCTCTACCTGCGTTGTGTGTGGCTCTTAATGAGGGCAGATGTCACGGCACAGAAGCAGAAAAGTTTCTTTTTTTTTGTAGATGCAAAATCATCAAAATAGAGGAGATGAAAATGGTACCATCGTGTTACAATAAAATCAGACGTTATTATTCTCAGAAACAAACAAGATTCATTTGTCTTTTTTTATAATGAACAATACACAGCAGAGTGCTGCACAGTTAGGAAAGAAAACATTAAACCACATCATGTAGTGATGAGTGAACGGATACGAAAACATAAATAAAAATATTAGTAGAAAATCTAGTCAATAATTGTATTCTTAATAAAGTTTTATTACTAAAAGTAAAGTTGTCCGATCTCGCACAGAGACCTTTCTGTGAGTATTAAGGTCTCCTCTTCTCTAATGTTTGTATCTATGTAACGGTCTGAAGCATGGGATAAAGATGTTAGTCCTCCGGTGTGACAAGGCCTAAGTGCCCATCATCTAGTGGTAGAGCGAGACATCCCCGTGTTGCACACGTGCCCTCTACTACAGCCTTCACAAAAATGAACACCTTCAGAACATCTGGTGATGGCCTCTCTGGGACAACAGTGATTTCTATAGGGATGCGTCTATGATCCTTCATTCATTATATACACATATCATTTCATGTATACTCATGCAAGCAGGCGAACACAGGAAAACAATACCTTGCAATGAAGACATTCACACACGCACACTCCTCCACCTCCCAACAATAAGGGACTCAATACAAGTATGAGAGGGAACTTCCTCCATGGTACATCCTTTGCTTTAGATGCCAAAGCAGTATCACATATTGCATATACTCCAAAGCATACAAGCTTCTTTGTCTGTTTGCTTGCTTCAGGGAGCACGTTAAAGCGAACTGTGCTGAGAGTCAGAGTCAGCGTTCTCAGGTCAGAGTGCTACATGATGAGAGGCAAGGTCGGCAACCTCGCTGGTGCATCGCCTCCTTTAATCGCTGTTCTGACGATGCTCCGACTGCTTAGCAGGTACCGGTCAAGGTTGGGGCGAGGGTAAGGAGCGCTGATCCGAGATCTGTTTGCAAAGCAGCGTGTAACCACACAGCGTTCAGTGACCCTGAGTGGTGAATTACAGCGTGTAGCAAACGCCGTGTGTATTTGCCGTGGACGGTTCTGTGGACTGGTGGCATCCGAAAAGGATCCTCGCATTGAACCCATCAGATGAAGCAAGGCCCCTCAGTTCATTAGGAGGTCTGTACTCAAGCGAGTACTTTTTTTTGCTCTCCACCCCCCCCTCCTCACCCTATCCTCCTTTCCTTCTCTCACCCTTCACAGTGAGTTCAGCAGAGATTCCTTTGGCATTACCCTCACCCTAGAAGGCTGGAAAACCGCAGCGCTCCGGATGCTGACCCTTGCTCAGCCCAGCACAATGCTTTAATTTGCTGTGTTGTTTAAAGTAATTAGAAAGCCTTTTCCCCTTGTTTTCTTTTCTGTTCTTCTGTGTTCTCTGCCAAGAGCGAGAGGGAAACAGTGAGTCGTCCATGACTTCAGCTTGATAAAGACACGGAAGAGGAATCCAAGGGACCGTGAGAGGAAGCGAAGAACGCAGATACTTGATGCACTCTCTGTACCCCCCACTGCCCCTCCCCTCACCCACCGCACGCAGATTGGAAAACTGTTGGAAAACAAACAGGGACAGGACTCAGGGGATACTTGCATCTAAATGCGTGTTTTAATGTCTGTGTGTGTGTGTGTGTGTGTGTGTGTGTGTGTGTGTGTGTGTGTGTGTGTGTGTGTGTGTGTGTGTGTGTGTGTGTGTGTGTGTTTACAGCCGTGGCAAGCAAATGCCTTAAAACACTTACACCAATCGAAAGTTACTTTATCTCAATGTGTTCAAATTGTACTTAAGAAACTAACTGACAAAGGCAGAGAGATAATATCAGAGCAAGGAGAGAAAGACCATCGCATTTACCAATTCTGAGGCAGTGAGATAGCAACGCAATGACGAGGACCGTCAAGAGAATATTCGTTGTGTTGCTGGTGCTGCTCTGCACAACCGTCTACAGCGGCAAGAAACAGAGCATCAAACGTGTTAATCTTTCACAATTAATCCTACATTCAGCTATATTTCTGAAAAGAAAATCTGTACACAATACTGCATACGCACGTGTACCCGCATAGACGCACCAGACGGCCATACCTGCACAGGTTCTCCACACAGAACTTTTATCTCACACGTACTATTTTTTACGCACGCACACGCACACAAAAGCTGGAACCAACATCTCTACATGCCAATACCAGCTCTGACCCTCCACTCCGCACACATCCAGCTCTAAGTAACTAGGTACACAGCACACTCACTTAAAAGTGCTCGCTAATTGTGCTCTTGTCAGAAATGGGAGACATTTAACTGAAATAAGGTTGGATATGAAATTTTGCAGGAGTAAAGTTGGAGATCTATTCCGTGTGCCCGGTGTCACAAGCAGATTTCTTTGAATTCAACCCAACACCCTCAAAACACACTTGGAAGATGATGTTGTTGAAGCAACCTTTAGAGGTAAAAATTCCCTCCAGCTTCTAAGTGTGTCAAAAGGACAGTGGTGTGATGCTACTAAAGCTGTATTAGACATAAAAAAACTGAAACCAAAAGATCCAATGTCAGTTCAGTAATCAGTGTCCATACGTTCCTCGTCTCATAGCACATGCAGGGAAATCTCAGTAGAGCTGAGTGTTGCTGTTTTAAATGGCACTTGCTGTATGAGTTTCAACACTATCAACATGTCTTAAGGTTCCAACCAATTCCTGAGGTACTTGAGACACAATAGTCCCTTTCAGAGAAGGAGGAAAAAGGCAATTCAGCATGAAGTGGGAGTTACATGTACATACTCATATGTGAAGTGAGTAGCACATTAAGAGCACATCTAACCGTTGCCTCATTTGAATTAGGAAGTACATAGCAAAGGAATATCATTACTTCTGGATAAATACAAGCAGCAGGTGGGGGGGACAAATCATCATGCTCACGTTTCTCTTAAGGCACGTGGGACCTTTTTTTTGTCAAGCAATGTCGCCATCTACAGGTGAAGAAACATCTTCAGAAAATCATGAGTGTCATTCACTAATTTAGAAATCAATATATGTCGTCTAAAGATCTACTTGGAATTGCAATTCTTTCATAACTGACATAACTAACTATATCCATTTCAAATACTAGTACAATTTTATTATGTAAAACAAACAATATCAATTATTTTCTCGAAGAAACAGCTCGCATCCATCTCACAGGATTGTCTATTGCTGATTTTATTGTCAACTTTTCAAATTAACAAATATGGAAAGAGAGGCTTATAAATTGAGACGCTTAACTCCGGAGACTTAGTGGGTAAATCTGGGTTGCGCGCAGTTCAGATATAATTCCATTTTTATATGTAATACTACAATGGCACAAAGCAATGCGATTTGGTTCATCATAATGACTGAATATCTCTTCCAAATCCAATCCAACCCAAAGAATCCTTATGAAGAGATCAATATACAACTATATAAGGCAAGATACTGCAAGGAAATCTGAGCTGTTAACTGCTTATTTCCAACTGAGTCTTGCAAAAAGGCACTTATTAAAATTAATCACTTCATTGTTCCCGTTCACTCCATAGTCCAGCTCTCTCTCGTTTTTACTCTACTCTCAAAAGGTGCCTGGCCATGATTAAAACATGTCTGTTTCTCCATGACATTGCTTTGACATCATTTAATTGGTATAAAAGATAAAAAATAAATGAATTAAATAAATATAACTACCTGGTAAGTGGCATAACGTAGCTCAAGGTGACAGCCTATTATTTCTCCCTTTTCCTCAAAGAAGGCAAAGTGAGAAACGTGGGACTGAGAATGCAGCTGCTCGAGGGGCAGATGGAGCTTTTTTTAATCAAAAAAAAATCATAGATCTTTTACATTTAATTCTAATTTTGGCCAAAGTATGTGAAATTTAATCAAAAGGTAGGTTTAAACAAGTCTATACTATGCTCATTTTGATACCTTTTCACTCACATACATATCTAAACCAATCATAATCACCCATTATAACATCAGAAATTAAGTCTAGTAGCAGAGGAATGAAACGTGAAATGTGAATATTGCACTAAATAAAAAGAGCGTTATGGTTTTATGAAAACAATGTTGTCCGGGTTTTAACCAGGCATTGTGCGTCGAAAGCGGATTTTGCAGTGAAATGAAAGAAAGGCGGAGGGATATCAAGAAGCAGTTACTCACCACATCTTGCCTGGTATCCTTCCCCGATGCAATGAGGATGTAGTTCCAGGCCAAAGGCAGAAGCAAAGCCAGAGGAATCATATAGAGTTCAAAGTTCCAAACAACGATGACGAAAAGCTGAAGGGAGAAAAAGACAAAAACATCAGCCAAAGAAAAGAAACCGAACAGAAAAGTGAGAACATTGTGGGTTAAGGATGTAAACACTGAAGACCCCCTGTTGACCCCCCCGTGAGGCAAACTCCTGAGAATGTACGCTGACCATATGTGCGATTGGAAACGACGCATTCAAGCGCATTCATATGTAGAATCATAACCACCACGGAACAAAAGCGTAAAAATAAGACCGGGCTTTAACAAAAGGTACAGGCCTGGTGTTGGTAAGCCCGGGTTCAACGCTCTGACCCTCAAAGCATTCTGGGCCTCCAGCTGAAGAGGAGGATGATGATGATGAGGTGGACGACTACAAGCCTTCATGCCAATCATCCCAGAGGCCGAGGTCATGTACGTCAAAGCTGACCCTTCCGTGCTCAACCCCTAACTGCGGTATCTGACCTCACACACACCCCACACCCACAGTCCCTAACCCTGTCACTCCAAGCCCCAAAAGCCCCAAAAGACCTGTTCTCTACCCCAAAAGACTCAGATGCCCCATCTCTCACCTTCTCTGCACCCATCTGCCAAACCCATAACCTCTATACCTCCCCTCTCATCACCATCTGAAAATGAACCTTTCCTAACGCCTTGTTTTTTTTGGTTTGGACAGAGCTCCTTAACCTCCGACAACAGACGAGAAGTGAGATTGCTGGTGACAGAAATGGAATTGTGTTAATTAGTATTGTGTAAACAGTTTTCCAAAGAGTTAAGCTGGAAGAACTCATTTATTTGTGGGAATAAAATCTATTAGAGAGAAATGCAACCAAAAAAAACATGTATTTTTATATTAGTATACAAAGATTTTTCATGATTGCTAAAAGCAGCAAATACAACTAATGCTGAGAAATTAAATCCATTTCCAAAACTGTAACATATTTATCAGATTCAAGTACCTGAAATCCATTACTAAAAATATGAACAATGAACAAAAGAGATCTTGGGAGGGGGAGAATAAAAAACAAGTGCTCTTTGTCGTGTTTACAGTGCAAGGTTATTGTGAATATAAGGTTCACCAGCCCCTCAAGTGTGTATGCAGTTCAGCCGCTGCCGGAGTAGTTTGTAGGACGCTAAACTGCAGACACACACATTTGCATTCTCTCACACACACACACACACACACACACACACACACACACACACACACACACACACACACACACACACACACACACACACACACACACACACATCTGAACAGCAATGAAAACAAGCCTTCACAATTGCACTGTTAAACATTTTTTATTTTTTCCACATTTCATATAAAGTTTTAAAGGCTTGATTCCAGTCTTTGGAATAGAACTGAAACTTTGTGTAAAATGAACTGACAGTGTAAACGAAGCAAGAGCAGACAGCAATTGAACATTCAAAATGTCCAGTGCATTTGCATATTGCTCACAGCTAAATGTATTTTTCAAATAAACCTGAATGGCCTTGGTGCAACAACAAAATCTCCCAAAGGATTGAACTCTTTCTCCGTCTCTCTCAGGCTCAACTTCACTTTCTGAAATACAAAGAGTCTCTCTGATACAACTGTGTAGGAGAATTGGCAAGAAACTATTCAATAATTCATATTTGTATACTAATAAGCCAAACAACAATTTCCCTTCAAATAAAAGAAGAAGCTGTTAGGACTGTGTAGGCTCAACAACAGAAACTTGCATACAGACAAACACATGCTTACACACTACAAAATTAAACCATTCTAAAATGATCCCACAAATCTTTCTACAAATTAGTATAATTTGCAAATCTGTAACACTGATTAGCACTGGAATAATCCGTAACCAAACGACGTGCAGACGCGTCTTCAGTCAAACAAAACAAGGAGCTCACTTGACTTAAACCTATTCTGGTGGAAGCTATTAATACCTGCACACTAACAAAAATCTTCATGCAGATGCACACTGTGCGCTCCGGCTATAAATACGCTTTACATCTATTGTACGGTAAATCATTTTAGTGCCTGGTCCTGTGATCGCTCACTGTATCATTATCACACAACAAATGAATTTCTCCTCTCTATCCTGATGTTTATGTGAAACCTTAATACCCTCTTTTATGTTTAAAAAAACATTGCTTTTTTTTTCTCTCCCTCTCCATTTGCCCGAGGTTGTTTAACCTGCCGTCCCCCCTTCATTCCTTCTCCATTTTGTTATAGTAGCTGAGGGCGAAGTTTTGACAGGCAGCGAGAGGAACCGGACACCCAGGCTCAGCAGTGGCCAGCTCTGCCCCATCTCCGTGCCCCCCGGCTGGGTAATAGGGGCCCTGCAGTGCCTGGACCTTTCCACCAGGACCAGGCGATCCCTGCCACCCCCCCATTGCTTGCTACACAAGATAGCGGGCTCTCCGCCTGGGGAAGAGGGAGTGGGAAGCCGCCTGCTGTGGATGTCAGCGACCAGAGAGGCGGAGGGGGGGACGCAAGAATAAAAAACGTTGTGAATAGAAGTAAAAAAAAAAAAAAAGCTAAATGAAGCCCCAGATGTAGTCTACGTGAACAATCTGTCCCCGTGGAATACATCAATGGACGACTCTGTGTGGTCAGAGACGCATTGAGAGGTGGTCTGTGATGGATCACGGTATCTGAACATGAGGCATGCCCGCCTCTTACTTTAGGCTGCTGGATTCTAACCGGTGTGTTAATGTAAAACATGCATACGAAGAGTTCGTTATCTTTCTCTGTATATGTACTTCTCTATTATTTGAATCATGCAAACTCCAACTTATTTTTGAGAGCATGTAAATAAGTGTAAATTCTATTAGTTTGCGAAACAAAATACTTTTCCATATTTCTCTATTCTCTTACTACTATTGTAATGATATTAGTTGATATAGTAGTGAATAATGATTTTGACAACAAAACCAGTAGCAGCGATTTTCCCTTTAAACTATTTTATTTTCTATCATCGTTTCTTCTTTAAGTGATTTGCACGGACTTTGGTGAAACATACTTCAATTTCTAACAACATCACTATTTAACTGTCATTAAACAGAGTAAAACAATATTTTCCACTGACAAAACTGCAAACCATTTCAAATATACTTAAAGGCTGCATTTGAACTGGGAATTTGAAATTAAAATGAGACGTATAATTAAAATAGACAATTAAAAAGTAAAACCGTGGCAGTACAACTAGTACAATTTCTGGCTAAAATACCAACACACAGAAGCAGCACACTCATTTATTCTGACATGTCTCTGAAGTTGAATTTTAGCGAGGTTAATATCTTTGCTGCTTTCTCGTAATATTAAGAAATCCCCCCAAACACATGAAGATATTTGAAAATGTTAACAAAACAGAAAAGTCAAAATGATTTATTCAAGCACGCGTTGCGGCGGGTTGAGAGTTGCATCTTGCACTATTTGTTTCAAAACACAGCCCGTGTCCTTACGGCTCCGAGCCGCGGCACCGTGGGAGGGTAATACTCAGTACTTTGGCTTACATTAACCACACACCGGGCTAACTTTCCCCCTGCTCTGTCTCAGTGGAGTGAAACTGAAGTTTGGATTTCAGAGTTCCCCTTTATCTTCCTTACATCAACTTCCATGCTGGCACTAAGTGTTGCCAGATAGCGACTAGAAGTCCTGTTAAGTTCTGGAGAAGGAGAGAGGGAGGGAGTCTGTGTCCTGTTAAGTGAATGGACTTCCCCAGCATTCTGTGGTGCTAGACTGCCCCCTGCTGGACTCCTGCAGCACAAAGCTCTGCTGCACCGTTAATGCTGTTCATCCGATAAAAAGCGTGAATGACGAAGCCTGATGTGTCAAAGCCAATCATTTTGTATAACATGAAAAAAAATCAAAACAAATCTTCGCATCCGCTATTTTATTGCTGCGGTATTGAAACTGCACACGGGGACCTATTAGAAGAAAGAACGCAGAGTCCCTGACATCTCAACGAAAGGCCTCCCGCATTTTCTGTCGAGTCTTTATCTCTGGTGATGAAACTCCAACTTGGTATTCTCTGTTAGTCCTGCCAATATATTTCAACTATCATTCATTTCGCAAATCATGAGAGCAGTCAAATGTAAAAGTATATCTTTCAAAGCTGTCCCTTGCTGTGGGCAAAGACGAACTCCCGACTTTAAAACTTTTAAAAGTTAGACAGGTTCTTTGAAGAGGAGTCAAAGGAGCAATTTAAAGGGACCTGGAGTGGTTTGTACCTCTGCCTGCTATGGTGTCTCTGCACTGTGCGTGCGTGTATGTGTATCAAACTGCAAGCCATGCATGTGCAAACACACACACACACACACACACACTCTCCCAATAGTTGCTTCTGTACCGGTCTTTGCTTTTTTTCCTTCCCTTTTTTTATTTCAGGAGGGTGAATTTTTATCTAAATGCAAAGCAGGTGATAGGTGCTCCAGTTTCCTCTAGAAGTAGCTCCCTTGTCTGGGCTCTCTTCCTGATAAGAGTCCTACTTTGCCTGACATAAAAGAGCCCAGTATCATTTCCCCTGCCTCCCCAACAACCCCCAGCTTGCTGCCCTCGCCCTTCCCCGAGCTTCACAAAGCTGCCTCTATTTGCTCCCAATTCAGAGCCCAATTGCAGATAAAGTTACAGCAAATTTGTTTGGAGGAAGAGCTGCTGAGGCCTGCGGTCCCTGGGGCAATAACAGCCTTGTCTTGCAGGGGCCGTGGGGAGAGCTGGCAGCAGCAGGAGAACAGAACCCAACACCGCTCAACCCCACAATGGCCTCAACTTTCTGGGAGACGGGGGAAAGGGAGAGAAGGGGAGGGGGGAGATAAAGCGGAACAGGGATGGATGGACCGATAGAAGGGAAAGACACTTCGCTTGCAGGTGTGGAGAGAGGAAGCAGACGCTTAACCCCGAGACAAGGAGACTGAGACACCACACACACACACACACACACACGCGCACACACGCACACAGACACCACCCATCATGCAGGACAGGAGGTAACTCCAGTCCCGTCCATTGTGCCAACGCCTCAGGCAAAGCTGCCACGGTGGCTGATTCACTGTCGGGATGGGTGGGTGACAGCAGTGTGGGTGTGAGAGAGAGAGAAAGGCTGCATGTGAGACTATGCGATATCTCTCTTTCTCTCACATGCACACGAAACACACACACCAAAACACAGCTGGCACTAATGGGTGATGTGTACATGAGGCTTTTCAGAATCAGGCAGAAGAAAGTAAGAGACCATGAAGACAATTTTCTGCATTTTTAGGGAGGGGAACGTTGGGACACAGTGTGACCTCTGCGATTTGATGTATTACTGCATTAGAAATACCACTTAGATCCCCTCCCCCAGGCGTACTTACCAGTTACAAAGTGCACACATTTGTAAGTTTTGGGGTTGAATTGCCCACAACTTCACCTCCGTAGTTATAGCCATGTTGGAAAGTTAAGTGTAACATCTGTCTAGAAAGACATCCAGACAGAAACACCAGCGCACATGTGAACAGACACACATGCCCGTAATCACACACAGCCGCACACCTTCGCAAACGCACCACCTTGGCCAGATGGCCCCCCATAAAAACCCACTTAAAGAGATGAGCGAAGTGATTAAGAGGCCTCTCAAAGTGAGGCAGAAATGAGAGAGGGATGAAGAAATGGATGGGGAGGGAGGGAGTACCTGTGTAGAGAGAGCGAGGCCCTAAATACTCTGATGCTTTTAGCTAAGTGCACACTCCTGTGATAACAGACTCCCTAAAGAGCGAGGGAGGAGGGTGCGGGGAGGCACAACGACACCTAAATTTCAGACTTTCTCTAAACTATAAAACGCTACGTCCTTGGCCCAGATACATTTTTTTATTATCACGTGAATGCTCTGAATTGAAGAGAGTACAATGAGGATACGAATAGTTGCCGCTGTTACTCTGAAATGGATGTACTATATACTGCATTTGTGCTTTTGCGTGTGTTGACACAGAGTCTGCGCTACCCAAGGCTGCATCCACCTCTATTCAGTATGTAGATTAGTAATTCTCAGCTGACCTTGTTTTCTGTGAATTCCTTGACACGTCTTTTGTCTGACATTTTCTTTTTCTTTTTTAAAGATAAGGAGGGGTTTAGGACCAGGCCGGCCTCACACAAGCAAAAATTGCACACGGTGGACTCGCTTGCACACACAGAGGGAAAATGTTAACTGATCGATACCATGTCTCTTCTGACCCATGTCTTGTGATGACACTGTGACCTGCTGTACAAACACACACAGACACAGACACACACACACACACACACACAGTCTCGGCAGAGATGAAACTGGTGTCAGCTAATGTCTAATGTCTGCTGTGGAGACACTTAGTGGCCTCGTGGTAAAGGGCCGGGGTGGGAAGGGTCCACCTGTCCTGCAGCTACTTAAGTCAGGACACTAAACCAGACAGGATTAAATGCCTGCTCTGTCATCTTTAGGGTAGGGAACTCCATACAGCCACTCACCGTCGTGCAGGAGAATGTCTTTTACTGATAGCTCTGCTGTCCAATTACACTTCACCTTTTAATACCAGACACAGATGACAGGAGGGGGAGAGGGAGCGGGAGAGAGAGACGATGAAGAGGAGGCTGACGGGCAAGGAAAGAAAGAAACGGCCATTTCCCCACCGTCTGCAGAAACAGCTTGTCACACTTCAGTAGATTATCGCTGCATTTTCTAAGTATTTCCATGCCTGAGGGTCTCATTTGAAAGTGTTTAATCTACTACACCAACTCGCCCCTCAGTCACAGGAAATGAGTAACAAAACAGACACTCTGTGTGTGTATACCATGTGTGCTTTTAAATTATCACAAATCCAGAAAAGCTTTAATTGAGACAATCATGTCAAGATGTTTTAGTGTATGTGTAACAGTCTGTAGTGGAGGCTACAGTGTGAGAGTATACTTAAATGTGCTTGAGACGTCACCAACCCCTTGTGTGAGAGTGTGAAATCACCAGTGAAGGATCCATACTTTGTTAGCAGAAATGGTCCAACAGCCTCTCCTGCTGCGCACATGCAGACGTTAAAAGTGTAATCAGTAGAATAAAGGACTAATGTTAGTCCACTTGGAAAATGTATTGAACCATCGATACGAGCTTCATTTCATTTAATTCAGTAGGAAATAAAAGCTTTCACTAAGTATGTCTAACTCCTTTTTAAAACATTTCTGGGACCGTCTGTATAGCTTTTATTAAATTATTATAAAACACCAAAATAATGTTTGCGACTATAAATAAATGTTTAACAGAAAGATACAGATGTGCATGTGATGCCAGGGTACTGCAGCTGTATATGTAGGTGCATCTCTACATACTACTAAAGCACAGATGCTCCTCTGTGGAGAGTCCCATTCAAAGCAGCTGTTGATGTAGCAGCCTGTGTTGATCAGGAACATGATGCAGCGTCTCACTCTGTTGAAATTGCGCAGCAGCAGCTAAAAAGGAGACAAAAAATAAATTAGTAAAAGGTTTAAAACATATAAACGCTTTGGTTTAGAGACGTGCTGTAGACGGAAAAACAGCATTGTGTAATAAACATTCTATATCACTGCCTTGTAAAAGTGTTAGATTCAGTATATGAACATATGGACATGCAGTAAAATAATAAAGTGCTGTGCGTTTGTAAAATTGATGACTATGTGACACGGGCAATTGGAAAAAACACTTAAACAAACTTTATCACATATGCTGCATGTTTAGTGTTCAGAGGAAAACATTTATCAAAAGATAAAGTAAACTGGAGCAAAATGATGGTTGCAAACATAAGCACAGCTGTTATAGCCCATCTGTGATCTAGACATTTGTGATGATGTACTTTTAAACAGGTCAGTTTTCCCTCTTTCATGTTCAGTTATGGTGGGAATTCTTCACTATTCAGTAGGTAAATATGTTGTATCATAATTAACACCCTAGTTAAAATGACAATAAGTCTTCATATGGTAGGTGCAAATGCACTGTGTCTCATTCTGCTGATCCGTTTGAATGCCAACTGTTGCATTACTTTTTACAACTTGAGATGTGCAGCTCTGACCTCCCTTTAGCTTCAGTATTACAACCCTGCAGCTCTGAGGACACCGTGAGGACATTGGGGTGCCTTACTTATTTGGACAGCTACTCTCCCAGTGATAAAGTTAAGTACAATAATAGCAGTTTCCAACTGAGCCCTTGGGTTCTCAAGAGCATATGAGAGAGAACTGGCTGACTGCTGTCCTCCCCCTGGGTTGCCAACCATTCAGGGAATAGCATAACAGCAGCGCGGAATGCCTCCCCACCCAATCAGGTCACCACCAGGAGAAAGTGCTCCCAAAGGACCAACTGGCTAAAAAAAAAATAACACATCTAGGCCATTATTTTACTCTCCAGTAAATAGTGTGCGTTTCTGGGTTTGAATGTTTTCACACTGTATGTGTTTGTAGCGCTACATGATATTCTATTGTCTAGATGAATGTGGATTTGCATGTGGTTAATGGTGGTTTGGCTGCTTGGATTAGAGATGAGGGGAGGATCCCTCCTTCTCTTTGTATAATTATGTGAATCTTTTTGTTGGCAAACTGAAGATGACTGCATGGTCTCCTGCTGGGGACACACGGAGCCTATGCACAGCAAGACTGTGAGTCATCCGTTTCAATGTTCCTTAGCGCATGCACTTGATATACATGCTGTACTCCTCTGGGCTCATTATTGCCGTGATAATAATATTTTAATTTTTCATGAATTATTACTTCCCTGAGTTATTCCTAACCAGCATTTTGAAAAGTAGCTGCGTCAGGTTTCAGTTTAAATGTCATAATTACAATTAAATTAAATGAATATGGCAGGCAGCTTATGCGTTTTCTTTTTCATTACTGTTTGTGCGCGTGGGTGTGTGAGTGTGTGCGCGTGTGTGTGCGTGCTTCTGCACGCTAAGCGGCAAACAACAACAGGGGAGCTGCTACCACACAAAAGAGCCCTCCAGGGGCGATCCCACGAAAGCAGGCGGTGACATCATCATTGCGAGACGCTGACGTGGGTCATCTCTGTGAGTCAGAGGTGAAATGGAGATTCTGCGTCGAGTAGGCCCGAGACGGCGAGCGAAGGGAGAAGGTCGACGCAGTTGGGAAAGATGGAAATAGATGGAAGGCTGAGAAAAAAATGGAAAAAAAAAGCGCGACGTGGCTGCCACGGAGTGCGTCGAGCTCCGCTGGCTGTGCTCGGCTAGGCATGGCGCTGTATCGACCACTGAGCCCAAGCGGTCACTCATATGACATGTCTGATGTGGGCCAGCCTCCACCATTCAGCCCTTTGTGGTGCCGACACACTGAGCAGCGTGACAATGAAGTGCAAAGCAGCAGTGGCAAAGAGGGCCAACTATAAGGATGGCCAATCTACTTATGCACCCCAGAGCTGACAGCTTGACATTTCTATTCACCACTCAGAGTGGATGCAGGGGGGAGAGGGTGGAGGGGGGAGAAGGGAGAAGAAGAAAAAAAAGTAGAAACAAACTGATGTTTTTCCTTCGATCACTCGGTTGTATCTTGCCCACACAGTTGTACAAGATGCCACTCTTCAGGCTTGTTTGTTTTGCTTCAGACAGTTGGTGGTGGACACAGATAAAGGAATGAGGAGGAGTGGTGAAAGATAAGCGTTGGCTGTTGTTGTACCTGTTTGGACACTCTGGGTTCCTCCTCGATATACTTCTGCTCAATGGGAATCAACGTCGTGAGACCAGCCTTCACCTGGAGGATGGAGAGGACACACACACCCACACAAAGCCTCGTGAACAGCAAGCGGTGAGAGTCAAATGACGCTCATTTAAAAAAATATATGCAAAGTGAAATTGCTGTTGGGGTCAGATTAGCAAGCATTTTTTTTACGTTTGGAGATTT